ATTTGATTTAGCCCCTTGGGTGTTGTAGTGTCCAGGTTCTGGATCCAGATCCTCTTTGCTCTCCTTCTCTGGGCCACAGACCTACCATTATACACGCATGGCACACCGTCCTGTCAACAGAACTGAGCGCTCTACCTACCGAACTGCACTCCCCCACCCCCCCAATCTAGCAGCGCACAATACAGACACGCTAGCTAAAAAGCTACAGCGGTAGCGTGCCATTTACGTCATACTGAGCCGTCTCAACTCCCCTCCCCCGCTCGAAAACTGTCTGTATACAAATAGTGTACAGGTCAGACCCCGCCCCCCTCGACAAAAATCACAGGTCGAGATGAGCGCCCTTCCATAGCAAGTTAACTTAACACTGTAAACCATGTTTTATATTGTTTTATAGTATATTAATAGTTTTATATTGCTTAAAAGTATAATTTTCTCAAACGACTGGGGTGGCCAACAATTTATGGTATCCAAGGCCACCACTGGCCACCCGCTGGCGCCGCCATTGTGCCTGGTGCTGGATAAAATTGCTCCCTCCACTCATCAGGATCTGTCAGTCTGCACTTGTTCAGACGAGAAAACAAACAAATCTTATACATCAACCCAGGTGAATACCTTGCACCAAAAACATTAAGGTTTACTTGCATTTCCTGTTCAGTTCCAGTCCAGAGAAACAATCCTCTCGAAAACCGCAAATATCCAAATCCCTCGGTGACGGGTGACATCATCGACGTACTGCTTGTTAAATCTACCTGTCTGTTTAAAATCTGCAGCCATTTTTCTCTGGTTTTAAAGTCTAATGATTCAGACAGCGCTGGGTTTGAGCTCACACCAACATCCCTCCTCTGTGTTACCTAAAGATAAACAAGAGAATGAGCTGACCTTTGACTTTTTTTCCCCATGACACCGTGGTTCCCATCTGGACTTACTTGGGACAAGCAGCAAATATCTTTCCAGCCCTTGCTGTTCAGCAGCGTCTTTCATTACAAAGTAGCTGCTGTAATAGTACGACACGCAGCGTGCTTCCTTTAGTGGCTGTTTCTGTCCAAACTGAGCAAACAGAAGGATGATTGCTTTAAGCTGCAATGATTAAAGCGAGGTGAAAGACGTGAACGTTGAGCACTTTGACAAATGGGCTTGTCAGCAGGTGAAAACTGAAGGTTTTTAATTTGCAACAGGCTGTGCATGTTAGTCGACTCCGCAAGGTACAAGATGATTTTACAATAAGCTACAAAACCATTAAATGACAATCAAAAATACATGATCAAAATTACAACTATGGGTAAAATAATCCTACAAAAAGATGTACGAAACACAAAAAAGTACAATTTTAAATATTAAGGAAAATTTTTGATTATACGATTTTCGATAATGTGCTGATGTTAAAGAATAAATTGCAAACAAGTTAACAATAAACTATGACTACAACTTAATACTGGTACGATTTTTGAGACATGCATGATTTAAAGAATAAACGGCAAAAAGAAAATCAACTGACGAAAACATAATTATTTAATTAATCAATTAAACTTGGGTCAACGGAATATCAAAAATCTTCAATAAAAACGGAACGTTTGACCTTGATTTTAAAGGAAATACTTGATGCTCCAAATTACTTTTTACAACAAAAATCTAAATTATACAACGTTATTAATACATTGATTATACGTAAGAGGAAATACAGAAATAATAAAAATAACAAAGTAATATTTATGTTTTAAATGTTTTTGAAAATTTGATTTTTTTTTCCACTGAACAGAGAAGAATGATGTAAGAAGCTGTTGAACGCTTATGAATCATTCACTCTATTGTGAAACATTTTTCTTCTGTATTTTTACGGCATCTGTCTCGTTCCAGAATTTTTGTGCTATTTCAACAAAAATTCAGCTCGATCAGCAGAAGGGTGCTATGACTTTTGGTTTTGGTTCAACTTTAGCTTTTTGAGATATTTAGCCTTTTCTGCCACGTTTTCCACATAGAAAATGAATTGAGCTCATTTTACATCCTTCACATCTTTAGATCTGTTTACAACCTTTTACTGCTCCTTTCACATGTTGTTCTGCTTCAGCTTCTTTCAGCTTCCTTGTGCAAATTTCAACTTTTTTCAGCTGTTTTCAGCTAATTTCAGCTGTTTTGCGCTCCTTTCAGACTCTTTCTGTTAACTACAGCATTTTTGTGCTTCTTCTAACTTCTTTCTGCTCCTTTCAGTTTATTTATTCAAGTTTCAGCATTTTCTGCTTTTTCAGCTGCTATTTAGCCGTTTTTATGCCAATTTTAGCCCTTTTTGGCTAATTCCACTTTTTTTTTTGCACTCATTTCAACTTTTTTCAGCCTAATTCAGCAAAAAAAAAAAAGTGCTCTCCACTTCTTTCTGGTAATTTCTGCTTTTTTCTGCTTTTTTAGCTATATTTCAGCAGTTTTTTTTTGTGCTCATTTCTGTTTCTTTCAGCCTAACTGGGCAAATGTGTTCTTTCTGCTCTCTTCTGCTAAGTTAAGCTTGTTCTAACTTTTCAGCTAGATTTTTAGCTTTTTTTTTTAGCTGATTTCAGCTGTTTTCAGATAAATGTAATTTTTTTTAATGGTAACTTCTGCTTCTTTCAACCTAAATAAATTTTTTCTATTAATTTGAGCTTGCTATGCTCCTTTCAAGTTATTTCTGCTAGTTTCTGTTATTTCAGCTACGTTTAGCTTTTATATGCAATTTTTTTTTAGCTTTTTTAGCTAATTCCACAATTTTTTTTGCTAATTTCAGCTCTTTTCACCTCCTTCTGGTAGTTTAAGCTTCTTTCTGCCATTTCAGCTACTTTTCTGCATTTTTTTAGCTAATTTCATTTTTTTTTATTTAGCTAATATCATAATTTCTGTATTAATTTATGCTCATTTAAACCTAATTCAGCAAATATGTGTTCTTTCTGCTTTCTTCTGCTAAATTTGTATTTTTCGTCCATTTCAGCTACTTTTCAGAATGTAAATAGCTAACTTTAGCTGTTTCTTAGCAAGTTCTTCAGCAATTAGCATTCACACTGCATTTTTGCAGGAAATGCAATTTCTCTAGTTATTTATATATATATATATTACTTTTATTTTAATAGCGTCATTAAGGCTGGTGTTGATGTGAACATAAATCAGTCTATAATTAGATTCTTGTTTTTTAATGTTATTTAATGTGTAAAACAACTCAAGTAAAAAGTGTATCTTAACTGGGCTCTTGCTAATTTTAAGCGGGAACAACTAGCCCAGCTTTCTTTTGTTCTAAAATGAGCCATCCAAGCCCAAATCAAACGACATAATCACAGAAGCCTCATTAACGTCTTCATCTGAGATGCAATCATTGTTTTGTAAAAAGATTAAACTGGATATTGTGTTTAAATGTGCTGTGGGCCATTAATCATGCGCACGTTTGAACTCTTGACTGTGGAGCTCAGGTGGGAGAGAATAAAGAGCCGCATTTTAATTTTTTTTCTCACTTAGTTGGAGTTTTGACCTTTACCCACTGATTTGTTGGGTTAGTTTTATTTGTACCTTAACACGTTTAACAGATAATGAGAAATTATAAGAGAACTGCTTCATTTATGGAGTGATGTTTGTGTGGAATCAGCATTTCAAAGCTGATTTTAAGCTTTAACGCCAGCAATATTCTGATTTATGATGCCGCTATCTTTGCTTTTTGTCTATTAAAATGCCGAGTCATGACTTTGCAACATGTTTACGATGGCTGAAAGAATTCCAGCATCTGGCTGTAATCATTCCCAGGAAAGGGAGTACCGTAATATTTTCCTTTTCAGGAAAGAAATCCTCTTAAAACCTTTCCACCTTTTCGCCTCTCCTTTGTTTTCCTCTGCAGGTATCTGTTTGCGCTGCAGATTAAGCAGGACCTGGCCTGCGGGCGTCTAATCTGCAACGACACCAGCGCAGCTCTAATGGTTTCCCACATCATCCAGTGTGAGTACAAATCAAGTAGTCTCATCTTTTAACAGTTTATTAATTCAATTCACTTTATTTATATAGTGCCAAATCACAGCAGAGGTCATCTCAGGTCACTGAACAGAAACATTCACATACACATAAAGTCGGTTAATAACATTATTTACCTAAGGAGCAGACTGCTTTGAGTTTTCACTTCATCGCAGTCTCCCATCTTAAGCAAGCACAGAGGCAACAGTGGAAAGGAAAAACTCCCTCATGAGGAAGAGACCTCCATCAGAACCAGGCTCAGGACAAGAGGCCATCTGCTTCGACCAGCTGGGTTTGAGAGGAACAGGAAGGAAGAACAGATACACAATGGCAGGCCCAGGATGGAGACTTTAAGGTTTTCTCTAGGAGGAGAGACCAAAAAACAGAAATCCCATGTTAAGAAAGAATAATTACAAATACAAACTATTAATTTGCAACTGTTCATTTGATGAAATGAGGTCATTTGTTCTTCAGAAGGTTATAGCAGCATAGGATAAGGAATAGGTCAGGAAACCAAGCTGACTAACTATAGGATTTATCAAAAAAGAAAGTCTTAAGCCCAGTCTTAAAACTGGACAATGTGTCAGCCTCATGGACAGAAACTGGAAGTTGGTTCCACAAGAGAGGAGCCTGATAACTGAAAGAGCTTCCTGCCTTTCTGTTTTTGGAAACTCTAGGAACCGCAAGTAAACCTGCAGCCTGAGAGTGAAGTGCTCTGTTAGGAAAATATGGAACAATAAGGTCTGTAATATAAGATGGAACTAGGTTGTTGAGGGCTTTGTAGGTTAGAAGTAAGATTGTGAATTCTATTCTGGATTTGACAGGGAGCCAATGGAGAGAAGCTAAAACTGGAGATATGATCTCTCCCACTAACTCCAGTTAAGACGCTAGCAGCAGCATTTTGAATCAACTGGAGACATTTTAAAGAAGTATTTGGACACCCATATAATAAACCATTACAATAGTCCAGTCTAGATGTGACAAATGCGTGGACCAGTTTTTCTTCATCATTTTTAGATAAGATGTTTCTAATTTTAGTGATATTACGCAGGTGGAAGAAGGCGGTTCTAGTAGCGTTTTTAATGTGGGGGATAAAAGACATGTCCTGATCAAAAATAACACAAAGATCTTTAACATTAGAGCTGGAGGTCAGATTAATGCCATCCAAGGAGGGGGAAAGACTGAAAAATGTATCCCTAAGATGCTCAGGTCCAAAAACCAAAACCTCATTCTTATCTGAATTTAAAAACAGAAAATTTAGGGTCATCCAAGTTTTTCACATCTCTAAGACATGCTTGTAGTCTAAAGCCCTATTTGCACGGGATTAGTTTTACCTAGCAACCACATGTAATAAATAAATAAATTATTCCCCAACGTCTGCTTTTTATGTGGCTCAATTTCATGAGATAACTAAAGCCTGAGATTTAGCTTAAATTTATGGACATCGTCCGGATATAATGTTTACGCGCTGCGTTGTCACGACCGGGCCGGTCCATAATAATGTGCTTAATGTGCGGGCCAGGCCAGTCTCAGGTTTTGATGTGGTTTTACGAATCAGCGCAAAGAAAACTAAAGAATGCACAATATAAAATTGTGTTAATCTACTTGTTGAGGGGGAGGCAGGTCTGACCAGCCAGTTTAAAAGGTAAAAAAAAAAAAAAGAAGCTATGTTAAGCTCAGATGGACAACTTGTCACCGGCTGCGCACGTGAGCGGGAACTCGTTCGCTGACCCACCAGTTGAAATGGACTTGCGACCTGTCCAGGGTGTACCCCTACTCTCACACAGTGACTACTGGACATGGGCACCAGCGACTCTCGCTACCCGAAAAAGGATGGATGGATGGGTCAGCTGATCACGCGCGCGTCTCCGCACCTGCCGTCATGCTGCGGTGAAGGAATTGGCAGCATAAAAGCCGAAGCGAGCAGCGCGTTCATTTAAAGTATACTTGTTCTATATTTTTCCAAATGATTTTGTTTAAACAAAAACAAAAAAATGCCTCATTACGTATCACATCCCGCCCATTTCTGTCCAAATCACAGAGATGCCTATTCGCATTGGATTAGTATAATCACAGGACCTTGGCGTTCAGCAAAATATTGTAGTTAATTTGCAGGGGAATGTTTACTTTAAAAATTACTGACATGGCCAATTTGCATGGGATTAACAACACAATCTCCGTAATTATTACAAAGTAGCTGATTTGATTCATTGGATTTTATGGACAAATATAACTGTCTATCATCAGCATAACTGTGAAAGTTTATCCCATGTTGTTTAATAACATTACCTAATGGAAACATATATAAAGTAAAGAGTATTGGTCCAAGCATTGAACCCTGAGGAACTCCATGACTAACTGTGATATAAGAAGACGATTCATTATTTACATTTATAAACTATGAACATGCATAAATAAATGGTTTTATTTTGCACTTGGGCTTTTGAAGTTTATTTTTCTGAATAAGAAAATGTAAAATAAACCCTTTAGTTTTACCACATTGTGTCTGTGAACTTCCAGATACAGCATTTCAAACAAAAGTGTCTGTCTCATATAAGAAAATGACATCACATCCTGCCGTGTTGTGGGGATGCCTTCACATTCACTTGTGCTGCTGTTTAAGGCCAAAGCTGTTGGGATTTCCATGTCTGTAAAGGGCTCTAGTTATATTCTGGGAAATGTTATCCGGGAAGGACTGCTCGTGCGAAGGACTGCTCATAAATCACGCACAAGTAAAAAATGCCCTTTGGGGATATTTCAGCTGCAGTTGCTATGATGTGTGTGCCGCCGGCATGAATTTTGAAGTCCCCGTGAAATCAAAATCTGTCTTTGGGAGCTTTAATATTACATGCTCCTTCTGTATATCACAGACAAAACGGTTGTGACACATCGAAACAAAAAGTTTGTTTTTAGGGAATCTTTTATTTTAGAGCTTTTCCTTTTATTGAAGCAATGAAAAAAGCATTGATGACATTTTTACTTCACAACTAATGCACAAAAAACCTAAACTTTACTTCAATATGAACATCATGAAGCATAACAAATGTCACAAACACGCACTTTCTTATATGAAGACCTACCTCTAATTTAAGCCGAAGATATTTCAGGCTAACAGAGCTGATCAACTATTTAATCTTCTCCTAATACAGGAAACTATTTAGCCATAACTTCACATTAAATATGTATATTAGTGGATATTAGAAGTATGTCCAGTACTAACAATGTTAATTTTATTTATTTTTGTGTTAGTTTTTTGTGCCTCTTCAAAGTTGCAAAATCAGTTGTAATCCTAAACTGCATGTTCATGGTTCAAGCTCTGCCTCTGTTCCTTATTTATATCATTCCATATTGCGTTATGACAGTGCTGACTCAATTTGGAATACAGTAGTCCCTCGCTACTTCGCAGTTCGTTTTTCGCGGACTCGCTCTATCGCAGTTTTTCAAAATAAGATTGGACATGACACACAATTGGCTGATTGATGGATGAGCCGCACGATCGGCATGGAAGTTTTATTTAGCACCTGCTGCACCTGTGTGCAGCCCACACTGCAGGAGAAACTGCCTCCTGCAGCTCCTCCTTCCTCCTCTGTTGATCTCCGTTCTGCAGTGGAGAAGTGGGCGTGGCCGCCGAGAGCGCAGAGTGCAGCCGTAGCAGAGAGCAGAGATCATGACAGGCTGTGCTCTTGTAGAGCAAGAGTGTGGGAAGGATTTTAAACACCTTTATATATATATATATATATATATATATATATATATATATATAATAAAATAAACTTCTACTCACTACTTGTACTACTATTGCTACTTTGCGGTTTTTCACTTATCGCGGGGCTTCAGGGTATTGATCCCCTGTGATAAACGATGGACTACTGTACCTCAAACAAAATAATGGCCTTTCAATCCCAAGTTCGCTTATTATAAGTGACTTTGGGCTTGTTTTGTTTTTTTAAGTCATTTGCAGATCTTGTGAGTCGCAAGTTGCGGTATTTTTGGGCTTGTTTTGAACGTGAATTTGCTTATTTGAGCTTGACTTTCTTTCCGAGTGAATCTAGTTGATCATTTCCCAGCTCTGCACAATAAAGCAAAAGACAAGTGGTAGTAGGTAGTTTGTCCCTTCCACGCACTTGTGTCCTGTTTATCGCTCCCGCCCAATTTGGCGAAGTAACAGGCGCACACAGACATACAAATACGTCTGTGGACGCGCACCCCAAACACTCATACTGTCGCCGACCACTAGGGGGCTCCACTCACACGCAGATGTCAGGATGTTTTGTTTTTTAAAATGTCGAAAAAATCACATACGCAAAATTTTTTTTTTTTTTTTAAATCAGAGCTTAAAAGTTTGTTATTCAAAGTATTTAGCATAATTTTGCTGTTGTTCATGTGTAATGCCATAATAAATGTATGTTTATACTGTTTAAAAACAGCCTCTGTTTTACACAATGTGGTGGGTTGCCAGTTGGGCTTGTTTTCATAGCGCTGGTTGCTTATTTCTATCACGAGATCTGGCAACACTGCCTACACCTGAGAAGAACCGATAAGATGAGGACAAAGTGGAGTCACACTTATCAATGGTAAATCAGCTTAAGTGTCCCAACATGGATCCTGATCCCAGTGCATGTTGCTGGAGGGTTCGATCTTGGGTTTCCACCTGTGCATAGTCCCAATAATCTTTTATACTTAAATCTATTAGCACTATTTTTGTAAAACTACAAACTACCACTGATTTGGAGCATTTCCTCTTAGCAGACTGGTATTTTTGCAGCTTATTGGTCTATCTGTGTGCAGGATGGAGAGTTTACAGGTTTGACTCACTCTTCCAGTCAGCAGTGGGCTCAAAATGGCACGCTGATGAAGATTACATGGTTGTCACGGCAACCGCAAGTGCTTGCCATATCTGCAATTGCAGGTGGTGCAGCATGTAGGGCTATTGTTGCTGTTGTTGAACAGATGGAAACTCTTCAGCAGAGCGTTTGTAGTTTTGCTTCCTTCTATCATTTATCTTTTTCTCCACACGTTGCATCTTTATTCAACGTTTCCATCCCAAATAAATGTGTTTGTTCTGCCTTCTCTCCCTCCCAGCTGAGATTGGGGACTTTGAAGAGACGCAGAGCTGGCAGCATCTCCTGCATAACAAGTACCTTCCAGACCAGGACGCCATCCGAGACAAGATCATAGACTGCCACCGCAAGCATGTGTGAGTTAACGCAACCGGATGTACACAAATCTGCTTGGGACGAAGTTTTTAAACTACAATCAGATCCAGTTGAGTCAAGCAAGACGTGATATTCAATCATTCATTCAACCTTTATTTATACAGGCTAGTCTCATTGAGCCACGAGGACTCTTTTACAAGAGAGACCTGTTCCAAAGAGAACATAAAGTACAGACAATAATAACAATAAACTACAGTAAAAATGCAGTTGAAATAAAAGTAGTGTTATAAAACAATAAATCAGGGTGTCATAAAACAAGGTAAAATTCTAAAAACAAGAACATATTTGCTTTGATGTTTCTATTGACATTATCAAATGTTTAAAATCCCTTAAATAAATTAGGGTGGACAACTTCAGTTCCTGTTGCAAGATGTTCCAGGTTGCAGGAGCAGAGTAGGAAAAGACCTTTTTGCCAAGTTCAGTCCACACTGAGGGAACACTGCAGGTAATGATGTCCTGAGAGCGCATGTTGTAACTGCACTGACGGCACGACATGTGGGAGGAGATATAAGAAGGTAGCAGACCAAGGAGGGATTTATAGATGAAGATGAACCAGTGTGAGAATCTACACGTATATAATGATGATCAACTGATCAATGAGTACAGGGTGCAGTGATGGGTACGGTAGTTACAACCAGTTATAAATCTTAGCGCACCATGGTAGGTGACATCCAACATCTGCAAGGAGCTGGCAGGGGCATTCATGTAAATAATGTCACCATAGTCCATGGCCGGTAAGAAAATAGCGGTTACAAGGCGTTTTCTGGCATTCAGTTAAACAAGATCTATATCTGAAAACGAAACCCAGTTCATCCATCCATCCATTATCTTTACCCGTTTATTCCATTTTGGGTCACGGGGGTCACTGTTGCCCATGTCCAGCAATCACTGTGCGAGGGGCGGGGTACACCCTGGACAGGTCGCAAGTCCATCACAGGGCCACATAGAAACAAACGAGACAAACAACCATTCACTCTCTCACTCACACCTAGGGACAATTTAGAGTTACCAATCAGCCTAACATGCATGTTTTTGGACTGTGGGAGGAAACCGGAGTACCCGGAGAAAACCCACGCATGCACGGAGAGAACATGCAAACTCCACCCAGAAAGGCCCCTGGACCGGGGTTTGAACCAAGGACCTGCTCACTGAGAGGCAGCAGCTCTACCAGTTGCGCCACCGTGCTGCCCACGAAACCCAGTTTTAATTTCAATTTCTTTATCAAGTTTTTGATATGTGGTTTTCAAGAGAGATGTGCATTGAGCAAAATTCCAAAGTTTTTGTAAGAATCCACAAACTCAATAGGAACACCATTCAAGGATTCAAGGTTCTTTTATTTGTCATACGCACCACATGTGGTGGAACAAAATTGTGTACACAGGGTCCCAGTTACATCCAACAAAAGTATAAAATGTAAAAGAAAATCAGTAATAAAATCTAAGATATGAACTAAGAAAAACATTAACTAGAAAATACACTAAGTACTAGTAGTACAAAGACAATATGCCAAACAGCAGCACGAACATGAGTGTGTGTGAGCATATGAGTACGAATGAACAAATGCATAGATGAGATAGGAGGAAGAACATCCGGCACCAGCGCTTTGTTTGAAAACAACATCCCTTTGGTTTTATCAGCATTTAGCACCAGTTTGAGACTGAACAAATCTGACTGAATGATGTCAAATGCAGAAGCTGGAAAACCTTGGTCACTGTGTTAGCTCGACAGTAAATAGTATTGTCGGCATAGAGATGCAAGGATGTGTCAGGAATGTTTGGACCTACACTATTTATATAAATTGTAAAAAGAATGGGACCTAAAACTGAGCCTTGCGGCACACCATTAGTGTTAGGTAGCTAGATGAAGTACTGTTATGTCGACACATTGCCTCCGACCTGAGCGATACCATGTGGATGGTGGCGTTCTCGCCTAAAACTCTAACCTAATTTACACATTCGTTCTATGGAATCAAAATAAGGAGGGTTTAATTAAAAAATTCAAAATGCCCGTCAAGATCAACCTTGCGTGCAAAGCAAATCTGAGCTTTAATCATCTTTAGGTGTCAGGAGATTGGTGCTTTCATAAACACAGAGATATTTATCTGCTTATTCACTTGTAAACACACACCCAAGAAACAATTATCAACCCTACCCTGGTGCTTGCTCTCCATTACAAACAGCTTCAGTCTCCTGCAAAGGAGGCCATCAGACCATTTTTCTTAAACAGTTATCGCTGTTTTTCTCGCTCGCTCACTATTTATATGATAAATGCATTTCCTTATTTTCTGTAGATGTAGATTCCCCAAAACACTCCTTTGATTGAGGTTAACAGCTGAAAACCCAACTTCTGGCTCGTTGAGCACCACTGCTGTAACCCTTCAGCTTCCCATCGGCCGGCGCAGGAAGGAAGTGCCTAATTCAGCAGCTCATACAGGAAACGGGAAGCTATTTTGAGATTTTGTTAGGAAACAAACTTCGTTTTGTGGTGGATTTCTTTCCTCCCACTATGGGCACCTCCGTCTGATCCTGGAGTGTTTTTTAAGATTTTCACAGTAAGCCTGGAATAATACCACTAAGTAGAGGGGTGTCTTTTTCTTAATATGATTTATGCAGGGATTGTTTCTATGGAAGTAATCTCTGATTTCCACCTCTGTGTGGTGTGAGAACATAATGAAACCTTTTTATCTACATTCTTACAGATAAAGACCTTTCAGATTCATGTTTTATTGCTTTTTTTTTTTTCCTTTGAGAAATTGTCAAAGTAACCCATGGATGATAGATTTTGCTGATCAAATTCTTTCTTCTGCAGCGGGCAGACTCCAGCAGAGTCGGACTACCAGCTGCTGGAAATCGCTCGTCGTCTGGAGATGTACGGTGTCCGCCTGCACCCCGCCAAGGACCGAGAGGGCACTAAGCTTAGCCTGTCTGTGGCGCACACTGGAGTCCTGGTTTTTCAGGTGAAACCTTTTAGCTCTATTTAGAACCCGTCCATCCACCCACAATTCAATTAAATTCTTTTCAGTTTATTTATATAGCGCCAAGTCACAACAGAAGTTATCTCAGGGCACTGAACAGAAACATTCATATATAAAAATATACGTTAACATTATTTATCTGAGGAGCAGACTGCTTTGACTTTAACTCCATCACAGAACTCTCATCTTGAGCAAGCATGAAGGCGACAGTGGAAAGGAAAAAAAAAAAACCTCATGAGGAAGAAACCTTTAGCAGAACCAGCCTCAGGACAAGCGGCCATCTGCTTTGACTGGCTGGGTTTGAGAGGAACAGATACACAATGGCAGGTCAAGAATCGCATGTTAAGATAGAAATAATATAAAATGAAAAATATTCAATTTTAACAATTCGTTTAAGGAAATGAGGTCAATTTGTCCTCTAGTAGTCTAAGCCTATTGCGGCATAACAAGCCAACCCTAACTATAGGATTTATCAAAAAGGAAAGTCTTAATCCCAGTCTTAAAACTGGACAATGTGTCAGCCTTATAGACAGAAACTGGAAGTTGGTTCCACAAGAGAGGAGCCTGATAACTGGAAGATCTTCCTCTCATTCTGCTTTTGGAAACTCTAGGAACCACAAGTAAGCCTGCAGTCTGAGAGTGAAGTGCTCTGTTAGGAAAATATGGAACAATAAGATCTGTAACATAATATGCAGCTAGGTTGTTGAGAGCTTTGTAGGTTAGAAGTAAGATTTTGAATTAAATTCTGAATTTGACAGGGAGCCAATGGAGAGAAGCTAAAACTGGAGAGATATGATCTCCTACTATCTCCCATTAAGGCCGATCCATCCATCCATCCATCCATCCAATGGATGGATATCCATCCATTATCTTTACTCGCTTCTTCCTTTTCAGGTCGTGGGGGTCACTGGTGCCCATATCCAGTAGTCACTATGCAAGAAGTAGTGTACACGCTGGACAGATCTCCAGTCCATCACAGTGACACATGGAGACAAAAAAAACATTCTCTCTCTCACTCACACCTAGGGACAATTTAGAGTTACCAATCAGTCAACCATGTCTAGCGTGTTTTTGTGTCTGTGGGAGGAAACCGGAGTACTCGGAGAAAACCCACACATGCACGGAGAGAACATATAAACTCCACCCAGAAAGGTCTCCGTCCAGGATTTGATCCGGCGACCTTCTTGCTGAGAAGTGGCAGCTCTACCAACTGCGCCACCGTGCCGCCCCTATTTAGAATCCAACTTTTAAAAGCCGTAATTTCTATATTTCATCTTCTGTTTGTTCTATACTAGAGGTTTTAGTTTGCTAAAGCTCTTTAAAATCTCTCAACCAAGATATATTTATATTAACAAAAAGCTGTCTTTGTTCACTTTGTGTAAATATTGTCTTGAAATATAAAGAAAATGTAAAGGCATATTGTAAATCTTATAATAAATTCAGTTTTTTTCCCTTCATATAAACCATCATTTTATGGGACTTACCAATCAAAACACGTCTGAACTTTTTTCTTCTGAAACTTTTGCAGTTGTGATTGGAGGTGCCTTAAATGATTTGTCTGAAAAGTAAATCGTTCTGAAAGCATTTACAAGGCTGAAATAGAGGGTTGAACCGGCTGGTATGAGCTGTAAATTCCTGGAATATTTTCCTTGAAGGAGAATAAAAAGAGGCTGGTGTTTTATCGCAGTCTGCTCCTCTCATAATAAAGAGCTTTCTTGAGTGAATGCAGAAACATGGACTCGGACAAGGCCACACAGAGGGATTTATTTACATGTTGAAGTCTAAATATAGTCCCTGAAGCATCTGCTTATGGTGTAATGAAGAATATGCCTTCTCAGACAGTGCAGTATGGCATTTGGTTTGAAACTAAACACAAGAGTCACCATGTTTGGATCATTCATTTTTGCTTTAACTTCCTCTCTGGGGTTTGCGTGCTGCTTTCTCTGGCTTGATGATCTAAACTCAAATTTTAGGGTTCAAGGTGACTATATTGTCATTCGCATCACATATGGTACATGAGGTGGAACGAAATTGTGTATTCAAGGTCCCAGTTACACCCAAAAATAGCAAAAATATAAGTATAAAAAGAAACAGTATTCAAGGATCTAAGATATTCGCTAAACGATAATAATGTAAAATAATACAGTGTATTAAACAGCAGCCTGAACATGAGTCTGTTGTGAGCAGATGATTATTAATATAGCAGCTTAAGGTAAGAAATCAGCAGCATGGATAATCAATAATATGACAGCCTGGGTGGGTAGGTGCGCAGTCATATGTGAGCAACGTGAACAGGAGGGGGCTCAACACACAGCCCTGAGGGACGTTTGGGACGTTTCCAGGATAAAAAAAAAGAATAATTTCTGCAGAATCATGATTTTGTTTTCTGTATTCAGGGCTACACAAAAATTAACGCCTTCAACTGGGCCAAGATTCGCAAGCTGAGCTTCAAACGTAAAAGGTTCCTGATCAAGTTGAGATCTGACCCTGCCGTGAGTTTGTTCTGCAACTTGGCCTTTCTGAGTCGACCTTTTCCCACAAGTTTCTTTCCTCGGTGTTGACACCTTCCCTCGGTGTGCTCCTGCAGAACTCTCATCACGACACGCTGGAGTTCGCCATGGCCAGCAGGGACTGCTGCAAGGTTTTCTGGAAGATCTGTGTGGAGTATCACGCCTTCTTCAGGCTCTTCGAGGAGCCCAAGCCTAAACCCAAACCTATCCTCTTCACAAGGGGGTCCTCATTCCGGTTCAGGTGAGCTATGACAAACAAACAAAAAAAAAAGTGCCGTGTTTGCTTTTGTTTAAATAGAACAATTTAGTTTAAAGATTCAAAAACACTGCTCAGAAAGAGTAAGAATTCAAGCTTAGATATATTTATTTTAAAACATTTGTTGTGATCAAAACTTCTTTTTTACTCTGAATGTGAAATCTATCTAGAGGAATTGCATTTCCTGTGAAACTGCAGTGTGAATGCTTACTGCTGAAGAACTTTCTAAAAAAAACAGCTGAAAGTAGCTAAAAACATGCTGAAATGTAGCTGAAATGGAAGAACAAGCCCAAGTTAGCAGAAGAAAGCAGAAAGAACACATATTTGCTGAATTATGTTTAAATAAACAGAAATTAGCAAAAAAGTTAGTAAATTAACTAAAAAGGCTGAAATTAGCAACAAAAAAAGTATCTGAAAATGCAGAAAGAAGGTTAAATTACCAGAAGAAAGTGGGAGGAACAGAAATGAGCTTAAAAATGTGGAATTAGCTGAAAAAGCTCAATTTAGCATAAAACAGCTAAATAGTAGCTGAAATAGCAGAAAAAGCTGAAATTAGCAGAACTAAGTTGAAAGGACCATAACGAGCAGAAAGAAGGTGTTTAGGCTGAAAGTAGCCAAAATTAACATGAAACACTAGAATTTATCTGAAAACAGCTGAAATTAGCTAAAAACATCCTGAAATGTAGCTGAAATGGAAGAACAAGCCAAAGTTAGCAGAAGAAAGCAGAAAGAACACATATTTGCTGAATTTTGAATTCAAAATTAGCAAAAAGTTATGAAATTAGCTATAAAAGCTGAAATTAGCACACACAAAAAAGAAAAAGGATGAAAAGTAGCTGAAAAGGCACCTTAAAGTTACCTTTAAGCTTCAAGCTTAAAAGTAGTTTAACATTCCTTCTGGTAGCTTAAACTACCAGAAGGAATTGGAATGAGCTGAAATGAGCTAAAAAAAAAAGTGGAATTGGCTGAAAAAGCTAAATTTAGCACAAAAACAACTGAATATTAGCTGAAATAGCAGAAAATGCTGAAACTAGCAGGAATAAGTTGAAAGGACCATAACAAGCAGAAAAAGTTATTTAATCTGAAAGTAGCATAAATGAACATGGAAAAACTAGAATTTATCTGAAAACGGCTGAAATTAGCCAAAAGATGCTAAAACGTTAGCTGAAAATGTAGAATAAGCTTAAATTAGCAGAAGTAAGTAGAGGGAGCACAGTTTGGCCCAATTAGGTTGAAAGAAGCAGAAATGAGCATAAAAAAGTGGAAATTATCTGGAAAAAGCTTAAATTAGCAAAACCAGCTGAAAGTAGCTAAAAAGGCAGAAAAAGCTTAAATCACCAGAAGAAAGTGGAGAGAGCACATTTTTTAGGCAATTAGGCTGAAAAAGTTGAATTGAGTGCAAAAAATGTGGAATTAGCTGAAAAAAGCTAAAATTAGCATAACAGCTAAATAGTATATAGAAAATGCTGAAACTTGCTGAAATAAGCTGAAAGGAGTATAACAAGCTGAAATTAGCAGAAATAAGTTAGAAGAAGCACAAAAATGTAGTTAGCAGAAATAATCTGAAAGGAGCACAAAACAGCTGAATTTAGCTGAAAAAAGTTTAAATTTGCACAAGGAAGCTGAAAGAAGCTGAAACAGAACAAAATGTGAAAGGAGCAGTAAAAGGTTGTAAACAGATCTAAAGATTTGAAGGATGGAAAATGAGCTCAATTCATTTTCTATGAGAAAAAATGGCAGAAAAGGCCAAATATTTCAAAAAGCTAAAGTTGCATCGGTACCAAAAGTCTTTGCATCTTTCTCCTGAATGAGCTGAACGTTTTGATTTATAATTTGTTGAAATAGCACAAAAAATTGTGGAACGAGAAAGATGCTGAAAAACACAGAAGAAAACTGGAACTCAATAGTGTGAATGCATCAACATGTAGGCACAAAATATGTATAAATATACTAGTTTGTTGTCAAATTAAAGAAGGGGTTTAATAAATTGGATATACAGTCAGTTATTTTCTGTTTGTCCTTTAATTTTTTTAATTTAAAATATTTAATTTGGAACAGATTTGTAAGCCTAATTGATCCAAATTAGACCACATGTGTGTCCTTCAAATATAAATATCTACAGGGAAATAGCTTAAAGTAAAACCAGATTAGTATTTTTTTATATATATATATATTTGTGTGGAGTTAAAAAGAAAAATATTTTTCTCGTTTTTTGGTTCACTTTTGGACTCATCATGAGTAAAAATGATGTAAAGTTGTTCAATTAAAAATAAGATAGCCCTATCTGCTGTTAAAGTGGATTTAAATATAACCCATGACGAGACGCTAAATTTAGAAAAGAGACCAAAAATTAGGTCCACGTCACTCTACCTGACTCAGTTTGAAACAAAAGTTTTTGTTCTGTCCTCTTTCTACAGCGGTCGAACCCAGAAGCAGATCATCGACCACATGAAAGACTCCGAGATCAAGAGGGTTCCATTTGAGAGGTGAAATCAGCTGCAGCGAGGCAGCCCCGACTAGCTGCAGTAATCAGATTTATGGGTTTGTTAGCCGATTAGTGGGTTTAACCTGGTGTTGCCTCCCCTCCTCACAGAAAGCACAGTAAGATTCTGTCCAACAGCGGCATGTCCCCTCAGTCGTCTTCCTGCAGATCACAAGTGCCAAAAGAGGTAAAGTCCTCAAGACTGAATTTGTGTTCACAGTTCTTTATTGTCATTCGCATCACATGTGGTACATGAGGTGGAACGAAATTGTGTACTCAAGGTCCCAATTACACCCAAAAATAGCAAAAATATAAAGTACAAAAAGGAAGAGTATACAAGGATCTAAGATATACGCTAAAAAATAATAATGTAATATAGTACGGCATATTAAATCAAGGGTTCCCAACCCTGGTCCTTGAGGAACACCATCCTGCATATTTTAGTTGTTTCTCTGCTCCGACACACCTGATTTTCATTAATGGGTGATCAACGGGCAGAACATGAGGAAGTAATTGAATCACTGAATCAGGTGTGTTGGAGCAGGGAAACAACTAAAACATGCAGGATGGCATTCCTCAAGGACCAGGGTTGGGAACCCTTGTATTAAACAGCAGCCCGAACATCTTCTATATTCTTGTATGTTATAAACAACTATTGACTTAGAGTTCACGTAAAAATAACAGCTCGCTTTTCTTTTTGCTTCCTTTGCATATTTTAGAGTGCCTCGTTGGTGCCGTTGGCAGACCAGCCCGACGCGGTCAGACTGGCTCAGGAAGTCAAATCGAAAGGTTCAGAGGAGCTGCCGGCCACCACGCCACCCATCAATGGTTTCCACGATGGCACACTCCTCAGCTCCGACCCGACTCGGCGGAACCACAACGGAACGGGATCGGCACCGGGCCAGCAGCTCCTGAACCAAGGTCCAGCCTGCAGGGCAAACAGAGGCAGCAGCTCTTCTATCCCTTACATTGACTGTAGCGACATAGACAGCGAATGTGACATGACAAAGAGCAGCCGGACTCCCAGGGGCCACAGCAATGCAAACGACAGCACTGAGGATGAGTCTTATGGGTGTGAGGGTAGCGCAGGTTGCGGTGGGGGTAGAGCCGGGGGTCTGTTTGGGGCCGTGAACGGGTTCTACCACACCAATCACCAGGGAGTTATGCGGCAGGGTACCAGGAGCCTTTTAGACAAGGAAGCTAAGTTTAGCACGAGTCACGAGCAGATGAGTGACGACGTTCTGTCAAATGGAGGTGCCCTTCACGGACGCTTCCAGCTCCACAGCACGCTGTTGGACGAGATCTTTCAGGGTCGAGACAAGCGAGACATGGCGGTTGGTCGACCGTTTGGAACCGGGACACGCAGCCAGTGCTCTAGCCCGGTAATCAGCAGCTTCCACCAGCGTACAAGCTCACTCAGTCACGCCGAGATGACTAACAGTCCGAGTCAGGTGGGCTCTGCTCCACGGTGGGATGATGGCGGACATTTTTTTAGTAAACACCCCAGAGCTGTCCATGTGGAAACTCCCACTGTCCCTCCGTCATCCCGTCCACTAAACCACTATGGCAGCTACTCCCCGATCATTTCCAACCGCACGCCACCGCATTTTGCCAAACCGTACAATAACAACAACATGCGGAACCGATCTGATACCGATCCGTTCATTCTGAGCCAGCTGGCATCCACCCCAATCCACCATAATGACCCTTACTGTCCAGGGATGCAAACCCAAGCCCCTTGTTCCACCCCGACGGAGCGCAAAACGATTATAGCAAACGGCAACCATGGGAACCTCATGGTTGCAGGTCAGCCGCGTTCCAACACCGTGCAACGGTTGTTTGGTCATCAGGGGAAACCCAGCAAAAACCTAAATCAGCCCGTCCAAATGATCGACGGCTCCACCAGCAGCGGCACCGACACCAGCGACACGGAGTCGGACACCGGCAGCAGCTCGTACAGCCAACCGCTGACGTATGGCAACCCGGCTGCCGTCACCTCCTTCAGTTCGGGTAACTCGAACGGTGCAAACGCGTCGTCGTCGCTGCTGCGTAGCAAATTGTCATTTGGGAGTCTGCAGCTGGAGAATGATGGCGAGGGGGAGGAGCCACAGGGATGCTACCATTTCAATGAGGAAGATGTAGAAGGCGTTTTCAGCTGTTGAGCCAGAATTAATCATTTTAATTTGTCTTTTCACACCTTTTAAAACACTCATTTTAAACGAGTTTTAACATATTTTTGGAACGTGTACAATATAGTTTTTGACAAAAACATGTTTTAAACTAAATATACAGTAACTCTTTTGACGTGTAGATGTATAAATAAGTTGTTTCTAGACAACAATCACGTTTTTATCTAAAATTAAGGATGCAACCTGCTGGCTTCAGATAGTTTTGTAAGTCAGACATAAATACCGTTTAAAGGATATCTTTCCTTTCCATGTGCCATAACCGAAAAACTTTATATTTACTGTATATAAATAAAACTACAGGGCTTTGTATTAAGATCATTTCTACAGCTCTTCCAACTTTGTTTTTAATGGTATTTGTTAGCGGTGATATTTGTGATAATTTCTTCCAAGTTGAAGACATTTAGGTTTAGAATCAGTGGTTCCTAACACTGGTCCTTGAGGAACACCATCCCGCATGTTTTAGTCATTTCCCTGCTCCATCACACCTGATTCAGTGATTTAATGACTTCCTCCAGTTCTGTCAAATCAGATGTGTCAAAGCAGGGAAACAACTTAAACATGAAGGATGGTGTTCCTCAAGGACCATGGTTGGGACCACTGGTTTAGACGATTGTAGGATAATTTTTTTAGTGCTCTTTCTTGTTCAAATGTGTAAAAATAGATTTTGAGGTGGCTTTTGACTGTAATGGCTGCCTTTTTGTGGTTACACTCGAACATAGTTCTGTTTCTGTGTTGCGTTTGAACTCGAGTATTTCATTGGGGACTTACGGACGTTGGATAAGGTCTGCTTACTCTGAAGAGACTGCACTGAACGAGTTATAGTCCTCTTTAATTGTACATGTTTGGATGTTTTTAGGTATTTAAGTACTAATTTAGTAGAAACTTGTCTTTAGTCTGCCAGAGGTGGAATGCTATAGTTGGCAGCGAGTCTTTTTAGTTTTGGCAGAGTTCTTTCCTTTTGAGCACGTATTTTTTCCCCAATCCTTTCAGCTGATTTCTGTCCATTTGTCGTGAGCAACTTGCACTATAATTTAGATGTTTTTATGTTTTTTTTGTTTTTTTTTTGTAAGATTTACCCTAGGAAGTTAAATCAGTTAGGAAAAGCGTCCTTATTTTCTTTTTATCACTGTAAATCCAGAACACCAACCATAATCCTTAACCTTCTGCTGCCATTGGGTTAAAATGAACCATAAAGCATCCATTTTTAAAACTGAAGCCTCATGGGTCATTTTGACCCAAGGGCAGCAGGAGGGTTAAAGCATCCATAGCTGTCTGCTTTGCTTGGCTCTGCCCCTGGCATGCACTAGGAACAAAACAAGAACCTAAATGTTCCCTTCCTTCGGCTGCTGTTCTCTCACCTGCTGCTCTGCCGTTTATTGAAGGCTTCACATTCTCACCTCTCATTTACTGGCTGTTTTTCTGGTTGCACCGCACTTTTTTTTTGTAATCATTTGGAATATTAACCTCAAATCGTTTTTCTTTTGCCCTATTTTTTTTTTATTTTTATTTTTTAATTCATATATTTCTTGTTGATCAGCAACTGAACGGCCATTAAAATAACAGCCGGCGTTCTGCAAATTGAGACTTAGCTCCAGTTTTTGGACTTTTTTCTCTCTCCTCCCTTTATCGTGAAAAAGAATCATCATGGGTTCGAGTTATTTGTTCCGGACTCAAACTGGACTAAATATCTTCTTCCACTTGAAATAAATGTTCGTGCTTCCTGCTTTGTAAATGCACTGTTTTTAAGCATGTTTGTTGTTTTGTTTCTTGAGGTGGGAAAGCTCATTAACACTGTGTTTTCACTTTTTCCTTTTCTTTTTACTGGGATCGCATGTTAACCAGGCAGAAGAGGCTTTTCTGTCACTCTGATTTGTTGTTTTTTTTACTCACTCTCACTATGTTTCTGTCAAGGGGCTCACAACGGTTCAAGATGTTTGAGACGGACTGGATGCAGGATAACCTTCTCTTTATTTGCTCAATGTTTTCATACTGTTTTTGGTTGTACTGCGTTGTTTAAGTCAAACATTTTGAAACCGTTGGGGTTTAGCCCTGGGGATTTGTGCTGTGCACAAGGACAGAACGAGGGGAACTCAACTCTAGTGTTCTTCAAACAAGACGGCGAGAGGGCGAAGATAGGTAGACACAAGTAAAGTCCATATTAAAGTGTTATGTAAGTGTAAAAACGATATCCTACCAGAGAAAAGGCTTTTTATTTCATAAGATAAGATAAGTCCGAGTGTTGTCAGAGTTTGGACACGCATGAATACTGGGGTTGAGTCCGCTTGTTTTCCTTTCACTCTGTTGCATATTCGTATTTACTGACACTATTTCACTTTGTAATTTTATTAATTTTAATATACTGTATATATACAGTGTTTGGAGTTGGATATTGGTGCCATTTTAGGCTAAAATAAATGGAGCACAGGAGAAGTAATACATTTTCTGAAAACTTATAGTAATAATAATAATAGTCTAATTTATTAGTTAAACTTACTCATTTATTATGTCACAGTTCAAAACAGGAATTTCCACATGCTCAGATTAATGGAAAATTGTTAGCATGCACATATTTGTTTTTTAACCAGTTCATTTTAATGTACTTAAAGTTAAGTAATGCTGTATATGCTAATTTATTTAAAAAGAGCAAGTTTTCCACCAAGTATCAAAGTTCACGCTCGATAGTCCAGGTAAAAAAATCCAACAAAGTTCAGTCAAATCATCTGGACATTTGTTTGTTTTTTTTAGACATTTTATCCTTCATCCAAAGGACTTCATCAGTCTGAGGAGCCACAACAAACTGATTTCCACACACATTCACATAGTGGACCATCAGTTTGCTTGTGATAAGATGGTTTCTGGAGTCTGGCCTCTCCCCCGTCGACTCCTCTGAGGCAGCCATAGCCAAAATGGTTCAAAACATCAAAGTTCATGCTCAGTAATCCAGGTAAAAAAAAAAAAAAAAATCCAGCAAAGTTAATTCAGGTCATGATAGGTCAGGGGGAGAGGGTGGGCCCCAGAAACCATCTTATCACCAGCAAACTGGTGGGCCCACTATGGGAGTGGGTTGCTTGTAGGCCTGTCAAAATAAACAATAAATCAATGTATCGCATGATAAATGAAAATTATCTACTTCATTTTCATTTATCGGCTTTATCGTTTCTTAGTGTCTCTCTCTTTTTACTGAAGACACTGGATGACAAAAGGCTCAACTCCGGTGCTCTTCACTGACTCCTCCCTTTCTCTTTAAAACTGTTTTAAACATCCAAAATTTTGATTTTGGATCGTTAAAAGCAGCTATGCTGAGAAGCTAAGCTACGAGCTAAGCTAACAGGCCGACCTCGGCGAAAAACCCTCCGTCTTGTCGAAGCTCCAAAATTCACGGTTGAAACCCGTGCCTTTGTGTAAAAAGTTGTTTTTCTCTGCAAAAATAAGCTGAGAACTCGTTTACTATTTTTTTATTAAAAGCTTTGTGTGACAAATGCTATGCTAAAGATCCTGATACATGCTCAGTGCTATGCTATGCTAAAGAGCTCAAACCACACAGAGCGTCTGCCATTTTGAGAACCGAATAACGGGAACAAGAGACAGCCCACATCACGTCAAAGGACCTCCCTCACATTTTTCTTAGAGACATGTTGCTCGCTCCCTCACTACCCATCCTTTGGTTCAAACTGTTGTATTCTGACATCTGGTGGTCAAAAAGGGTACTACACACAAATGAACCAACATTTCTTCTTAAATTTGACAACTACTAATTATTGTCAAAATTCAAACAACTTTATCATTTATCACAATAATTGCTGAGACAATTAATCACTCAGCAAAATTTTTGTTACCGTGACAGGCCTAGCTGCTTGTGGAACTGAGTTTTGTTGACTCCTCGGACTGATGAAGTTCTTTGGATGAAAGACGAAACGTCTCAGCTAAAAGAGAAACCGTCCAGATGACCTGACTGAACTTTGTTGGGTGTTCCACCAAGTAGTTAACTTCACGTGTGTGATGTGATGAAATAGTGCCAACCTTCCAAATGTAAGTCATCTTTAGTGAATTTTATCACTAACGTTGGTGAAAAGTTCAGCTTTTTTATGCAGAACAGATCGGTGAGTTTCACCTAAATCTTAGCATGCTTTAAATCATTCTTTTGTCTTTGGATCTTCTTAATTTACTATTTTACCACTTAAATTTCTGTAAAGTTGATTATAAAGGTTACACCTCTACCATGTCTTTTAGTCTTTTTGCCCCCAAAATTCAGTCTTTTTTTCCATTTAATTTCCTTTAAAATACTTAAACTTGATAAACTAGGAACCCTTTTTAATAAACAAACCTTTGGATATTTTGTTCTTATGGATTTACAACTTCAGTCTTAAAAAAAAAAGTTTATAACTCCTCCTGGCTCCTTATTTTTAATGTCTAAAAAGGCTCCTAAATGTCCTCATATTTGATCACTGTATGTTTTTTATTACTGTAATTTTTGAACTTCTTACGTTTACTTTAAAAGTAAAATAGCTGTAGCTTTATGTGATAAAATACACAAATGCTGTGAATATGTAAATGTGTAGATTAAGTTTGATACATTAGGGAAATAAAAAAAAAGCAGATTTATACAGCTTTCACGCTTCTCTGCTAAAATTAAACTTTAGCTACTTAGCTTAGCATAAAAGTTAGCCTAGCTCTGTTTCCAGCAAACAAAACCCAGTTCACTAAAAAATAAGAAATAACTCTTTATATTAGTTAAATTCGCACAGACAGCAAACTGTACAATGTTTAGTTTTATTATTTTGATAATTTAGTTTTTTTCCCCCCACTTTGAACAGATCTAGGCTATCTATCATGGTGCTAAGCTAACTAGCTTAATGTTTGCAAACAAAGCAAACCAGCATATTATTCCCCAATATCTTAAACTAGTCTTAAATAAAAGTGAATTAGCTGAATAAACGACATGCTTGAATCACATTTGGGCATGCTTTTGTATTTTTTCTGGCAAACATCTTTTTTTAAAAAGTGAAAAAGCACTTCGATGCTGTTACCGGCACTAAAGCTAAAACATTGTTTGCTGCTTAAATCTGCATGGTTTTTTATCTACTCCATTTTAAAAAAATCCATTTCGAAGTTTTGGCATGCTGTGAAATAATTAAAACTGCCTATAGGTTTGTGTTAAAGGCTTTGAATCTTGTTTTCTGTCACTGTTTTAACACTTGCTGCACAGGTTTTGCCTAAAACTTGCTTTTTTTTTTGGTTTGGTTGCTTCTATTGCTTCCACTCTTCACTTTTTAACAATGTATCGGTTTGTGGTGCACTAGTGTCAATAAAAAAACAATTTTGTATAACTGGACAAAAGGGACTCCAGAGTTCTCTTTAGAAAAAAAAACCCCAAATAAAAACCAGCGCCGCACAATCTGTCCTTCATCCCATCCCATCCCCCTGCTTGAACTGAACCCATGTCTTTTGTTGTGGTAGTTTGTAGTGTAGAGGCTGTTTGTTCCGTTCAGCCTTCTGCATGTTTCTTAGCTTGTTCTCCCTCCTGTTTGTTCCTTTAGATGTAGGGGTGTCGATCTCGGTTACGAAAAGGAGCCAAAATTTAAAAACTTTGTCCGATCCATGGGTCACTTTCAGCTAATACATTAACTTGAGTCGGATACCTGGTAACTTTTCTTGGTTGCAGGTTTATGAACAAGAGTTTGATCGGTCTCATTTAGTTGCTCTTTGCACATGAGAGTCAATAATGCTGGAATGACCCAACCTTTTTTTCTGGCTTCAAAGTAGTTAGCCAGCTGGTAAGAGAAGTCTATACTAAATGATGTATTTATCAGTTTTTTTTAAAGAAAAAAATAGAAGAGATACAGTATTTTACATTTAAATCATCATCTTGGGGGACCAGATTTCCCCCCACGACTCTTGAGTTTGACGTGAGGTTCTCTGCTTGGTGAGTTGTTTTTTTTTTTTATAGTCCCCCTCACCATCACAGGTCTGCTGGGGTTTTTACCCATGATCCAGTTTGGTGTAGAACAGTGGACTCTTTGGAAACTTTGCAACTGGGCAAGTATACAGTCACGATTTAGTACGGTTCATATTAACTCTAGCTGTAGTTGAAGTAGGTGTAGTTGCACTGTTGCAGGATGGAGCCCTTTTGATGCCCTAAGTGGGAGTTCACCAACAAACAAACCGGATGCCTATTAGGAAACGGCTATTAGATGTTGAGTGAGATGTTTTGATGAGTGAGATCAAAATTTCCCATTTTAAACGGCAACACTAACTAAATGAATTGCTGTGCAAATTCTGGTCCTTACTAACAACTTGTGAGTGGTTTTAACCTTATTAGATGTGAATCCAACTAGTCAAATAGATCAGTCACATTTGTCATGTGGCACAGTGTATGTTTTTAGTTTACATTCGTGTTTGAAGAGTAGCAGTCAGTTTTGAAATTCATTGCCACACTGATTGATTTGAAGCATATTTGGGGGGGGGGGGGGTATATTTGGTATTCCTGTATTGAGCTTTTGCTTCTCAAGAAAAATGAATTCTTCAAATGCGACTAAAAAGCTGAACAGCAGTTGGCAGTGAATTTCATGGGAGTTAAATTTAATTTAACACCCCCCTTATTGTCTACTCTTTGTTCTATCTCTGTTTCCATTTTCCTGCTTTTTCCTCTCCCAATTTCCAACCTTTCACACTTAGAAATCCCTGGTTCGGAGGACTCTCCGCAGGCAAGTCCCCTTGTGGTTGTCATCAGCTCTGTGAACGGTCAGGAGGCCGGGAGTGTCCTGGGACAGGTTCCAGAGGGACAGCAGCTTACACCTCTTACCAGTCCACTGCTTACTGATGCTGGGTACATCCGCAACGATGAGGAGGAAGAGGCGAGGAGGAAGGTGGGCAAGTGAAGTCGCTAAATTACCTTCTGGGGCATTTTCTTTCAAATCAAGCTAAGGATAGTAGAGATGTATAATCAAATGAAAGCATTTCCCTTTAAAAAAGGAAATAATCAGTACAAAGACTGATAAACGGAGTGGCATATCGATCTCATCTTTTCCTTTGTGTCCAGAAGTTTCCCACAGACAAGGCCTACTTTATAGCCAAAGAACTGTTGACCACAGAGCGGACCTACCTCAACGACCTGAAAGTTATCACAGAGGTAAAGCTTTCTGAATTACTCTGGCTTTTTTTGTTACGTTTCCATGCATTGTCTGCATGATTGAGCTTTGTTTCATTTTTCCAAGTTTTAGTCTTAATTTGTTTCTCTAAAGACTAAAAGTTTGTTTGACAAAAGCCCTATTTGCCTGGGATTAGTTTTACCTAGGAACCACATGTAATACATAAATTACTCCCCAACGTCTGCTTTTTATGTGGCACATTCGAACGGGATAACCAAAGCTTGAGATTTAGCTGAAATTTTCGGACATCTTCCGGATATGTTGTTAACGCGCTGCGTATTGCATAACATCTGCTTGTGTGTTCGCTTGCTCCTTCTCTTCATCCTTTTCTTCTTTTTGGCGACCGTTACGGGTCGATAGGCTTTTGCTGGTCCGGCACACAAAAGGCTATTTATAAACTACAATGCAGCCTCCATTGCCAAAAGCAAATAAAAATGCACCCAAGAAACAAAAAACGACTATTTGCATATTGGATTCCGCCCTTTTCTGTCTAAATCACAGAGATGCCTATTCGCATTGGATTAGTATATCACAGGACCCCGGAGTTCAGGAAAATATAGTAGGTAATTTGCGGGGGAATTTTTACTTTACAAATTACTGACAGCTTGTGTCATTTTTGAACTGTTATTCTGTCAAATAGTTATCAACAGTTGGTATTTTATCAGCTATCACATCAATTCCAGTAGTCCCTCAATACTTTGTGGTTCGAATTTTGGTGACTCACTCTTTTGTGGGTTTTCAACATAAGATTGTACCCAATGTTTCTGGTGGCCTGGCCACTCATTGATCGCTGCGGAGACTCCTTCTTTCTCTTTTTGAGGCTGTCGGCCTTAGAAAGAGAAAGGAGGGCTCGGGGTTTGGGTCTGTCTGCAAGCTGTGAGCTTCAGTGAGGCGAATACCAGAGTGAGCGCTATGGATTGTTTATTTTAAATAATCAAGCGCCACCTCAACCGAGCCTTAACCCGAATTGAGCCGGTTCGGGACATTTCCAGGTACTCCCGATGGCCAGTCCACCCTCGGGCGCTAATTGGCTCATTAACTGTAGCATCAGTCTGTCTGCGCTCCTTCACTGTGCTCTTGTAGAGCATTTAGAGGGTTTAGAACATTGTTAAGAACATTGCAAGAGTGTGGGAAGAGTTTATAAAGTCTTAAAATATACATAAATACTAAAATAAATATAGCATTCCTTTTCCACCTATTACGGTAGTGTCTGGAACGTAACCCCTGGGATAATCGAGGGACTACTGTATAGAGCACGAAGTACAGAGAAAAAGTCAGCAGTCTTCGTCCAGGCTAGGCTTATAGCTAGTTAAATAAAGGCTTGCCTTCGTTTTTTCTCAAACTCATCAAACAACTTCCTTTCAAAAATTACAAAATGGTGTAAAGGAATGCTACATTAGCTAACATTAAACATTTACACTTGGATGACACCGTTTTCTCGACCAAATAGAAAGAATGTATTTGTGCTGAGTTAAGATAGCCCCTTAAATGCCAGTGCTGGACGTGTCAGTCTGCCAAGAGTTGGGTAAAAGTTTGTGCTGATGAGTTGCCCTGATGGGGCAATATTAAACACAGATTGTGCTTGAAGTATATCTTGGAGGTCAGTCTCAGCTACTACCTCATTTAATGTTTAGCTCATTATCTTTTTGTTGATCAAGTTGTTTCATTGATAAAGTTTTGTTTGCTAGGAACTTATGAGTCAAGTGGCTCAGAGATATGAGGGTGCAAGGCAATTTAGGCACTTAAAGGTTAGCAGGAGAATTTTAAATTCAATTCTGGTACGTACAGGGAGCCAGTGACGGGAGGACAAAACTGGTGTAATGTGATCAAACCTACGAGTTCCTGTTAAGAGTCGAGCTGCAGCAATTTGGACAAGCTGGAGATGTGAAATGGAGACCTGACTGACCCCAACATAGAGTGCATTACAATAGTCCAGTCAGGTAGTGATAAAGACATGGACTAGTTTTTCAAGGTCAGTTCTGGACAACACTGGCTTAAGCTTAGCTATCTGCCTTAACTGAAAGAAGGTTTCTGCAGAACAGAGTTGATTTGTTTATTAAACTTAAAGTCAGAGTCTAAAACCATCTCGAGATGTGTAACAGACTTCTTAAGATATGGCTGAAGAGAGTCTAGATTTACAGGATCAGAGACAGCGGTAAAGCTATGGCTAAACACAATGACTTCAGTTTTTTGATCATAAAAACTTAAGGAATTTGAAGTCATCCATGTATTGATGTCATCAAGACATTTTACAGAGGGTGAATGGAGCAAGAACTGTTAGGTTTTAAGGGCAGATGCGTAAATTTGGCAATCATCAGCATAACAATGAAAGACCATGTTTTGTCAGGATAGACCCCAAAAGGAGCAGATAGTGAAAATAAAAGGGGTCCAAGAATTGAGCCCTGTGGGACCCCACAGGAAAGAGGCACTGACGCAGATACACTATTTCTAACCTTAACATATAAAATCCTGTCACTCCTGTCTCTGTTTTGTGGAAAAACTAGCATGTTTTTTTTTTTGCTCCTGAAGTACACACAGCCCACTAGCTTTTTGCTCCCTGGTTTGCAAATAAAATGCACCTAAATCAGCTCCCATGCTGTGTTTAAAATAAAATGTCTGGGGCTCGGCTTTACTGTCCGCCTTAATCTATGTTTCTACCACATGGGTAGAAAAACAACAGGAGCAGCGTGAAAAACACGAGTAGAAAAACAAAAACATTCCAGCACCTGCCTTGAGAAGCTTATCATGACCTCTGACCTCGCTTCAGGATAGAAAATAAATACCTCCGTTCTTTTCCTTTTGTCGTTTTTTTTTTTCCCCTCGGCAGCAGTTTACCCTCTTTTTCATGCGAAGTAAAGCGTCCACTGGCACTTATTAAATAAATCTATATGTTGTTTTTGGACGACATAGCTATGGTCTAAGGTTCCCACACCCTTCCTCCTGTCTCTCTGTTTTCTCACTCTGATCTTTCCATTCTCCCCCTGACTCATTCTGTGAGACATCTGGATGGCCTCCTGTCCACACTAGCTGTCAGGTTCGTGTGTGATTTACCCCGAGGAGAGAATCTAACACCCCAGTGTTGGGGGTTGGAGAGTGATTGCTCAGGGCGGTGAGGATCAGGCGGAGCTGATGTATGTGTCTGCTCACTGATGGATCTCCTCTGTCATCTGCTTCCAAGACAGATTCCTCGTTTTGTCCTGCAAATCTTATTTTAAAGCAAAGATTTACTCTGCTGTAAAGCAGTTAATATACTGTAGGTGGGGAGTTCAAAGACTAGTTGTGTGAATGTTTATGAAGCATTCACACTATTGTGATCCATTTTTTTTTTCCGTAGATTTTTCAGCATCTTTCTCGTTCCACAATTTTTGTGCTATTTCAAAAAATCATTAATCAAAACGTTCAGCTTGCTCAGGACAATCCTGTTAAGACTTTTGGTATTGGTGCAACTTTAGCTTTTTGAAATATTTAGCCTTTTCTGCCACTTTTTTTCTCATAGAAAATGAATTGAGCTCATTTTACATCCTTCAAATCTTCAGATGTGTTCACAAACTTTTACTGCTCCTTTCACATTTTGTTCTGCTTCAGCTTCTTTAAGCTTCCTTATGCAAATTTAAACTTTTTTCAGCTGCTTTCAGCTAATTTAAACTGTTTTCCATCAGTTTTGTGATCCTTTCACAGATTGTTTCTGCTAACTTGAAGATTTTTGTTTCTTCTAACTTCTCTTTGCTAACTTCAGCTTGTTTTGCCCCTTCCAGGATTTTTTGCAAGTTTCTGCTATTTCAGCTTCTATTTAGCTGTTTTATGCTAATTTATCCTTTACAGCTAATTCCACATTTTTTGCAACAATTTCAACTTTTTTCAGCCAAATTCAACAAAAATGTGCTCTTTCTACTTCCTTCTGGTGATTTCAGCTTCTTTCTGCCTTTTCAGCTACTTTTCAGCTGTTTTTTCAGTTGTTAATTTCAGCTATTTTCAGATAATTTTCACTTTTTGTGCTCATTTCAGCGTCTTTCAGCAAACATGTTCTTTCTGCTTTCTTCTGCTAATTTAAGCTTGTTCTACCTTTTCAGTTACCTTTAGCATTTTTTTAGCCAATTTCAACTGTTTTCAGATAAATTCAAGTTTTTTTGTGGTAATTTCTGCTACTTTCAGCTTAATTAAATTATTTCTACTAATTTCTGCTTGTTATGCTACTTTCAGAGTATTTCTGCTAGTTTCAGCTTTTTCTGCTATTTCAGCTGCTATTTAGCTGTTTTGTGTGAAATTTAACTTTTTCAGCAAATTCCAAACTTTTTCAGCTCCTTCCACTTCCTTCTGGTTGTTTAAATTTCTTTATGCCTTTTCAGCTACTTTTCATCCATTTCTTTGCTAATTTCAGCTTTTTTTTTTTAGCTAATTTCCCCATTTTGTGCTAATTTCTGCTTATTTAAACTTAATTCAGCAAATATGTGTTCTTTCTGTTTTCTTCTGCTGACTTTGGCTTGTTCTTCCATTTCAGCTGTTTTTCAGCAAGTTCTTCAGCAACAAGCATTAACACTGCATTGTTGCAGAAAATGCAATTTCTCTAGTTTTCAGTTCCAAATGTATTTTTTGTTTATTTTTATCACAGATGTAAACAATTGATTGCTTCACTGTTGCTCCTTTGTTTGTCTTTGTTTGTCTTCCAGTCCTTCCAGAGAACTGTGGAGAAAGACGAAGCGTTTCCAGCTTCACTCAGGAACCTGATGTCGAGCCACTACGATCCGATCTACAAGTTTCACCAGGGGTTCCTCAAAGAGACGGAGCAGCGGCTGGCGCAGTGGTGGGCATGTTTCTTTCCTCATTGCTGTGTTCGTCACAGGAGTTGGTCAGCTTCAATAGATTTACAGGGAAGTGCCAAAGTTCAGTCACACTGGTGTTTTGTTCTTGAGCTGTGCTTTAATGTGCCATTACCGAGAACAGACAGATGTAACGATTATTAAAGCTGCTAAAGCTCAATTAGGATCAATTTAATGTAAAAGCACGGGGGTGGACTGGTCATGGTTTGGGGTTACGTTGCAATCTGTTGCCTGGGAACATTTTCATGAGAAGATGTAGCCTAATATACTTGAGAAATATGTCTAATTTAACGTGAACACCTTTTCAAGGATTCAAGGTTCTTTATTGTCATTCTCATCAAATGTGGTACATGAGGTGGAACAAAATTGTGTACACAGGGGTCCCAGTTACATCCAACAATAGCAAAAATGTAAAGTATAAAAAGAAACAGTAAATAAGGATCTAAGATATATACGCTCAACGAACGCCAAACGGTACGCTAAAAGATCTAAGATATACGCCAGTCACTAATAGTGCCAAAACAATACACTGAACAACAGCAGCACGATTCTCATGGGTTCTGTTCGGCTATAATGTACACGATTAATGCGAGCACTAACATAAACTAAACTAACATCAACTAGGATTTATTCAAAGCATGCAACAAAAAATATAGAAACAATGCGCCAAAAGTGGAAAAGAAAATAAATCTACAGCAGCATGGTCCTGTTAGCAAAGTGGTTCTGATGACAGTGAGGTTATCTTAGCGACATGGTCCAGTTAGCAACATGATACTGTTAGCAGTGAGGTTTGGTTAGCAATGAGGTTACCTTAGCAACGTAGTCCAGTTAGCAGCATGATACTGTTAGCGGAGTGGTCTTTTTAGCGGTGTTAGCAGGTCCCGTTAGCAGCTCGATGGTAACAAGTTCAAGTTGTGTTTATTTGTCAAATGCAAGGTTAACACAAGGTTAACAGTACAATAAAATACTTAGGATGAGAAGAACCGATTGACTCGCAAAAAAAATCAAAGAAAAAAGCACGCAATAAGGGTACACAAAAAAAAGTACCAAAAAGTGAAAAAGTAATTAATTAAAATATTTATAATGTCCTAAAGAGAGATATTGAGCAACAACATGGTAGAATATGCAGCAGGATGAATTTGAATGAATAAGTATTTCGAGGTAGTAATTAATATTAGCTAAAATGCACATGATATATATAAAAAAAAGTTAAAACAAAAGCAACAGGAACAAAAAAAAAGATTGAGTTCACCGGGAGTCTGTGAAGCTGCTGCTGGCGATTCTTTTCCCGGATCTTCTGATTGGTGAGCGTTTCACGGCAAGGCATTTTCAAGAAGTTGTTTTAACAACAGCACCAACAAATCAAGGCATCAGAAAAATATAACATCCATCCATTATCTTTACCCACTTCTTCCTTTTCGGGTCACAGGGGTCAGTGGTGACCTTATCCAGCCATCACTGTGCGAGAAGCGGAGGACACCCTGGACAGGTCCAAGTTCATCACAGGGACACGTAGAGACAAACAAACATTTACTCTCTCTCACACCTAGAGACAATTTAGAGTTACCAATCAGTCTAACATGCATGTTTTTGGTCTGTGGGAGGAAACCGGAGTACCCGGAGAAAACCCACACATGCACGGAGAGAACATGCAAACTCCACCCAGAATGCTCCACCCCTCCAAGCCGGGACCTTCTCACTGAATGGCAACAGCTCAACCTACCACCATCAACTAAATGCCTTTAAATAAAATTAAATTAAAAAACGCATCATATCATGGCATCAACCCGCTCAAAGAATATGACTGTGTGTGTGTGTTGAGAGGGGGTAGCGGGTGTTACTGACATCAGGTGATTTCATTTTAGCTGAATGAAGGTAATTAAACAGGATTACTGGATGTAAACACATTCAAGGGAAAAATGAGAAGTATTTTAAGACCAGATTAGTAATCCTTCTGTTGTGCATTTGAAAGAACCCTAAGAAGGAAACAACCTGCTTTACACTTGTTTATTGATTTGCTTTCCTCATGTGAAGGTTGACAACTAAACACTTTTAGGTCCTAAATAAACCTACGTACATTTCAGACTGCTACCCAGTTTCTATTAAAAATAATTGGACGCAGATGAAAGCTAGCCCTTACCTGACATCTAGTGGTGTATAAGTGTTACTGCGCACAGGTAAAAAAAACTATCTTGTTGGTTCCTACAGGGAGGGTCGATCTAACGCCCATATCAAAGGAGATTATCAGCGAATTGGGGACATTTTATTGAAGAACATCCAGGGTCTGAGGGTAACCGCCTTCGCTTTGTCACACTTCCATTATCACGTTCATTGAAATCACATTTGCAACTCTCCGTTTTGACTGTTTGGTATTTGTAGCAGCTGACACTTCATCTGCAGAAGCATTCAGAGTGCTTGGTGGAGCTGGAACGGGCTTGTAGGTAGGTGGCACTGACTTAAGGAGAAAATTGCCAACGTAACTGGAGGAATATAAAAAAAATACCCTTTTTTTGTTTGACTTCAGGACGAGTCGGAAGGTTGAAACTCTGTGCAGGGACTTCGAGCAGCAGAGGATTTGCTACTTGCCTCTCTACATCTTCCTGCTCAGGCCTCTCCACCGCCTGCTGCACTACAAACTCATCCTGGAGAGGCTCTGCAAGCACTACCCGCCCACCCACGACGACTTCAGGGACAGCCGAGGTTACACGAGCGCTTCTGTTGTTTCTCGCGCTCCTCTTTGTCACGTTTCCGAATCTAAAACCTCCCGCTCTGTCCAACACAGCGGCCCTGGCCGAGATCTCCGAGATGGTGCTGCAACTCCAGGGCATCATGATGAAGATGGAAAACTTCCAGAAGCTTCTAGAGCTGAAGAAGGATCTGACCGGCATCGAAAACCTCGTCATCCCCGGGAGGGTTCGTCTCTTTGCTTGTACTTTCTCAGCCATACAAAAAATCCCTCATTCTGAACACAAAGAGTTTAACCATTTGGATTTGTTCTTGTTTCCGTGTCTGATGCGTAGGAGTTTATCAGGTTGGGTTGCCTCAGCAAACTCTCCGCGAAGGGCCTTCAGCAGAGAATGTTCTTCCTGGTATGACTCAGCACTTTATTTTAGCACCAACCGTGTCAAAACTACCCTGTTCTTTGTTAAACGTCATCTTCTGTCCTCCAGTTTAGTGATTGTTTGCTGTACACCAGTCGGGGGATGACTCCGTCCAACCAGTTCAGGGTCCACGGTCAGCTGTCTCTCTACAAAATGACGGTACGTTTTGAAAAATGTCAAGAAAAGCCAAATCAGTGTCTTAAGTGTTCCGTTCCAAAAACATTTCAAGTGTTGTTTAAAGTAGAGCCTGACCGATATTGAAATTTTGGCTTGAAGTCTTGAAACAGTCTTCCTAACGTGCGTTACAGCTGTCATTTCTAACCGGAGCCCGGCCCGGCCCAACCCCGGGCCATAATAATGTGCGGGCCAAGCCAGTATGGGGCTTTTGATTGCGTCAGCAGATGCGCGGCTGACGATGCAATTGTATGGCAACATGGCTTGCCATACAATCACCAGCCGCACATGGCCATTTGACCGCGCGCTGACCGGTCTTGAAAGAGGTAAAAAAAAAGTTGAGTTAAGCTTCAGATGGGACTATACTGCCAGGCAGTGATCCATCCAAAGCCCAAATGGACGTTCAGCCGCTGCACTCAGCGGACGCGCGTGGCCGACAACCCAAACAGGTGAGATCCCAAAATGTCCAACATGTCAGAGAAGGGTCCGTGTATGAATAATGCAGAATGCAGGTAGAAGCAGGGATTTAATGCGCTTTGACGGCCATGAAAGGACAAACGCCCCCTCAGCTCCGATCTTCTGCCCCCTTAGCCGCATGTGTCTGCCGACTGTTAATAACTATATAAGCAGTCAAAGCTTAATTGAAAATGTCAGGGGGTGGGGTGGGTGGGTGTTTGGGTTCGGACCTGTAATTACTGTTAATTCGTCGGATCGGATGGGTTTTGGAAATAATGGCTACAGTCTGGGGCCGGGTAGGGTCGGATTTTTTGGGACCGAATGCAACTCTTAACGTGCGTTCACATTTTCTCTCCTCCACTATTCACCATAAAGTTATCAAGTGTGTTACAAAAATATAAATGAAACAAAGAAACACCCTTCCCTGTTCATTGTTTAAACAGTCAGTCACATATGGTGAAAGACTAATTGGTATTGACCGCTGCAGTGTTTATTTTATATTTCTTTGCAGACAAGTAAAGATTTCAGACAAACAATACATTTCATTGAGGACGGCAAAGACAACATTACTAACGCCGTTATATTTTACCTCTACGTAGGGCTGGGCGATGTATCCAATATACTCGATGTATCGCAAGTTTTTCAATTTACGATGGTTAAAATGGCTCTATTGCAACCATCGGGCATTATTAGACTTGGAAAATCTGTGTAGTTCTCCTTTTTCTGCCCGTCTGCGCTGCCAACTTCACGCAGCCCCTCCTCCCTCACTGAATACAAACACAACTCCTCACGTGCTGCTTCACACACGCTTACTAACATCATGAAGGCGGCGCAGCTGAAGAGGATTGATATTTAATATATGTAAATAGTTTATTTTTAGACATTTATTTTGTGCAGTTACAGCCGTTTCTTAATAAATGTGCCTGTGTGACAACTGGGACAAAACTTTGACTCAGAAAAATATTTTTGTTATTACTTTATGCAAAAAAAAAAATATCGAGATGTATATCGTATATCGCAATTTATCTTAAAAAATATTGAGATATTAATTTGGTCCATGTCGCCCAGCCCTATCTCTACGTTAGATTTATTGTTCTGGATAAAGTTTTACAAGGCAATAGCCTATGCTAAATGCTAGCTTGCTAACTTGAGAGGCACGTAGCTAATGACAAGCAGGTTGGAGGATTGAAAATAATTTTTTTTTTTTTTTTTTTTTTACAGATAAGTTAAAATAAACTTACCATGCTCTGTTCAGCAAAATACGCCTCACAATATTGCTCGCTGCTTTGGCTGTGCTGAATTGAAAGTTAAAGTGAACGGCCATGACTTGAAAGTAGTCTGCACGTGCCCTCTGTTGGATACATTGTACAATTACGCCATTTGCCAGTAAGGACACGGCTTATTTCTAGTGTTTATATCGTGCAAGATTGGACAATTAGCACAATACCGATATGTCCCAAAATGCCTGTATCGTCCTAAAATATCGTCCTAAAATGTCGTCCTAAAATGTCGTCCTAAAATGTCGTCCTAAAATGTCGTCCTAAAATGTCGTCCTAAAATGTCGACCTAAAATATCGACCTAAAATGTCGTCCTAAAATATCGTCCTAAAATGTCGTCCTAAAATGTCGACCTAAAATATAGACCTAAAATGTCGTCCTAAAATATCGTCCTAAAATGTCGTCCTAAAATGTCGTCCTATAATGTCGACCTAAAATGTCGACCTAAAATGCCGTCCTAAAATATCGTCCTAAAATATCGTCCTAAAATATCGTCCTAAAATATCGTCCTAAAATATCGTCCTAAAATATCGTCCTAAAATATCGTCCTAAAATGTCGTCCTAAAATGCCGTCCTAAAATGCCGTCCTAAAATGCCGTCCTAAAATGCCGTCCTAAAATGTCGTCCTAAAATGTCGTCCTAAAATGTCGTCCTAAAATATCAACCTAAAATATCGACCTAAAATATCTGTCCCACCGATATATTGGTGGGGCTCTAGTTTGAAGTACAGTGAATATTTCTTTCCTGGAACGTTTGGCTTGATTCAAGATGGCCGCCACAGCCGACTGACCTGAGAAATCACCAAAATAGCTACAACTCAGTCCACTTTACAGACATTGAACTAAGCTTTGATGTAGTAGTAGGCTACAATTTTTCACATCACATACTTTGCGTGCTTTAAAAAAAAAAAAAAAGCTTTTGTTTCATCCTTACTAACGTCACATCTTTTTCTGTCGTCTCTCACAGATCAGAGAAAGCGAGGAGGAGTGGGGCGTCCCCCATTCGTTTACGTTGTTTGGCCAGCACCAGTCTGTAGTGGTGGCCGCCAGGTACACGTCAACAAATGTCTTAAAATCAAAGGAAGCTACTTTTAAATCAGCGACTCCCGCTGTTTTTATTCAGGATTACATTGTGCAGATGAATATGTGGTGTTTGACATCTCCTCTAATAACAGCTGTGCTTAATGTACACAGCTGCGAGTCAGAGATGGAGCAGTGGGTGGAGGACATCAGGATGGCTATCGACCTGGCAGAACAGAGCAGCCTCCCAGATGCCGGCCTGCTTTCCACTAGTCCAGCCGAGAACAGTGAGATGTTTATCTGGGTTTTACTGCAGTTCTTTTACTCAAAACGCCTTCAGCTCTCACAGATACTTCATTTTAACCTGAAAGAAAGCAGCTTTGAATAGTCCTACGCTGTCTTTCATCCTGTATGTGAGCAAAGTCCCATCTCTCTGCTTCTTTTTACTTTTCATCTCACCCACTTGTGACACTGAGCATTCTACTTGTAGATTTTCTGTTTGACATCTCCCTTTAGCTGTTTTTATCTTGCAGTTTTAAAGTGTTGTCTTATTGGGAACTGCCTAGAAAGGCAGCGCCTATTATTATCCACCTGACAAGGGTTTCTTAACTTTATATCTTACTCTTCTGTCAACTTTAATGCGGCCCAAACCGCAACGTGTCCCCCCTACAAATGTTATATCAAAACGGCCGGCTCAGCACCGTGATATGTGCTTTTACTTTTCTTGGCGTTTCGAGTTACTATGGTGATGTAATTTGCAAACATTTTCAAAGACTAGTTGCAAATCAAATATCCAAAATGGCCACCTGAGTTAAGAAGGAAAAATACTATAAATCACCCATGTTTAGAGATATTAAGCTGAAATTTGGTGTGGTAGTAGCTGAGAGTAATGCCCAATAAATAATGAATAATTAAAAAAAAAAAATCAAGATGGCCACCAAAGCTCAATTTCAACGACTTGAACTATTTTTACAGAGATGAAATTTGGTGTGGTTATTTCTCAGGACCTTCCCCATCACATGCTGAATCCAAATCAAAAATCCAAGATGGCCACCATAGCTTAAAAGAAAAAAAAGACTAACTCATTGATATTTTTCCATTTTAAGCTGAAATTTGTTATACTGGTAGCTGAGAGCGAACCCCAACACATAATACTGTCAAATAGAATTTTTAAAATGGCCGCCACGTGGCAGTCCCCATCAAAGTTCTTCCTGGTCCTATCTAGTTTTTCTTTTTTGTCACTCAAACTTAACTAAAATGTCTTTGATGGCTCAGGATTTAGCCTCACATATTTGTTGCGTCAGAGGAGCTACTGTTTGTTCCTGATATGACAGCTGCAGAAAAAGAAAGAAAAGCGTCCGCGTTCAAGTGTTTAGTTGTTTTAGAGAGAACTGCTATGAAATCTGCATCCAAATGATGAGTTTTCATTAAAACTCCCAGCAGCAGTCCGCAACAACGAGGACACATTTCGACTCCTTCCATTACGGATCTGTTTTCTTTAAACGTCAGCAGATGCTCCTGACCTTTTCTAAAGTAAATGTAGAAATGCTCCCACGAGGATCGACTGGACTAGTTTTATTTTTTGTCCTAATCTAAGCTTAAACGTCACCTAATTGAGCTCAGTTTAATTATTTTTAATCTATCCTTGACCAAATTTGTCGTAGCTTGTTTTAGTTTGGTTTAGTTCATGTCAGTTTAGTTTAGCTCTTTAAATATTTGAACATATTTTACTTTGGCTTAGGTGAATTAGTTTAGTTTGAGTTGGCATGGTTTCTTACCCTAGCTTGATTTGGTTTGGCTAAATTAAATTTACCGTAATTTCCAGACCATCGAGCGCACCTGAATATAAGCCATGCCCACCAAATTTAAAAAGGGGAAGAAAAAAAAAATCTGCATATATAGGCCACACTTGTCTATAAGCTGCAGGTGTCCACGCTGTAATGAGATATTTGCACAGCAAACAAAACGTTTACTATTTTGTATATAGTAGTACTTCGATTATCGTGGGCGTTACGTTCCAGACACCCCCGCGATAGGTGAAAAACCGCCAAGTAGGAATGCTATATTTATTTTAGTATTTATATATATTTTAAGGCTTAATTAACCCAAAAGCTCTGTTCCAGTTGGGCTCGGTTCTGGTTCGGAAGACCTACCCTGCAGCGACGAAGCCCACCGCCCCGTCCAGGTTGATGTGCACGTGAATAATTGAGCTTCGGGAAGATTCAGGAATATTTGTGACTTTCCTGCCAGTTCTGTGTGCTTAATATCTAGATCGTTACTTCTGACTTTGTGTTTCTAAACTTTCCCTCCATTTTGGCAGAAAGTAGCGGCCGTAAGTACTGTTGGCTTCTGGGAAGTGTAGTTCTTTTGAATGGCATTACGGTGTAGACTTATTGAAAGAAAACTACAAAATGGCAGCGCCTGTCCAAAGTTTTTTTTGGTAAACTTTTTATCTCATACCGTCCCAATCACAAGCAATATTAAAGTTGACATTTGTTGAAAAACCGCAAAAGAGTGAGTCCGCGTAAGTCGAACTGCAAATTAACGCGGGACTACTATTACAGTACGTATTGTAGCATTTTGCTGTGGTTGACTGACGGTCACATAGCCTCAGGGAGCCCTGCCCCCTCCAAGTGAACCACTGAAACCAAGTTTCATTGGTCCACTGTGACCTGTTCGGTAATTTAATTGGTTAGATTTTATTTAATTTATTTTTTTACTTTATTTGTACAGGTAGTCTCATTGAGTCATTGAGTCACCCCCCAAGAGAGACATGTATTGGGCAGTTATGCGAGTGCCCGGGTGTGACGAGGCTAAATGTTTTGGTGGCATGAAGCTCGTAAGCTCGCGTGTGAAAAAAGTAGCGGCTTATAGTCCGGAAATTACGGTAGTTCATTTTAACAAATTTACCTTTGTTTACCTTAATTTAGTTTACCTTAAATAAGTCGGGCTTATTCTTTCCCTGAAACAGACATAAACTACATAAAAGCATTTATTCCTCATGAAGATACATAAACCAGCCTGTCAAAATAAGACTAGACTCACGTTTTCACTGTAAAAACATCAGGATGAAGATGTGAACAGAAGCTCTTCATGTTGCCTCTCTGGTTTGTTCCTCAGAGCTTTCAGAGGATGGTGGAGCCGAGCTGGAGTCGGAGGAGGAGCTCTCCGGCTCGCGTTCGTCCCTCGAGCGTCAGAGTCACCGTGGTAACACCACCGTGCACGTCTGCTGGCATCGCAACACCAGCGTGTCCATGGTGGACTTCAGCATTGCCGTGGAGGTAACACACGCAGCATTTCTCACCCGTTGTCTTGTCATGTTGAGTCTGTTTTTGTCCACTTGGCTTGACTCTGTGTTGTTATCTGTCCTGGTATTCTTTCTTTGTCCTGTCTGTATTGTTGTGGCCAAATATCAATATTGTACATTATCAGTAAGCAAAATTAGTTGACACTGTCTCTAAATGACAGCAAAAAGATCTTTATGGGCTTTATGAACCTTATTCCAAGGCCCCATGATGCTTTGCATGTATTATGTGCGTGACTTCCAGCTAGGACTGTGCGATACGAGGAAAATCTAATATTCCGATATTATTTTGCTATATCACAATACACAATATATATTACGATATTTATAAATAACCTCCAGTGTTATTTTAAACTATATAGTATGTAAAATGTCACTGGTGTACCCTATTCAAACAGACCATTCATGTTTGGTCAAATAAATAAATAAAAACGTCAAATACTATAAACCAACTGTGAAGATCACAGCTGGTTTATTTGACTTTAGTGAGTGGGAAGACGTTGACATACGGAGTTTACAACATTCTTCATTTTGCAGTGGATGACTTAGGTGGTGAAATAAATTTGTGGTACTTCTACTTTTTGTGGCAATGGTTTTACGACACGTTTTGCAAATGACCACATTTTGTTCGACATCCTCCTTATAAAACCCAAACCACTGCCAGATTATTGATCCACTGCTGTTTGTTTCATTTCGGAACTGGTTCATCGGACTCCTCTTCAGTTACCGTCTCATTTACCTGCTCACCTGAAACTCCCGCTGTCGCCATATTTTTTTCAGATCTCCAAGTTTATATGCGCATGCTCCACACAGCGTGTCAGGCAGAAAATTTTCAGGTTGGGAGGAGGCAGAGATTAGTGAAGCATTCGCTGCGTGTCGGATAAACAACAATCACGGTGAATTAGATGCAGAAAGCTTATTATTTGAATGGCAATTTGTACTTGATGGTTGTGATAGCCATTTTAACCATCGTATGTTGAAAAACTTGTGATACATGGAGTATATTCGATACACCGCCCAGCCCTACTTCCGGCGCTGACCAAAACCGGCGTTTATGTGCGAACCAGGGGTCAAATAGACAAGTTGACTAGTCAACTAGTCTAGACTAGACTAGTCAACTTTTATATTTTGCGCAGACTAGTCGCACCTCCCCCCCACTGTTCCCAACCCAATTCCACCCAATCCACATGGTGGATTAAATAAAACAAAACTAAAAACATCAGCATTTTTGCAGCTTGGTAATAGTTTTGCTTTTCCTTGGACTTACAGTATTTGCAGTATGATAAATGGTAGGTGCATAAATATATGCCTGATGTTTAGTTTTTTTTTTGTTTTTTTTTGTAAATAATAAATGACTTTTTCCCCCCAATTTTTTGTTGCAAATATGATATAGCATCTTGAGTTCCTATGATGTCGTCGACTAGTCTAAGTCGACTCGACTTTTATCATGTTAAAGTCGACTTTTAAGAATATGTAGTCGTTTAACCCCTAGTGCGAACATTATGAGCTAATGTAGTTTCTCCAAGCATTGTGGCTTTAATTTAAACATGTAGGAACGCCACCTGTCCAAGCTCAAACAGGACAATATAATCATACCGCTGCCTACTAGAAAGTGGCCGCAGAAATTTAGCTACTTCACTGACTCGGTTCTTCCGACGGTGAAGCGATGAACAACATGAAAAGCTCTGAGGCATATTAGTATCTACTAGGGGTTCACCGATTGCAGTTTTCTTGCCGATCACCAATTTCTACGAAGTCTGACCTGCCAATTCCGATTTTGACCGATACGATTTTGTTTTATAAGCAACACTGTCAGATGTTATAAGGTCACAATGCACCTTCAATTTTCCAATATTATTTTGTTGAAAAACATACCCTTGAACAATATCCTAGAAACAATACAGACTTGTTTTAACTGGCCATGAGGTAGTGCTCTGAAATATAAATGAAGTTCAGACAATTGTTACAACAAAAAAAATTGGTAAAATCGGTTTCTCATGCAAGTATTGGCTGATTTCCCAAAATTAAGGAAATCAGGGCCGATAAATCGGCCGGACGATTTATCGGTGCACCGCTAGTATCTGCACAGTTATAAGGTCAGTGGTGTTTTGTTAAGAGTTGGGACACAATTTTATTCATCTTAAAGCAGACAAAGCCCAAGCAAAATCCTTAAAGTCCTCCATCACCGAGCCAGGGTTAATTGCAGAGAAAATCGTAATACTGAACACGAACATCCTTCATACACTTGAAATCATACCTGATATTCTCGTCACACTGTTTTCAATCCTTCTGAGGGTCCAGCGTCTCTTCTCCGGTGGCTTATTGTAGCCCAGCCACAAAGAAGGATGCAGGTTTTCCTCCGTCTGCCGTTTGTCAACAAAGTGAAACGAGCACACATACAGCGTTTTGGGTGGTTTCTTCAAGTTCACATTTTTCAGCCACATTCTTCTATATTCCTCATCTGTAGGTAGGCGATGGAAATTATACCGCTTAGGAACACTTTTTTTTTGTTTTGGGTCCGAGTTCAAAACACTGTTGCTGTAGCCACTGATTTAGTTTGGTCTGGTTGTTAGTGCAGCCGCGAACAGCACAACAGGTACCTGAACTCCGTGAGGACATTTTTATTAAACTTTACGTTCGTTAAATAAATGTGAACAAAACAAAAACTGCATTTTATCGCAAATTATCGTATTTTCCTTTTTATAAATTGCTCTTTTTTTCATAGTCTGGCTAGTCCTGTGACACATAGTTCGAAGCGACTCGTATACATTTTTCTTCTATTCATGATGCAATTTTTGACTGACACGTTAAATGTTCCTTCATACAGAAATGAATCAAAGAGTAAACATTACCATTTTCAGCCGCAAGAGGGCCCTCTAGGCTTTTGACAACTGTATGTTGTTCCTCTTCTACTAACACCCCCCACCCAACTTCCTTTGGAGTTGGTGGAGTTGTTCAGAAGCGACACCATGGATGGTAACTTGCTTGTCGGACTTGTTGATTTATGTTAATTAAGCCTGTTCAGGATCCCAGGTATGTTCTGTGTACTCACACTGTGCGCAAACATATAACCGTCGACAGCATAAGTCCACAGGGGCGGACGCGCAACCTGTGTCTCTGCTGTGACAGACAGACTCAGAAAATGACGGAAGGGGGCGGGGGAGGGGGGGTGTTCTGTCTTTCCCTATAGCTGCTGCAGCTTCAGTGAGACAGTGAGTGAGACAGGACAAGTGTGGCTTGTTTACTTAAGACAATAAAGCGCAACCTGAACCGAGTCTTTAGTCCAGTCCCTCAGTGACCACTGAGCGGGCCAGGCCACCAGGAAATGTCCTGGCGATGCCAACGGTCAGTCAGTCCCGTGTGTTATTGTTATTCCAGATTAAATGTCTGTTCTTGCACTTTGTGAAATACACTTCTAAAAAAAAGTGACTTATACTCTGAAGTAGGGGTTGAACGAGTATATAATTTTTAAACTCGACATTAACATAATAAAACCCGAGTAGAACTCGAGTATTTGATGACGTCATAGATCTCAAGATACAAAAATAAATAAATAAATAAAACCGCAATAAAAGGTCATTATTTACAAAAAAAAAAGACCAACAAAACATTGGGAGCGTATATTATGCTCCTACCATTTATCATACTGCAAATAAGTCACAGGAAAAACTAAACTATTAGTTATTATTATTAAACTGCAAACGTGAAGAAACGCAGAACGTCAAAAACGAAACTTAAAAACAGTGGATGGGCGGTGGATTGGACCCGGTGTTACACTAAACTCTGTGACCTGCAACAGTGCAACACGGTCCCCTACGGTCATACGGTGGTCACATAATATGACGTCACTACGGTTACTCGACGTTACATTTTTAACCTCGATAGATGTCCTAGCAATCAATGTGTAGATTACTCGAGTACTCTGTTAATGCCCTACTCTGAAGCGACTTATATTTCGTTTTTTTTCCTCTTCGTGATGCGTTTTTTGACTGATGCGACCTATATGCCAAAGCGACATAGTGCGGAAAATACGGTACTTTCAAATAAACCGTGGGCCGTGCTCCGCGCCCATGATCAGCCAACGCTTACTGTTACTTCCGGTGTCTGACAGGGAGTTGTGCACATAATCATTTATGCAGTAGAGCCCCCAGGAATAAGGTGGATAAAGAGCTTCAATGTGTTGATCAGTCAAAAGAGCAACAGAATCCATAACAGCCCAACCCATATAGATTTGCACCGACACTTTATACATTCCTTTTGCATCCCTACAGATAGTTTATCTCTCACTTGATCACTCATCAGGGAGAACTCTCTGGGTCAGCTTAACCAAAACCCAAGACCCTAGCCAAGACTTCATGGAGTCTGTAACTCCTATTCACATAGACTCACCAATAAAATGTCTTGTTTCTAGAAACTTCCCTTTCATATCTGATGGTGATAAGACCTTTCATGCATATTATATCCCAAGTTATTACTGATGATATGACCAAAAAAAAAAACATTCTACCATGGCCCAAAAAGGGTACCTGAGTATTCTGTCTCATTGTCTTGTGCTTGTGTCCCTTCTGTCTTCATCTACCTGTGTCTTCTGGCTCTATCTGTACCCCCATTTGTTTGACTGCTCACACTGGCTTCACTAGAGGCCAGTAGCCCAGTCCATGAGTTGATGAGGCCCCTCAGCAGCCATCAGGGGCCCCTGTCTTTTACTGACACCTGCTGGAGTAAAGAGGTACTGCAGCAGCCGTGAAGGGAGATTTGTCCGTTTTTCGTGAAAATGTGATCTATTAACCTTACTCCGGGATGAGCTCTACTGAATCCTGAAGTAGAATTTGTTCAAGCAAAGTACATAAAAAAAGGTAAAAACACCTGAGATTTATGTGAAAGCATGCTCTATTGAAGGAGAACAAGCAGAGGTTTAAGAAGCTGGCACGTTTTTTTTTTTTCCGTTTTTTTTTCCTACATCAGAAATTGTTTTATTTAGCTGTTGTTGTTTTCCTGTCCACCTTGTGTTTGCAGAACCAGCTCTCAGGTAACTTGTTGAGGAAGTTTAAGAACAGCAACGGCTGGCAGAAACTCTGGGTGGTCTTCACCAACTTCAGCCTCTTCTTTTACAAATCACACCAGGTAATTTTTACCAACCTTTAAACTGGTTTGAGCAATGGTCACTCTGTGATGACGGTGAGGATGTTTTTCTCTTCTCCTTGTACCCGTTTCCCTGCAGGATGAGTACCCTCTGGCCAGCCTCCCTCTTCTGGGCTACTCTGTCACCGTCCCAGCCGAGTCTGAGAACATCCACAAAGATTACGTATTTAAACTTCACTTTAAATCCCACGTGTACTACTTCAGATCGGAGAGCGAGTACACGTTTGAAAGGTGGGTATTCACTAAGGTACATCAATGCCTCTACTGGTTTAAATCTGAGCGAGTTTTTCACTTTAATACTTCAAACAACATGAAATTTCAGCTTTTTGTGGATATATAGTTCCATTTTTATATTGCTGTAATTCCAGGTAACATCTCATAACTAACACTTAAGTTTTAGTTTAAGCTTTTTTTTTGGACACAGGTTTTAGCTTTCAGTTTGTAATTGTTCAAACAAAAATTTTAACAGTAAATCTCAAGATAAATTGCATTTCCTGTGACAATGCAGCGAGAATGCTTATTGCAAAAGAACTTGCTGAAAAAACAGTTGAAATTAGCTAAAACATGCTGAAATGGACAAACAAGCCTAAATTAGCAAAATAAAACAAAAATAACACAGATTTGTTGAATTAGGTTTGAATAAGCAGAAATGAGCACAAATATTAGGAAATTAGCTAAAAAAAAAGCTGAAATTAGCAACAATGACAAAAAGCTGTAAAGTAGCTGAAAAATCAGAAAGAATCTTAAACTACCACAAGGAAGTGGAAAAAGATTAAATGAGCTAAAAATGTGGAATTACCTGAAAAAGCTCAAATTAACATAAAAAATAGTTTAAAAATAGTAGCTGAAACTAGCATAAAAAGGCTGAAAGGAGCATAACAAGCTGAAATTAGCAGAAAGAAGTTAATTAGGCTGAAAGGAGCAGATTTTACCAAGTAAAACTTGAAATTATCTGAAAACAGATCAAATTAGCTAAAAAAGGTAGAACAAGCTTAAATTAGCAGAAAGAACACAGTTTGCCCAATTAGATTGAAAGAGGCCAAAATGAGCACAAAAAAAGTTGGAAATATCTGGAAGGAAAAAAAAAGCTGAAAGTACCAAAAACCAGCTGAAAAGTAGCTAAAAAAGCAAAAAGAAGCTAAAAGAAGGTAATGGAGATAGCACATTTTTGCTGAATTAGGCAGAATTTTTTTTAGATTAGTGCAAAAAATGTGGAATAATCTGAAAAAGCTTAAATTAGCATCAAACAGCTATAATAGCTGAAATAGTAGAAAAAGCTGAAACTTTCAGAAATAAACTGAAAGGAGCATAGCAAGCTGAACTTAGCAGAATGAAGTAAGAAGAAGCACAAAAATGTTGTAGTTAGCAGAAAGAATCTGAAAGGAGCACAAAACAGCTGAAAAAACAGCTGAAAGTAGCTGAATTTTTTTTTTAATTTGCACATGGAAGCTGAAGGAAGTTGACCGTTTTGATACGTGATTTCTTGAAATAGCTTGAAAACTGCGGGACGAGAATCATGCCGAAAAATGTACAGAAGAAAAATGATCACGAGTGTGAATGCTTCAAGTTCAACTTTTCTGCATTGCTTTGTCTTCATGCTTAACGGATTCCAGTTTAAGTTCCCATTAAAAGGAGTTAAGGCTGTGTGCCTTCATAATTCAGAGGCAAGAATACTCATTATTTAAAAGTCTTTTAAAACATTTAGACAATATCAAATTAATCTTAAACAAAAATTAGCAACACTTGTTAATTCAGAGGACAAATATTTGTTTTGGCTATAGCTCAGTTTAATTTAGCTTTGACCTACTTTAGAGTACCGTAATTTCCAGACTACAAGCTGCTACTTTTTTCACACGCTTTGAACACCGCGGCTTATACAATGCTGCAGCTAATTTATGGATTTTTTTTTTGATGGGCTAACGAGATTCATGCCACAAAAACATTTAGCTTCGCCACACCCAGGCGCTCACGTAGCTGCCCAATACACATCTCTTGGGGAATAATGATCTATGACTTCCTGGTAGACTATTGTATTTTTTTTTATCAGCCGTGTTGGAGGCACTGTTCAGAAAAAAACATGTACTGTGTGCGTGTTACCGGTACATATTTAATTAAAAGTAAAAAATATATATTTCTGTGTAAATATCTCATGTTACAACGTGAACATCCGCGGTTTATAGACAATTGCGATCCATTTATGTAAAATTTTAGTTTTCTTTTTAATTTTAGCGGACGCGGCTTATATTCAGGTGCGCTCAATAGTCCAGAAATTACAGTAGTTTAATTAATTATGGCTTAAGTTAATTTAGTTTAATATAGTTTATCTAAACTTTGTGTACCTTAGATCATCTGTTTAGATTAGTGCTGCTGTTTAATTTGATTTTTCACAATTTAGTTTTATTGTATAGATAATGGATTTAGTTTACTGTATTTGTTGAAAGCAAAATTAGTCGCACATGAATTGAGTTTAGTTGATATTTGCTTAGCTCATTTTAGTTTAATTTAGCTAAATCTGGCTTAGGTTACCGTAATTTCTGGAATATTGAGAACACATGAGTATAAGCCACGCCCACAAAAAAAAAATCTTGTACATATATAGGTTGCGCTTGCCTATAATCCGCAGGTGTCCATGTTGTAACATGAGATATTTACACAGAAAGATTTTTTAAATCTTTTAATTAAATGTGTACCGGTAACAAATACAAATGTACGGTGGCCTTAATGTGTAAATGAACATTTGAAAAAACGTAATTACATTTTGAAAAAACACAACAAAGACAGGAAAATCACAACCACATTTGAAAAAAACGGAATTACATTATGCCAAACAGGAAGTTTTTTTAATTTTTTAATTTTTATTTTACTTTATTAACAACATAAAACCGAACAACAGAACAATACAGTACACACACAATGGAGATACAATTAGCAGGCTATCCTTTTAACTGTATCTCCATTGTGTGTGTACTGTATATTGTTTTGTTGTTCGGTTTTATGCTGTTAAGAAAAAAAAAAAAAAAAAAAAAAAAAACTTCCTGTTTGGCTTAATGTAATTCCGCTTTGGCTTAATGTGATTCCATTTTTTCAAATGTAATTTTGTTTTTTCTAATGTGATTCAGTTTTTTTCTAATGTAATTCCTTTTTTAAAAATTTTGTTCATTTACACCTTAGGGCCACCGTACAAATTTTTTTTTCCGCACAATGTCAGTAACACGGCTGGTTAAAAACAAACAAACAAAAAAACCCAGTAAACCTACCTGGAAGTCATTGATCGCTATCTTCATCTTCCTCCTGCTCCACTGGCAGGATCTACTGGCAGCAGAGCAAAAGTTGCTCTACACATATAGAAAAAGTTGGTCCCACCTCCGTTCTCTCTTCCCCTCCATCATTGGTCCACTGTGAACTGTTTGGTCATTTCATTGGTCAGCTTTTTTTTAACCTTTATTTATACAGGTAGTCTCATTGAGTCACGAGGACCCACCCCCGTAGAGAAACGTGTACTAGACAGCCATGTGAGCGCCCCGGTGTGACGAAGCTAAATGTTTTCGCAGCATGAAGCTCATTAGCCCGTCAAAAAAAATTTTTTTTTTTAAATCCATAAATTAGCCACAGCATTGTATAAGCCACGGTGTTGAAAGTGTGTAGAAAAAAGTAGTTTAATTTAATTTAGCTTAGTGTAGGGTCCTTTATTTAGATTGTTTATTTCAACATAATTACTTATTTTAAAATCTTATTTATCATACTTTATCTTATTGAGCCACATTTAAGATTTTTTTTGTTATCCACGTTTACTTTAATACAACTAATTTTGGCCTTGGTTAATTTAGTTAAATTTAGCTTAGTTTAACTTGATGTTTTCGTTTATTATAACTCAACTTACCTGTGCTTGGCCTAAGTGAGTCAATGTAGGCCAACTATGATACTTTTGTCTTACGTAGCATAGCTTGTCAACCTATTTGTTTAGACCACTTGTTTTGAATCCATGTTTTTCAGGTGGATGGAGGTGATCCGCAGCGCCACCTGCTCCACCAGCCGCTCCCTGCCAAGCACAAGGAAAGATGTGTATTGATCACCCTGCCCTCCTCCTCCTCCTCCTCCTCCTCCTCCTCCTCCTCTTCCTCTTCCTCACACTCGCCTTAAGGAAGACCTGGACTTCAGGCTGCACAGATAACAAGACAAACTTTCCTCACAGACACTGAATCATGTTGCACACAGAAGACACTCATCAAAACGCTCATCAGTCGCTTTTATTCTGTTCAGGAAGTCCTCACACGTCACCTTTTCTTTTTCTTTTTTTACACTTTCTCATCGCTGCATCTGAAGTTGTCGGCGATGTTTAAAAAATTTTGTGCCAAACTGGAAGTTCCTCTGACAATATTTTTCGCTTACATGCACACGTCACGGTTAGGAGAACGAGGATAATAAGGGGTTAAATCATGACGCGTTCTGAAAGTGACCAAAGGGAGGTGGAATGAAATATTCAAGAAAAAGCCGTGTATGATCAGATTTGGGACACAATTGGAAAGTTTTTCTTTTTTTGTAATGTGCTTTTTTGTACAGTATTTTGATACACTGTGAAAACTCATCTTTTTGTCATTTGGTTTCGTCTGAGAGGACAAACTGAAATAAAAACACTTCAGATCTGCTTCCAAAGCCAACAGGAAGTTTGGTTTGTCGCCATTTACTTCTTGAAAGTATTCCACCAGTTTTCTGGACTGTAGTACTTTTAAAATGGATAAACAAGATTTCACCAATCTGAAAAAATAAACGAGATAAATCAGAAATGGTCTTTTTTTTTTTTAAATATCTTATTTAATTGTGGTAATCATAGCCATTAATAGGATTATTATTTCTAAACGGAACTTATTTAGTTTTACTTGGTAACAACAATAAAAAAATGGTATCGTTTAAAACAGTACTTGATCAAAAAGCAGCAAAACAAGTTGTTAAAAAGTGAGCAATGAAATGTATAACGTTAAAAAAAACAAGGTACAGAGCTAGAACGTTTTCATCCATAAAATTAATATTACATACACAAAACTTGAATATAACAGAAAAATACTTCAGAAGTTTCAGTAGTGCCTGCACATTTTTTATCTTCATGTTAAAAGTGTCTATATAAAACCCCCTTCTCGGCTAATAAAACTCCTCTTTATTTATATTTATCATAAAACTAAAGAATGCATTCAACCATACTGTCCACTAACGCAATAATGAAGTAGAATTAAAAACTGAAAATTTTGAAACTATTAAACGATGTTTTCTTTCATGGAAAACATCTTTGAGATGTTTAAGCCAGCAAATGAGATGACCCCTTCAGTCTTCATTATCTTTGCAATCATATACAAGGCCATGATCTCCATACGCATCATAGCTATCGAAGGTTGGACCTGACGGCCAGTCGGGTTGGTAAGTTGTGGTGCTGTATACAAACACCTCAGTGATGCTGCCCGGCAACATCTTGTCACCGTCCGTCTTCCCCGCCGACTCCTTCACCTCCAGCTCCACCACGGTCCGCTGGTATCTGGCGGGGACGCTTTCAAAGTCGTCCAGGAAATCCAGCATCCGCTTGTCCACTTTGTAGATCTCCCCATGGACTCTGTGACCCCGTCCGGGGAGGTTGAGGAGGTAAGGGACGTTGTACTTGCTCGCAATCACCAGCGGGTATTTGTGGGTGGTGAAAGCAGTGGCGACAAACTCGGCTTTTCCATTATTGCTGTCCATCATGTAGTGGTAGTTCGGCTGCCCCTTCTTCAGTATGCCGTAAACAAAGACGTAAGCCATTAGGAAGGAAGGAAGGCACCTGGGGGGGTAGGGGAGTGATGCATTAAAATTTTTTTTTCACACAGTTGTACTAAATGTTATGCAACAACACCAAAGTTCATACTCAATAATCCAGGTAGGTAATAACCCAACAATGTTCAATCAGGTCATGCTTTTTTTTTTTTTTTTTGCTGACTGAACATAGTTGGGTTATGCAACAACCTTTGACACAATTGAGGTTTCACATCTGGGGTCCTCCAGAAATGTTGTGGGCTCCTGCCCATGTATGACTGTCTGGTTAGCTCAGCACCCAACCCCACCACTCTTAGGGGTGGAGATTTTATTTAAGGGTAGACAAAGAAATGCTACTTGAAGGGGCGGCTCGTATTAGAAGCTCGTAAGTAGCTGTTGTGTTTAAAATGAGTGTTTATGTAATTGTTTTCTGTTTACATATCCATTATAAGATTCGTTCGTTCAAGGCAGTCATATTTGTTAATAACTTTATTAGTCATAAGCTTGAGAGTAACCGGATCCAAGCAAACCGGTAGCGGAATGCATCCTGTCAAAATATAAGTGTTCCCGAATCCTGTTCCGTCACGATCCAGCTCAAATTAAGCCCTGAGTTGGAACGTTCGCAGTCACGGGAGTGCGTGCAGCCTGTTTGAATGTCTCTCTTAATGTGACTCAGTGTTTCTGAATGACAAAAAAAAAAAACTTTTATGGGCCCAATTATTACAAAGGTATGTGTGTATTCTAACCGTTATCTTCCCTTAACATAAAATTGTCTTTTTGTTATTATTGGCTATCTGATGGATTTCTGCCTTAAAATGATTTGATTTCATTTAGGAGGGTTACGTTGTAGAAATTTTAAATTTAATTTAAACCCATTAAAAAAATCCCTGTAAATTGTCTATAAAGATCATCTCTCTGCTGTACATTGATCATGGATCATCCTCATACAATGAAATGAGTTTCTGCTTTAAAATGACTTTCTATCAGAGAAATGATCTTTTAAAGATTTAAAGCTATGTAGTGTTTTGAATCTTGAACAAATATATACAGGTGCTGGTCTCAAGGCTCAACGAGACTAACATGTATAAATAAAGGTTAAATTAATAAAATTAGCATATCATGGGAAAAGTATTTCATTAATTTCATTCATAAAGTGGAACTTGTATATTATATTCATTCATTACACACAGACTAATATATTTCAAATGTTTATTTTAATGTTGATGATTATAACTGACAACTAATGAAAACTTGATGCTGGACTTCAAGCAATGTGGATTCTGTGCCACTCCTCTCTTCCTCCAGACTCTGGGATCTTGATTTCCAAAGGAAATGCAAAATTTACTTTCATCAGAGAACATAACTTTGGACCACTCAGCAGCAGTCCAGTCCTTTCTGTCTTTAGCCCAGGCGAGACGCTTCTGACGCTATCTCTTGTTCAAGAGTGGCTTGACACAGGTAATGCAACAGCTGAAACCCATGTCTTGCATACGTCTGCGTGGTAGTTCTTGAAGCACTGACTTCAGTTGCAGTCCACTATTTGTGAAGTTCCCCCACATTTTTACCAGTGTGCAATGAATGAATATAATATACAAGTTTTACTTTTTGAATGGAATTAATGAAATAAACTGACAGGGTTTTACCTGTACCTTAAATAAAACACAGGGAGACAAGAATGAGATTTCTAGAACGTATGTTTGCAAAGAGGGACAGCGTTCAACCGAAGTCAGAACAAAGTCCAACTTGTTTCAGCGTGCGTTCCTTTTTTATTCAGGCAAGTAGGAATGCCAAACAGGAAACACAAGATCGGGTGGTTTTCAGGTAACAAAGACGTGGCAGTTTCTATCACAACAGGAACTGTGAGTTTCCAACAAGTCAGTAGAGAAAGGTTTCACAGCATTATAGAACAGTTTAAATGAGTATAAGTTTTAACGATCAATAGATAAAGTAAAATACTCTAACATTTTCCCTCCTATTTATCATTTAAACTGAGTAAAAAACAAAGAGCTATTTGAGTTCTAAGTTCAGCAGGAGATGCTGTATAAATGACGTGGATAAACCTCCCAGGGCTGATGTTTAAGAACGTGGAAGGAAAACACGTCATCGCTCCAGGCCCCTCTGGCAGCGGCCCATTCAGGCTCACTCAGCAGCTTACTGAAGTGAACTCAACATAGTTAAATCTAAAGTCAAATAAAACAAAACAAAATCACACAAGATCAAAGACCAGTCGACAACAGAACAACCTGGGCTCTTTATGAGCAATAGTTCTTTATGAATTGCAAAAATGATTGAGAGAAAAACATAAAATGAATAAAACGGAATAAAAATTTGCAAAGCATAAAATCATCAAAAATCAAAAATGTTTTTCAAAACAAACGTTTTTGGGTTGTCTAGATCATGGCCAGGTCAAGCTAAAAACATCATCTTAATGCCTGTATTTAAGAAATACTTTAAGCATTAGAATCATTATGCATTTTGTCTTGGCTGGTTGACATATTCAGGACGTCACTCTGGGTGCAGGAGATTGTAGGCGTGTTCAGGAACGTACTCATTCTGCACACGAGCCTGGTTGAGATTAATCAGCACGCCAGTGAAACTTTTCATCATCATGTTCTTCAAACATGGCACTATGCAAGAGAAGAAAAGACAAAACAAGATTAAAATCACAATAAGTGGAGTGCAAATCCTCAGCAGCAGCTGCCACCATGGTCCAGAGGTGAGCCAGGACCACAAATCCCAGCTGGGGGGGTGGGTGATAGTCTGCATTCACGGCTCCCTTCAAGTTCCGCAGAGAGCGGAGTGCTTCTTCGGTGTGGGTGTCATTTTCTCCTTGAATGTAAGTACAGCATGACGTGCCAATAATGTGACAAACACCACCTTGTGAAGCTGTGAGTAGATCTAGGACCATGCGGTTCTGCAACACCATCAAGCGGATTGCAGCTATCTCTCGGTTCTGGGCCTCTGTTATATCAAGAGAAATGTTCACAAAGGCATGGAAACGATAGCTGAGTGTCTCAAGCATGAGGGCATGTTTGCCCACACGAATCCAAGGAAACAAGGCATGAACAACTTTACTTCCCGCTGACCAAAGTTTGTGGTCGGCTCGATACAGTGTGGGTCTTCATATCACTTGTCCTCAGGAATTATTCTACCCTGTGGTTGAGAGGGCAGTCGATGGTTCTTCCTCAGCTAGTCTGGTGGTGGACCCAAGAACCATCTGCAGTAGCTGGCATGAAACCAAGTAGTCCTCTTCGTGATCTTTAAATCAGCTCCGTGTGTTGTCAGCAGGACCTGGAATATTTCAGTCAGCATTTTGACTTCCAATGCTTCTGGCAGAGGTCCTTGACAAAAACCCAGTCTCCTAGGTGGGGTCAAATTCTTTCAGCCTGCTTGATACACTTGGAAGTCATCCCTGTGGTGTGTAGATGAACAGATGCTGGGATATATTCATCATTTAACGCGAGTTCCTCATTTTTCTGGACTGAATAAAACGTGCACTGAATTTAAGGAAATGCAAACGGGAGACGTCATTTAAATTTGACCCATCAAAATGAATGCGGTCATTTATTTACAGAATCAAATTTAACATCAAACATTTACATTAATTTGGCAAATTATGAAAATAACAACAAAGCAATCAATCAGGAAAAATCATACGGCCATGATTTTTCCGTTGCTGCACCAACAGACATTTATAACTGTACAACTATGATCTTTTACCCACATGAATGTGGGTAAGCACTTTACACAGACATTTCTAAATATCTGGGAGAATTTCTACTTGATAGAAAAGTTTAAGATGAAAGATGAAGTTTAAAGGGGAGAAAGATGGTGTTTGAGGTAGAGTGTTGAACAGAACGGCACTCTCCGGGCTTTCTTCAGCTTTTCCTCACAGTACACTTAGGTGGTGAAAACGACTCTTTTACCTGGAGATGTCTCAGGCGAGATTCCGTTTAACGCACCCTTTCAGCGTCTCCGTAGGATGCTGTTACTCGTCCGGAGTAGCTGCGAGGTTCTGTCAGCCACAGCTCACCTCAGTGGAAAATGTTATAATCCCATGGAACTCGGAAGAGCTTCGTTGTCATGTCAGGAACTCCAACAGCACTCCATCAGAACTCCAGAACTCTAGAAGTCTGACAACTCTCCAACTCTGAGTACCTGTGTGTCTCTCCGTGTCCCTGTGAGTCCCTGTAGAGTCTGAGTAGACCAGGAAGTACTGACATTTTAAAGACTCTTTCCCGGTTCACTTTTTGGGATTTTTCATTGGTCAAAAACGACCAGAAGGGGTGTGTTTTTGTGACGTAAGAGGTTAGAGACAGCGAGAATTGTTATGAGACAGCTCAGAAATGTTCTCACAGACCGAGAGGGTTCTGTTTTGGCGTGCCTTAAGAAACAGGTGCAAAACATCTCTATTTACGTCTGAGAGGATTCTAAAACATGACAGTTTTAACATAACAACTTGTTTTTCGTTTGACTGTAACCTTGTAAACGCACACACTTGCTCATTCAAAAGCAGAAATCAGAAAAATGCATAAACTCTGCACAGCTTTTAACATGAGAATAAAATCATTACTCAGTTAATAAAATTGATTAGTTCACTGCAACATCTAAAATGGTTTGAACTAAGACACTTTGATTATCAACATTTGTAAGATAGTAATGATAATAAAAAGAGAGTGTTCTTTTCACTTGAATCTTCAAGAAAGAAAGTCTCAGGATGGGTGAACCTGTATTTATGGAGTCAAATACATGAAATGACAGCTTCTGTCCCACAAGGTTCTAAAGGTCAAGAGTTTTGACCTTAGACTGGGTTTCGACGTAGGCTTAGTCCACTACAGGTGTTCACCTGCAGATCTGGATAGAATCAGAAAATAGCACAAAGAGACAAACAACAGAATAGGACCCTGCCCACATATGTTAGTTCCCATACCAGTTTAGCAGAGATGAATCACCACAACAATAGAAAACCTTCCCAGAAAACAACATGCCAGACCCAGTCTGGTTTCAATTCTCCAAGCCAGGTGACAGGGGAGCCCCCAGGGTCCTGAGTCCAACAGGTTCCTCAAGATTCCTGGCACAAACAGTTAGTTAGTATAATTAATTTATTTTTCTTACCTCATTCAGTCTGTAGAGAAAAATCTTGTTAAACGCTTGCGCAGAAAATATATATTTTCTTTGGTTACATCATTGTCAAAACAGTGCAATAGAACATTAAACATTTAATTCCACTGAATAATGAAAGAAATTCAAAATCAGTTAATTCAGGTCGGCCATTGCTTCGTCGCAGATCTGTTCAGGTGAAACAAAAACTAGGAAAAAAGGTTTCCAATACATGACTGCAAAACAGTAGTAAAAAATGTGGTTAGCATACTCTATACATTAAAACCCAATTTCATTTCTTTTCAGTCCAGTCTGTCAAGTCAAATCAAATCAAATCAAATTATTTAGGAACACAGATCCACCTTTGACCAAATCCACTTCGAGGGTCTGTGTTTGGATTCGGCTGGGTCTAGGGGCGTCCCCCGTAGACCTTAAAGCTTCTGGAAACTTCCTGTACACATTCCAAAGGAAGATAGAGCATCCAGGGTTACGGATCGGCGTAAACCACCCGTTTTGTTCTGATCACAAATTATATCGGATCGCGTCGAATACACAAAAAATAACCCGAACGGAGTGTTTACATGACACACTTTTATTCCGACCAGCCATTTGATCCGGTTACTTATGTCCATGTAAACATACCAATAGAGGGTTTTTGGATCAGGACAGTGACTCTGACAATGGCACACATAAACACACACACACACACACACACAGGTAGTTTGCATTTAGATCTAAAGTCAGATGTCATGATGTGCCCAGAGCAGACTCAAACAGCATCGTAGTGTTGCATCATGAACCTCTGGTTTTGATCACCAAATAAAATATCACATGTGTACAGGTTGACACAAAAATTACATCTACTACCAAATGTGACTTATGAGAACACCTGACTGTGGCAACAGTAAAAGAACTGATGATGTGAAGCCTGTGACTGAAAGGCATCCTGTTCAACTACGCAACAAGCTGATGGCTCAAACTAAGCTATGTGAAACGTTGTCCAGATGAGGACCTGGACTAAACCTCAACAGCACATCCAGACAAGTCTCGTTGTATGAACTGTGGTGCTGCACACAGATGAATGAACTCGAACTCTTAAACATACAGTATATCCAGACAGGAGGAGACTAACAGCAGAGTAACAGCGGTGGTCAAGCTGTCAAAAGTCACTAACAAAAACTGCAGCCTGAGTAAAGTGTCAGCTCCGCTTGTGGTTTGCGATGGTGAGGCAATAACCAGTTTTTCATGATCAGTGCTGCATTGGCTGTGACATGAATAAAACACTCACATAGACCCATTCTTCAGACATATATATATATATATATAACAGCATGACACATAGATAACAGATCAGGCTGACATGAGGATTTTTAATAATACTGATATGGGTTGCTGGATAAACTGCCTTTTCCAATTACGCATAGATGAAAAAGTATTTGGAACATGGAAATTTGGATACCTCATATCCTTATATAAAAATGAATAATGCTGGCCCCCAGAAAAAAAATATTTACTTTTTCATTCATTTAACTTTTGTTTTTACAGGGTAGTCTCATTGAGTCACAAGGACTCATTTACAAGAGAGACCTGTACCAGAAACCTGACTTGGATTGAGTTTGCTAAATGTTTTTTAAATTAAATATCTGTCTGCTTTCCCCTGGAATTTGAAGGTCTTGGTTCAGTTTGAACTAGTTCAATACCGTTTTTCAGCAAATTTATAAAACAATACTATTTATACTCACTTCCTGTCAACCCGTGTGGTGTCCGGTGGATTTCCGTCAATCTGCTCTCGATGGTCCGAGTCAGACCTACAAACGCCGGCCTGAGGAGAACGTCCCAGGACTTTTAGACTTGCCGTGCACGGACTGCGGCGCGTCCTTATCGGATCCCACCGTGAAACAGGTATGAGGAAATCCGGGTCCACGGCACCATTGGATGACAGGGTTTTACCTGTACCTTAAATAAAACACAGGGAGACAAGAATGAGATTTCTAGAACGTATCTTTGCAAAGAGGGACAGTGTTCAACCGAAGTCAGAACAAAGTCCAACTTGTTTCAGCGTGCGTTCCTTTTTTATTCAGGCAAGAAGGAATGGCAAACATTCAGGCAAGTAGGAATGGCAAACAGGAAACACAAGATCTGGTGGTTTTCAGGTAACAAAGACGTGGCAGTTTCTATCACAACAGGAACTGTGAGTTTCCAACAAGTCAGTAAAGAAAGGTTTCACAGCATTATAGAACAGTTTAAATGAGTATAAGTTTAAACGATCAATAGACAAAGTAAAATACTCTAACATAAACTTTTTCATGATATTCTAATTTTATGGCCCGCACCTGTAATTCAGAAGTTTCAGTAGTGTCTGCAAAATTTATATCTTCATTTCAAAAGTGTCAATATAAAACCCTGAAAACATTCAGGGTTGTCAGTCAGTTTCAACTAAAACTCAAATTCATATAAATGGTAAATGGACTGTACTTATATAGCACCTTTCCATCTTATTTCAAGATACTCAAAGCACTTTACACTAGAATCTGTGTCCTCAATTACCCATTCATACAGCACTCTACTAGATCTCTACAAAGCTAATTGAACAAATCATTCTAATGAGACTAATCAGTGCTTTTACATCACATTCATACACTGATGGGACACACATCAGAGGCTATGAGGGGTTTAGTGTCTTGCCCAGGGACCCTTGGCATGTGACTGCTGGTGGATTCGAACCCCCAACTCTCACATTGGAGGACGACTGCTCTAACCATTCAGCCACAGCCACCCTGATTCCCTTCTTGGCTAATAAATCTCATCTTTGTTTATATTTAATTATTCATAAAACTAAAGAATGCATTCAACCATACTGTCCACTAACCCAATAATGAAGTAGAATTAAAAACTGAAAATTTTGAAACTATTAAACGATGTTTGCTTTCATGGAAAACATCTCCAAGATGTTTAAGCCAGCAAATGAGATGACCCCTTCAGTCTCTGTCTTCTTTGCAAACATATATGAGGCCATGATCTCCATACGCATCATAGCTATCGAAGGTTGGACCTGACGGCCAGTCGGGTTGGTAAGTTGTGGTGCTGTATACAAACACCTCAGTGATGCTGCCCGGCATCATCTTGTCACCATCTGTCTTCCCCGCCGACTCCTTCACCTCCAGCTCCACCACGGTCCGCTGGTATCTGGCGGGGACGCTTTCAAAGTCGTCAAGGAAATCCAGCATCCGGTTGTCCACTTTGTAGATCTCCCCGTGGATTCTGTGACCCTGTCCGGGCAGGTTGAGGAGGTAAGGGACGTTGTACTTGCTCGCAATCACCAGCGGGTATTTGTGGGTGGTGAAAGCGGTGGCGACAAACTCGGCTTTTCCATTATTGCTGTCCATCATGTAGTGGTAGTTCGGCTGCCCCTTCTTCAGGGTGCCGTAAACAAAGACGTAAGCCATAAGGAAGGAAGGCACCTGGGGGGGTAGGGGAGTGATGCATTAATTATTTTTTTTCACACAGTTGTGCTAAACTTTATGCAACAACATCCAAGTTCATGCTCATTAATCCAAGTATAAATCCAACAAAGTTCTATCAGGTCATCTAGATGGTTTCTTTTTTTGCCGAGACGTTTCGTCCTTTATCCGAAGGACTTCTTCGATCAGTGGAGCCACCAACAAACTGAGTCCCACCAACAAACTGAGTCCCACCACAAACGGCACACTCCCATAGCGGGAAAAAAAACAGTTTGACGGTGATAAGATGGTTTCTGGGGCCCACCCTCTCCCCCATCATCTCCTCTGAAGCAGCCTTGCCAAAGTTAAATACACCAAAGTTTATTCTCAGTAATCCAGCTAATAATCCATCAAAGTTCTATCAGGTCATCTGGACGGTTTCTTTTTTTGCTGAGACGTTTCGTCTTTCACCTGAAGGACTTGTGCTGTTTGTGGTGGGACTCTGTTTGTTGGTGACTCCTCAGATTGAAGAAGTACTTCAGATGAAGGACGAAACGTATCAGCAAAAAAAGAAACCATCCAGATGACGTGACTAAACATTGTTGGATTAATATCTGGATTATTGAGCATGAACTTTGATGTTTTGAACTACTTTGGCAAGGCTGCCTCAGAGGAGTTGATGGGGGAGAAGGTGGGCCCCGGAGGCCATCTTATCACCAGCAAACTGTTTTTTTCCCATTGTGGGAGTGTGCTGTAATTTGATAGTGGCTCCTCAGATTGAAGAAGTCCTTTGGATGAAGGACGAATCGTCTCAGCAAAAAAAGCAACCATCCAGAGGACCTCACTGAACATTGTTGGGTTCTGCAACAACCTTTGGCACAACTCTTCTGTAGTTGGAGCAGGGCTTAATTTGTAAACCAAATCTATGCTGGAATGCAAATAGCAGGCCGATGGGGAGGTGTCTGGGTGTCCTCCCCCAGAAATTCTAAGGGCTCCTGCTCGTGTACGACTGCCTGGTTAGCTCAGCACTCACCCCACCACTCTTTTAGAGGTGGAGATTTTTTTAAGGGTAGACACGAAAATGCTATTTGAAGAGGCAGCTCATATGCTAATAAGTGGCTGTTGTGTTTAAAATTAGTGTTTATATAATTATTTTCAGTTTACATATCCATTATATGTTTTATTTGTTCAAGGTAGTCATATTTGTTTTTAACTTTATTATTATTAAGCCTGAGAGCTACCGGATCCAAGCAAACAGTTACCGGAACGCAACCTGTCGAGCGTTCCCAGATCCTGTTCGGGCAGGATCCAGCTCAAATTAATCACTGAGTTGGAGCATTTGCAGTCACGGGAGTACGTGCAGCCTGTTTGAGTGTCTCTCTTAATGTGTCTCAGTGTTTCTGAATAACTACAAAACATTTATGGGCCCAATTATGACAAAGGTATGTTTCTGTTTTAACCGCTTTCTTTCATTAACGTAAAATTGTCTTTTTTTTTCATTGGATAGACTTCTGCCTAAATGATTTTATTTTATTTACAAGGGTTATGTTTTAGAGATTTCAAATTTAATTTCAATCCCCCCCCCAAAAAATCCCTATAAATTGTTTAAAGATCATCTCTCTGCTGTACATTGATCATGGATCATCCCCATACAATGAAATGGATTTCTACTTTAAAATGACTTTCTATCTGAGAAATTATCTTTTAAAGATTTAAAGCTATGCAGTGTTTTGAATCTTGAACAAATATTTAATGGTCATAAAGCAAGATTTTGTTCATAGACATCCATCCATCCATCCATTATCTTTACCCGTTTATTCCATTTTGGGTCACGGGGGTTGCCGGTGCCCATGTCCAGCAATCACTGCGAGGGGCGGGGTACACCCTGGACAGGTTGCAAGTCCATCACAGGGCTGTTCATAGACATATTTTCTTAAAATGAAAGGAGAAAATATTTTTGCTTTATCTTACTCAGAAGGAGCCACACATAACAGAAGTTTTCTACGTGAAGCTTACAAGCGAGATGCGAGTCGACCAAGATACCCAAATATTTAAAGGAATCAACAAACTCAATAGGGACACCATTTGAGGATAAAATCGGAGGAAGAACTGCTGGAACCGACTTCCTGTGTGAAAAAAGCATCCCTTTGGTTTTAGTCGGTATTTAGGACAAATTTGAGACGGAACAAATCTGACTGGATGATGTCAAAAGCGGATTTCAAAAGCTGGAAAGCCTTAGCAACTGTTTTAGCTCGACAATAAACAACTGTGTCATCAGCATAGAAATGTATGGATGCATCAGGGATGCTCTGACCTACATTACCTATGTAGATTGTAAAGAGGGTGGGTCCTAAGACTAAGCCTTGTGGTACACCATTACTGAGTGTTCGATAACTGGAGGAAGTACCATTATGTTGAACACATTGCCTCTGATCTGAAAGATATTTAGTGAAACAACCAATGGTGTGTTCTGAGAAACCAATTTCTGAGAGTTTATGACACAAGCTGTTATGATCCACAGTGTCGAAAGCTTTAGACAGGTCTAAGAAAAGTGCAGCACAATAATCCTTAGCATCCAGTGCTTCAACAACGTCATTAAGAACCTTCAGTGAAGCAGTGGTTGTGCTGTGTTGCTTCCTGAAATCAGATTGATGGAGAGGTAAGATGTTAAATGAGTTCTAATACTTTTTGATTTGAGAGTTTATCAGTTTTTCTAGAACCTTGGCTAAAATGCAGAGTTTAGAGATTGGCTGATAGTTGTTCAGTGAGGTGGGGGTCACCTCCCTTCAGCAAAGGAAGAACAAAGGCTGTTTTCCAAGCATCTGGAATGGAGTTTTTGCTTATGGACAGATTGAAGATGTGGGTCACAGGGACTGTGATGATATGAGCAGCCAGCCTTAAAGAAATAAGATGGAAGTTCATCTGGTCCTGCAGATTTTTTAGAGTCTAGACCTTGTAATAGTTTATTAACCTCACTCAAATGTAACTAAACGTCTTGATTTCGGTTTAGAAAAGTAAAATTTTATGACCTCCCCCGCACTTTTTTTTTTCGTTTTAAAAATTGGTAAAAAATAATGAATGAGTATCCTACAGAGCGGGCAGGGATTCTGTAAATCACTGTTCGTCATTTAATAAAATTTGTGCCATTTCAAAAAGGGGACATTTTATTGCCCCTTTAAAAAAAACAAAACATTTTAAACCAAGTTAATCTCTAAAGATACAGTATCTTAATAAATACACAGGTTGGAAATTATTAACTTAGTAAAACACACTGGTCTTGTGACTTTAGGACCAACAGCAAAATACACAAATGGTTTTCTTTCATCATTCATTCAACTTGTATTTAGGTTAGTACAGGTTAGTTACAGGTTAGTTACTGGTTAGTTACAGGTTAGTCCCATTGAGCCTCTTGGACTCATTTCTAAGAGACCTGAAGGACGCATCAGTCAGGTGGATGAGAAACAGAATGAATAACCACAGATAACATAATGCTACGGAGTAAATAACTGCTTGATTCATCCAATAAAACCAACCAAAACATTTAAAAAAGCACACTGTAAAATACGGACAGACTACAGTTTATATTATGGTCTTACCTTACCTATGCGCAGAACAAATGTGAGGTAGTTTTTAGACACCTGCCGCGGGGTAAGCCTCTCGCGCATGCGCAGAAACAACTACGGTCATTTCCCGGAAGTAAACGCCATGACGCTGCCCTCTGTTGTTTTGTTAAGTGTAGAGAACTTCTTTTTTTTAATACCAATGATGAATTCAAGCTATTTAAATTGTTCACAGTCATTTCATATTGTCTTCATCTCTTTATTTCTATTTTAATAAATGCCACAGAAGACGACTGACGTGTTAAATGTTTGAATCCACCATTTGTGTGGAATCTTTTTTGAAATTGTTTTATACTCGTTTATTTAGCGTTTACTGTCTCCCGTCCTACATTTCCCAGAATGCATCTCACAGCCTGATAAAACAGAAGAAAACACTTTAACAACCAAAAAAAACAACTTTATTTAGCAAAAACAAGTACAAACAAATATGGCAATTCACAATAGTGTAACTCTAAAAAGGGCATAACAGAGGCAGACTTCGATATGAAAAAAAGGAAAGAAAGAAAGAGAAAAAATAAATATAATAAACTACAACAAGGGGTTATATGTTTTAGGATTAACATGCAATAGTGGGCAATTCCATTAACATTTCATCTTCATGTGTTTCAATATATTTCAGAGATTTCAAAAATAGATGGAATTCAGATAAAAAATTGTTAAAAACTGGGGATGATTTTAGCACTCTCAGTTTATGAATAAAAAATTTTGCCAGACAAAATATCAGATTACAACCAAGTTCTATTTTTTTTGTTTGTTTTCCAATAATATTCCAAATGTTACCATGTCTCTGGAAATAGTCAAGTCAAGTCACATTTATTTATATAGCACATTTAAAACAGTAACTGTTATCAAAGTGCTTACCAAAAAAGATCACAGCATCAAATATTAATAACATATTACAGCAACATGAATAAAAGCATAAAAACATGAAAAATAATGAGAAACAATGAAATACTAAATCAAATCACCCTGCGTTAAATGTCAGGGAGTAAAAGCAAAATGGATGAACACAATCATCAACAACGAAATACCAAATGAGATCACACTGTGTTAAATGTCAATGAGTACAGATGTGTTTTGAGGAGAGATTTAAAAATAGAGACTGAGGTGGCCTGTCGAATCTTGATGGGCAGATTATTCCAGAGTTTAGGGCCCTTGACTGAAAACGACCATCTCCTCTGAGCTTCAGCCTGGTTTTTGGTACGGCCAAAAGCAGCTGGTCTGATGATCTCAAGGCCCGAGAAGGAGTATAAGGATGAAGGAGGTCGGAGAGGTATGATGGTGCAAGGCCATTAACACACTTAAATGTCAGCAGAAGAATCTTAAAATCAACTCTGACACGCACAAGAAGCCAGTGAAGGGAAGACAGAACTGGAGTAATGTGCTCAAACCTGCGAGTTCCTGTTATTAGCCGAGCTGCAGCATTTTGGACAAGCTGGAGACGTGAGAGAGAGACCTGACTGACCCCAGCATAAAGCGAGTTACAGTAGTCCAGCCGGGTTGTAATAAATGCATGGACTAATTTTTCAAGGTCGGATCTGGACAGGACGGACTTGAGCTTAGCTATCTGCCTTAGCTGAAAGAAGCTTTTTTGAAGAACAGAATTTATCTGCTTATTAAACTTAAAGTCCGAGTCTAAAACTATCCCAAGATTGGTAACAGACTGTTTTAGATATGGCTGAAGGGAGTCCAGGTTTGCAGGATCAGTGACAGTGGCAGAGCTAGGGTAAAACACAATGACCTCAGTCTTCTGATCATTAAAACTCAAAAAGTTCACAGCCATCCAAGTCTTGATGTCATCAAGACATTTTAACAAAGGGCGAATGGAGGAGGAACTGTTAGGTGTTAACGGCAGATAAATCTGAGAGTCATCAGCATAACATTGAAAGGAAAGACCATGTTTCCTCAGGATAGACCCTAAGGCGAGGATACAAAAACAGAAGGGGTCCAAGAATGGAGCCTTGCGGGACCCCGCAGGAAAGAGGCACTGAAGTAGATAGATTGTTAGCAAAATTAACAGAAACTGATTCAGGAAGTATAATTTTCAATGTGATCTATCTTTCTAAGTGATTCCAGACTATTTTGGTTTTGTTGCATTCAAAGAAGATATGGTCTATTGTTTCTATATCTTGTTCACAGAATGAGCATTTATTGTCATCAATATTAAAACGAGTTCTTAGTAGCTCTTTGAAGGGGTAAACTGCATTTAAAATTTTAAAGTGTGTTTCTTTAGCCTTTGGTTGTATGGGGAGTTTTAAATATAGAGTTCTTAACATTTCTATTTTTTGTCAAATTTGCAAAGTACGTTATTTTTATTTATTTTCCCAGGAAATAAGGTTTCATTTAGACAGCTTCCCCAGCTGATATCCCATTAATAGATAGATTGGGTAAATGTGGGGTTATAGGATGATATATTATTATATTTTGAATCTGATTAATACATTGTTTTGGTAATGCTTTAATTAATCTGGTAAATTCAACTTTGGGGGGATAGAATTTATACTTTGCACAGAATTGTTCATAGTTTAACATGTGACCATTAGCATCCAATAAGTGTACAACAAACTAAATGTTCTTCTCCATCCAGTCTTTGTAAAATAATGACTTATTGTGATATACTGTTATTCCATATGATAGTAGAGTGTGGTGAGTAATTATGTACGTAGAGCATTTCCCAGTATAATAACACTTGTTTATGGAATTCTCATAATTTGATGTATATTGAGATCAGTTTGTGTGTGGAATCCGCTTCTAAACAGTTTTGAATGGAGTGACTTCACGCACTCTACGTAACGCTGATGACGTAAGCACGTCCGCAGCCTAGCAGCAGAAAAAAGACGACGTAAACAAAAAGGTGCCGCAAGTAGCTTACAAAACGATGTTTCGTGGGTGAAATAATGAATGTGGCATAACGTGGAGTCGTGTGTGAACGCTTTTATTCGTTACTCGCGGGTACAGTTACTCGTGTGCCAGCAGAGTGTCATGGAGTAAAACAAGCGAGCTAACGTTATTAGCCTTAGCTAACAGATAACGGATTTGTTTCTTCTGGTTTGGAGCCGACATCGACACGAAGTTGCACCCTCTCCATTCTTTTGACGCTGGTCTCCGTGAGCTTCCTACAAGCTGCTGGTACTGTTCGTGTCTGGAGGTGGCTCGTCATGTAGCAGCAGCTCCTGGACGAGCAGCGGACCGCGGTGATCTGGACGCGGACTGGGATGTTCAGTTTGATGGGGAACTGCTGCAACTGGCTGAAACGCTGGCGAGAGCCTGCCAGGTGAGCGAACCACGGGGAGGGGGGATGTTAATCTAAAAACAAAAAAGGAAACGAGTCGTTCTCAGTGACGCATGTAGCTCAGAACTTGTGCAGTGATTTATTAGCCATTCAGAGTGGCCAACAAGTTTCCCAACTGCTGGGTCGCAGTCCCTCACGGGGTCGTGAAACGGTAAAGAAAGGGTCGATCCTGAAAAGTTGATGATTCAAAACGAGTCGTCACACTGAACCAGGATCCACGAATTTGAGGCAGCATAATCGCATGCTGTGGACACGCACAGGAGTGGATTTGCTGCACCCCGTTGCTAATAACTCACTGGGTGTCAGTGTTGCCAGGTGAGAAATGTTGCCAGGTGAGAAATGTAGGATTATCGTATTTTGAGGGAAATTATCGTACACCCGTCATAACCAGAATAACAAATCTATTGATGCACTATAGTAGTGATGGGTGCGCTTCCAGACCCGCTCTGCTTCTTCTTTTCTTCTTTTCTTTTCCTCACTCATGGGGCGGGCGCAGCGGACTATTCAGCCAATCATGGCCGTTGTTCTGATGCAAACGCAAACACGTCACTCGTAGGTGACATTTAGAAAAGCACGATTGGCTGGAATTTCCAACCAATCCTGCATCTTTTTGCAGACACAGATGCCTTCAGGGTTCACAAAAAAAATCAGACAGACAGTTGCGACAGGCTGATGACAACCGATTACAACCACGCATTCACGGAATGGTCAAATTATCGTATATTTGGCCTTTTTTGGGATTATTGATCATACAGAGGTCAAAATTGTCGTACAACTACGATAATTATCGTACACCTGGCAACACTGCTGGGTATGCTCAAGGGCAGTCCTAGCCTGTTTGTGCCCTGGGCGAACAACCTCTCAGGTGCCCCCCCGCCTGCCCCACCCCCTGGGGCTAATGAACTTTTAATAACCTTTAGTTCACCATGAGAGTTCTGCGATGAGTTAAACTCAAAGCAGTCTGCTCCTCAGATAAATAATGTTAACTTATTATTTTTAAATATGAATGTTTCTGTTCAGTGCCCTGAGACGACGTCTGTTGTGACTTGGTGCTATATAAACTGAATTAACTCTGATGAACCAGATCCTACAAAAACATTTATATTTAAAATTCTATATTTTTCTTCATCATTTGATGGATTTGCACTCGTGTCTACTTTTATTGTTCTATTTAGATATGTGGTTTTGTTTCTTGTCTACAGATTTTATTTTAGCTTTGATTTAAAGTGTAATTCTTGTTTTGTGATTTGTAAATCTGTAGGTTAGAATAAAGTTGAACTAAACGCTCTTCTTTAAACATGTTTGAGGGAAATAATCCTGAGAGATCCAATAATTTAGTAGTTTTATGATTTTTCAGTTGAGTTAACTTTAATGAACAGATTATTTAATAAAGTCAAAGTGAAAACAGGATTTCATGATAAAGCCGGCACCGTTTATTTATTTTTATTCTTCACTGATTAAAAAAAACGTTATTTTTTTATACATAAAATGTTTATAAACAAATTTTAAAAAAAGTTTCCACCTTCCGTCCCGGACTCCCGGTCCTCCCGCCTGCCAGGACTCGGAATCTGGCCTTTGTGAGCACGCGAGGCCGGGGCTCGGGGTCCGGCCTCGGCCTCGCATGCTTCAATGGGTCGGCAGCTCGTATGATCCTCTGCGGTGACGCCGCTCGCTCGAATTTTGTCGTCGGTCACCAAACACAAAAAACGCCTGGACTTCAGCAATAAACACATTAAACGTGTTGTGAATGAGGATGCTTGCAGACTTAAAAAAATTTTTTTTTACAATTTTTTTATTTAAAAAACAAGTTTTAAATAAGCTGAGGGGTTGGAAGTCCTTCAGGATGAAATTCAGCAGAGCCTCATCCAGCATCAGCTTCCTTGACGCTTAAAGAATAAATTAATAGGACTTAATTATCAATAAAGCAACTGTAAATAAGTTATAGAATGGTTGTATACCTGAGTTAACCCTGGATGTATCTGGGACCTCATTCTCATGCCTGGCCCTATAATGCCTCAGCACTGAGGAGGTGGATTTATTTAAATACGAAAGCTCTTTTGAACAAATGCAACATTTAACCTGCAGAAAATAATATGTAAAGTAAACCATGAGCCACTTTGAAATGAATTTGAATTCAGATGGATCAAGCCATCACTACACTATCTTAGTGTATTTCTTTGATTTTTTTTTTTAACGTACCATTTAGCGTTCGTTTAGCTTATATCTTAATTTATATCTTAGATCCTTCTATACTGTTTCTTTTTATATTTTTGCTATTTTTGGATGTAACGAGGACCTTAGTACACAATTTTGTTCCACCTTATGTACCACGTGTGATGCAAATGAAAATAAAGAACCTTGAACTTATTAAACAAGCTTTGTAGGTGTTTTAGTACATACTGTATGTATTTCCCAGTCTTATCAGATATTTATTTTATAAAACTACAAGACGTTAGAAAATTATTTTTAATGACGTGATAATTACTTTAGACTCTTCGTAATAACTTCATTTTAACAAGATATTTCTCTTGTGGACCAGTCCATTAAATACCTTAACAACCTTCAAGAGGGAGGAGAGAGAGAGAGAGAGTTGCATGTGAGTTGCAGTAAAAACTTGATTTAAAGAAAGCGTTTGATACTATTGACCATAGTACTCTTCTTGAAAAGCTAAATAAATATGGTATTAGAGGGCTAGCATTACAGCGAGTATCTAGTTATTTAGAAGAAAGGAAACAGTTTGTTCAAATAAATTATGTAAGATCTGAACTTTGTAACATCACATCATGGAGTGCCTCAAGGTTCTGTACTTGGACCTAAATTATTTATTTTATATATAAATGACCTGGTAAATGTGTCAGTCAGGACTGTTTAGATGTGTTTTATTTGCAGACGATACTACATTTCTTTGTTCGGGTAAAGATACAGAACGAATGTTAGAGATGGTACAGATAGAATTTGTGAAAATACAAAATTGGTTTCAACTAAACAAATTATCATTAAATTTGGATAAAACAAATTACATGATATTCAGTACCCGTAAGAGAACTGTCGATGCTCCATTTAGAGTCAATGGTGTTGATTTGTAGAGTCGGTGAGGTGAAGTTTCTGGGTGTCATCATTGATGAAAAGCTGACATGGAAACCTCACATAAATAATTTAAGAAAAAAAATAGCTAAATCTATTGCAGTACTGTACAAAGTAAGGGAGTTACTCAATGATAAAACACTGTTTATGTTGTATAATGCAATAATTGTCCCACACTTAATTTACTGTATTGAAATCTGGGGTAAAGCATGTAAAACAATTACAAATCTTATTTTTATTTTACAGAAAAGAGCTGTAAGAATTATCACTAAAAAAGATTATAGCCATCCATCAAATACATTGTTTTATCAACTGAAGATATTAAAATTATATGACTTGGTTGATTGTTATATTTTACTGTTTATGTATAAGGCTCACAAAAACATACTACCTTCAAATACCATACCATACCATACCATACCATACCATACCATACCATACCATACCATACCATTTTATTTATAGAGCACTTAAAACAGCTACAAGGCCAACCAAAGTGCTGTACAGACAGAACAACAGACAACACACAAAGCAAAACACAAAATGAGGTAAATCAGAATTTAGACATAAAAACGATGCAGATAATTACGACAAACCAGTGTGGAGCATACAGGATCAAAACACAAATCATCTGGTGTTGAAAGCTACTGAATAGTAGTGAGTTTTTAAACGGGACTTGAAAACCGAGAGGGAGGGGGCCAGTCTGACAAGCAGAGGTAACTCGTTCCAAAGTCTTGGTCCTGCTACAGAGAAATCCCAGTCACCTCTGCGCTTAAGACGAGTTCCTGGAACCGTGAGGAGCAACTGGTCTGCTGACCTGAGGGAAGGGGGGGGGGCATGGGGTTGTAGCAGAAGGGGGGTTGGGGGGGGGGGGGGGGGGGGGTGTCGAAACTGTTCAGCGATTTGTAGACATCTGGATTTAAAGGTGAACCGTAACCTGTGCAGTGAGGCCAGAAATGGTGTAATGTGCTCTCTTTTGCCTGTACTGGTTAAAAATCGAGCTGCTGCTTTCTGGGCCAGTTGTAGTCGTGCAATGGAGGTCTGACTGATACCAAACAGGAGTGAATTGCAGTAATCAAACCTAGATGTAATGAATGCATGTATTACTGTCTCCAGGTTATTTTTGGACAATATGGGCTTCAGTTTAGACAGCCGCCTCAGTTGGAAGAAGCATGATTTAACAATCATGTTTACGTGACTGTTAAGTTTCAGGGAAGGGTCCATTATCACTCCCAGATTAGTGACTCTTTGTTTTTCTGACAGGGTTAGAGTGGAAAGGTCGATGCAGTGGTTTGTGACTGTGTCATTGGGAGGGAACAACATGACTTCAGACTTCTTTTCATTGAAACTTAAGAAGTTTAAAGCCATCCAGTCCCTGATGTCAGCCAGGCAGTCGAGCAGAGGTTGAATAGAGCATGTACCATTGTGTCTTAGGGGGAAGTAAATTTGACAGTCGTCGGCGTAGAAGTGAAAGGGCATGTTGTGTTTCCGGAAAATAGCACCAAGTGGCAGCAGGTATAGAGAGAATAGGAGGGGACCCAGGATGGACCCCTGCGGAACCCCCCATTTAAGCTCTGTCGCTGCAGAACTAAAATCTTTGATGGAGACACAAAAGGATCTGTCAGCGAGGTAGGATCTGAGCCAAAAATATCCAAGTAAACTTTGTTAAAAGGCAGAGTGATTATTATCTCAAGGGGATAGAGATGTTTGTGAAGCGTTGGTTTTGTACCAGTTTGAAGGAGCGGTCTAGTATAATTCAGGGAATAGGATTGTTTGTGAATTGGTCTGAAGGATGATGTTAAAACTGCCAGATATATGTACATATTTAAGAAAATGTTAAAATTTAATTTTCTGAAGGAATATGGAAAAGTATAATACAAATTGTTTTGAGTAGATGTTGTTTTTATTTAGCTTTGTTTTTTGTAAATTACTTTTGTTTGAATATATTCTGGGGAAAAAAGGGGCAAATATAAGATTTATTCTTTTTCTGCTACCTTTCATTTTATTTATTTTTTGATTGTATATATATATTTGGTTTTCTATTGTATATAGTTATTTTGTTTTTAATGAAATGAATAAATTTCTACATAAAAATAAATAAATAAAAAACAATGTATTCAGTTTCTGTAAAAATACTCAAGGTTCTTTATGACAAGAAAATACATAATCGTAAAACCTTTTTTTTTTTTTTTTCCATGAACTATAATGTTCTTTTTAGTGGGGTATATTAATCTAAACTTTAGTTTTAAATAAAGGTTTCTGTTATCCGTTTGTTTAATTATTTTTAGGGGAATGCAGAATAGTAGGCAAACAGAGGAGAGACACACAATGATGCTCTTTACTTGCCACTATCAACGTTATGAGCATCATTTCAAAATTCTCATTATAAGAAATACATGCTATAAGTTCCTCGCAGTGAGCTTTGTTCTCACCAGTCTTTATTTGCTGAATTATAGGAATGTGGTCCAGCAGGACTTTATTCACCTGGTAACAGCCAGGCCTCTGATCCTTTGGGAATTAGCCAGAAATCCTCAACTAATCTCTCCGTCGGGTGGGTTCAGCAGGTCTCCTCTACCTGCTGCTGTCTGTAGTTTGCAGCAGCGACAGTGGAGCGTTATGGGTTAGCAGGAACAAGGTCTCGCCTTTTTTAAAGGTGGAACATCAGGGAAGCGGAATCGATGAAGGCCAGATGGCTCCAGACGACCGTTGCATGGATTGTGCGTTTCATGTCATTTAGGCGCAAATTTCACAGTTAAGTTTAGAAAACAAAGAGCGGGTTTGTGTTCTTGTGTTTGGGCTTGATGGACGTAGATTTCACACTGTGGGTCATTACAGCCCTCTGCAGTCGGTTTACTCAGTGGTTTGTATTTTTGACTCGAGGCGTTTTAAAGGTGGCTTTAAAAGGAGGCAGCTTGTACGGAATGCTAGACCTTGTATTGTGTGAATCCTTATGAAGCGTTCACACTATTCCGATCCAGTTTTCATCCGGACGTTTTTTTTTTCAGTGCGATTTTCATCCTGCAGTTTTCAGGGCTGCTATTTCAACAAAGCATAAATCAAAACGTTCGGCGCTTTCAGGACAACCCTGCTATGACTTTTGGTATTGGTGCAACTTTAGCTTTTTGAAATATTTAGCCTTTTCTGCCACTTTTATTCTAATAGAAAATTAATTGAGCTCATTTTACATTCTTCAAATCGTTAGATCTGTTTACAGCCTTTTTACTGCTCCTTTCACATTTTGTTCAGCTTCCTTATGCAAATTTATACATTTTTTCAGCTACTTTCAGCTGTTTTTTTCAGCTGTTTTGTGCTCCTTTCAGATTATTTCTGCTAACTACAACATAACTTCTTTCTGCAAATTTCAGCTTGTTATGCTCATTTCAGCTTATTTATGCAAGTTTCAGCTTTTTCTACTATTTTCAGCTACTATACAGCTGTTTTATGCTAATTTAAGCCTCATGTTTTTTGCACCCATTTAAACTTTTTTCAGTCTAATTCAGCAAAAATGTGCTCTGAACTTCCTTCTTGTAATTTCAGCTTCTTTCTGCTTTCTTAGCTACTTTTTCAGCTGTTTTTTTGCTAATTTTGGCTTTTTCCCCCAGATAATTTCAACTTCTTACTCTCATTTCTGCATCTTTCAGCTTAATTGGGCAAACGTGTTCTTTCTGCGTTCTTCTGCTTATTTAAGCTTGTTCTACCTTTTCAACTAGCTTTTTAGGAAAATTTAGCTAATTTCAGCTGTTTTCATATAAATGCAAGTTTTTTGTGGTAATTTCTGCTACTTTCAGCCTAATGAATTCTTTCTGCTAATTTCAGCTTTTTCTGCTATTTTAACTGCTGTTTAGCTGTTTGTATGCAATTTTTAACTTTTTCAGCTAATTCCACATATTTTTAGGTCTTTTCAGGTCTTTCCACTTCTTTCTCTTAGGTTAAGCTTCTTTCTGCCTTTTTGGCTACTTTTTAGATGTTTTTTTGTGTGTGCTAATTTTAGCTTGTTTTAGCTGATTTCCTAATTTGTGTGCTCATTTCTGCTTATTTAAACATAATTAAGCAAATATGTGTTAATTTTACTTTCTTCTGCTAACTTAGGCTTGTTCTTTAATTTTCAGCTACCAGTACATTTTAGCATGTTTTTTAAGCTAATTTCAGCTGTTTTCAAATAAATGCAATTTTTTTGTGGTAATTTCTGCCACTTTCAGCCTAATTAACTTATTTCTGCTACTTTCAGCTTGTTATGCTCCTTTTAGCTAGTTTCATCTTTTTCTACTATTTAAACTGCTATTTAGCAGTTTGTATTCAATTTTAATCTTTTTCAGCTACTTCTGCATTTTTTAAAGCTCATTTCAGCTCTTTCCACTTCCTTCTCATAGGTTAAGCTTCTTTCTGTCTTTTCAGCTATTTTTTAGATGTTTTTTGTGAGCTAATTTTAGCTGATTTGCTAATTTGTGTGCTCATTTCTGCTTATTTAAACCTAATTCAGCAAATATGTGTTCTTTTTATTTTCTTCTATGTATTTAGGCTTTTTCTTCCATTTTCAGCTACATTTTAGCTTTTTTTTTTTTCTAACTTCAGCTGTTTTTCAGCAAGTTCTTCTGCAGTAAGCATTCACACTGCATTTTTGCAGGAAATGCAATTTCTAGTTTAACCAAGCATTTCTCAATTAAAGTGAATTTATTATTTTGTAAATGTTTGTCTGTGCATTGGAGCTGAATGTATTTTATTTTAGGACTTCTTGTCATTGCTAATTGTGTCACAAAATTAGTTTTGCTTTCAGAAAATAGTCTGTGAAGTAAAAATGCAGCCCGGGTGCATGCTGGATACCCTACGCACATGACTGCATCACCTCTTTGTGTTCTCGTAGTCAAGCAGTGCTTATCAGCACCTCTCCTGTGGCACCTAACGGACGACAAAAGAAAAAAACCCGATCATTATTGTTTTTATTTGGCAACTACATCAACAACATGAATAAAAGGTCTTTCGAGGCTTCATTCAGCTGTATATTAGTAAAGAATGCTTGGATCAGGTATGCAGCATCATTGTGTTGTTTTGTTCACGCTGCTTTCCCGTGTGGCTGCTGCTGACGCACTCAGCCAGTCAGGTCTCTGATTATTACCTGGCTTATCTGTGCCCTAACATGTGTCATGAGAGTTAAGCTGCAGATCGGCTCTGTCTAATGACAGGAAGGATGACTGTGTGTTCTTTTTGTTTACAGGAAAGTGACCCTGGTGATGGTGGGCCTGGATAATGCAGGAAAAACAGCCACAGTGAGAGGAATTCAGGGAGGTGAGAATTAGTTATTGACATGTTGTTATTGTTTCCCACAAATAATAGCTTTTCATTCTTCACAGCACACTTGACTGTTTGTATTCATATTTGGCTCTTCTTCAGTTTGATTATCACCACCATTAACTAGAGAAATTGCATTTCCTGCAAAAATGCAGTGTGAATGCTTATTACAGAAAAACTTGCTGAAAAACAGCTGACATTAGCTAAAAAAAACATGCTGAATGAAATGTAGCTGAAATGAAAGAACAAGATTAAATTAGCAACAAAAAAAAAAAGCAGAAAGAACACATTTACTGAATTAGGTTTAAATAAGCAGAAGTTAGCACAAAAATCAGGAAAATTAGCTAAAAAAGCTGAAATGAGCAAGAAATAGCTGAAAGTAGCTGAACAGGCAGAGAAGGAAGTGGAAAGAGCTGAAATGAGCTTAAAATGTGGAATTAGCTTAAAAAAAGCTAAAATTTGCATAAAACAGCTAAATAGCAGCTGAAATAATAGAAAAAGCTGAAAGAAGCTGAAAGGAGCATAACAAGCTGGAATTAATTGAAAACAGTCAAATAGGCTGTAAGTAGCAGAAGTTACTATGAAAAATGTGAATTTATCAGAAAACGGCTGAAATTTGCTTAACATTTTCTAATAAAGGCAGCTGAAAATGTAGAACAAGGATAAATTAACAGAAGAAAGCAGAAAGAACACAAGTTTGCCCAGTTAGGCTGAAAGAAGCAGAAATTAGCACAAAAATGTAGAAACTATCTGAAATTTGCTGAAATTAGCAACAATAAAAAAAACTGCTGAAAAATAGCTAAAAAGCAGAAGTAAGGTAAAATTACCAGAAGGAAGTGGAGAAAGCACATTTTTGCTGAATTAGGGTGAAAAGGGTTTAAAATGAGTGCAAAAAAGTGGAATTAGCTGAAAAAGCTTAAATTAGCATAAAAACAGCTATATGGTAGTTGAAATAGTAGAAAAAGCTGAAACTTGCAGAAATAAGCTGAAATGAGCATAACAAGCTGGAATTAGCAGAAAGTAAGCACAAAAATGTTGTTTGACAGATTCTGAAAGAAGCACAAAACAGCTGAAATGAGCTGAAAGTAGCTGAAAAAAGTTTAAATTTGCACAAGGAAGCTGAAAGAAGCTGAAGCAGAACAAAATGTGAAAGGAGCAGTAAAAGGTTGTAAACAGATCTAAAGAGTTGAAGGATGTAAAATGAGCTCAATTCATTTTCAATGAGAAAAAAAACGACAGAAAATGCTAAATATTTCAAAAAGCTAAAGCTGTACCAATTTCAAAAGTCGTAGCAGGATTGTCCTGAAAGAGCTGAACGTTTTGATATAGAAGTCGCTTGAAAACTGATGAGAATCGCACAAAAAAAATATGGAAGAAAAATGGATCACAATAGTGTAAATATTCACACTATTATCGCTACCTATTTTAAATTGAAGAACATGGGAACGAACTGCTTGTGACAAAACGCATGAAGATGTATATACCATTCTGTGCTAAACGGTCTATTCTGTGCTCACACAACATTGAGTTTAGTAGTTTATGTCTGAATTATTCATAAAAGGCTTAACAAACAAATAAACATTGATTTGAAAAAAACATCAGACACAGGACTGAAAACAAGTAAAAATGCAGCCATTCATAAACAAATCCTTAAAATACCTTCAAACAGCCTGAAAATAATATTCCTTATGAACAATTTGAATTAAAGGACTTGTTCCTTGAATGAATGCTGTTAAAAAATAAGATAAATATTTACTTCCTTCAGGTGTCCAGGATTGAAGTTTGACAAAATGTGTTAAAAATACAGTACATTCAAAATGAACAAACCCTCAAAATCTAACACACAGTGTCATTCTTACAACATGGGCTACATAACAAAGATACAATTATTTATACATTCCAAGTGCAAGAAGGAGCATTTCCTCCACCTCTGCAGCCACTGGCCCCACATTCCAACCAGCTGGCAGACACTCTCATCATAGTCTTGGCTTGCCTGGCTGAAAAACACGTTTTTGTTGAATTTGTTGAAACGCGAGAAAAGTAAGAGACAAAATCATGTAACTCGTTGATGGCTTTGCTTGCAAACCCCTGTAGACATACACAGTTTAACAGAGTAGACAAAGACTGTGACGATAGGAAAAAACACATAATATATCAATTTATTTTTATCAGATGCAAATCGCCTGCTGTTTGAGCTTTAAGGTCATCTTATGATGATTTTTTATTATTTGTCTTTCGGCTGCTCCCTTCTTCAGGGATCGCCACAGCGAAGTAACTCGTATGAAGACTTGGCAATTGCTTTTATGTCGGATTCCGTTCCTGACGCAACCACAGATCACCGAGCTACCACAGCCCTCTGTGTGGAGCAGAGAGCTGTCGTCTAGGGCGCCCGGGGGACCAGATGGTGGGGGTTAAGAACTTTATTTATCGGCCCCGATTTCCGTAATTTTGGAAAATCGGAAATTGGCCGATACCTGCACGAGAAACCGATTTTACCGATTTATTTTTGTTTGTTTGTTTTAAAAACAATAAACTTCATTTATATTTCAGAGCACTACCTTGTGGCCAGTTAAAACAAGCTTGTATTGTTTCTAGGATATTGTTCAAAGGAATGTTTTTCAATAAAATAAGATTGAAAAACTGAAGTTGCATTGTGACCTTATAACACCTGACAGTGTTGCTTATAAAACAAAATCAATATCGGCCAAAATCGGAATTGGCCGGTCAGAAAACTGCAATTGGTGCATCCCTATTAAGAACCTTGCTCAAAGGTCCAGAGTGGGGCACATGAGGGTGAAGGCAGGTGTGGGTGCTTCACCTTTTCCCACCCACATTTTAATGTTGTCGGTCCGGGGGATCGAACCGGCAACCTTTTGATCACAGACTAGCCTTCTTTAACCTCTGCGCCGCCACCAAGCTCATATTATAATGAAAAGGGACATAATTGTAGTCGTTTTGGTCAAACCCTGAAAATAACTATGAGACATGCCATATTGCAAGAGTCTTCTTCTTTTGTCTTTTCCCTCTTCAGGGGTCACCACAGCGAATCATCCTTCTCCATGTCACTCTGTCCTCACTCCAACTACCTCCATGTCCTCTCTAACTGCATCCATATATCTCCTCTTTATCTTTTTCCTGGCAGCTGCATTTCTCACACCCTTCTACCAATACTGTCCCTCCTCTGGACATGTCCAAACCATCTCAGTCTGGTCTCTAACTTTATCTCCCAGTTGTTCAACCTGTGCTGTACCTCTGATGACCTCATTCCTAATCTTATCCATCCTTGTCAGTCCTAAGGAGAACCTTAACATCTTCATTTTTGCCAGTTCCAGTTCTTTCTCCTGTCTTTTTGTCAATGCCACTGTCTCCAGACCATACAACATTTCTGGTCTCACCACTGTCTTGTAAACTTTTTCTTTGACCTTTGCTGACACTCTTTAGTCGCAAATTACTCCTGAAATTTTCTCCTTCCTGCCTGGACTCTCTGTTTCACTTTTTTTTACCATATTTTTCATTTTTTCTGGACCGTTAACCCAAGATACTTGAAGCCCTGCACCTTTGTGACCTCTGCTCCTTGTATCCTCACTGTTCCACCTGCCCTCCTTCCATTCACATGCTTGTTGAAATGTTGAAAATGACTCTCAGCTACTACCACATCAAAATGGCTCCATCTCTGTAAAATTGACTGAGTTATAGCCATTTTTTTTTGTTTGCTGAAGTTGCGTAGCTGTGGCAGCTGTATTGATCGGTACTGACCTCAAAAGTTAATCAGTTTTCGAGGTACAACTAATGACTACTTTCTGTGAGTTTCATTAAAATTCGTCCTGTTGTTCATGAGATACTGTCACCCGCATTTGCCTTTCTGCGGATGGTAATTCTGCGGCAGAAGTCTCCTCAGATTCTTCAGCTCGGACGTTTTGTCTTTCAGAAAACCCACAGGACGTGGCTCCCACTGTGGGCTTCTCCAAGGTCGACCTCAAGCAGGGTAAGTTTGAGGTGACCATCTTCGACCTGGGCGGCGGGAAAAGAATCCGGGGCATCTGGAACAACTACTACTCTGAGTCACATGGCGTTGTGTTCGTGGTGGACTCCAGCGACGTCCAGCGGATCCAGGAGACACGCGAGACCATGGCAGAGGTCCTGCGACACCCCCGCATTGCAGGGAAACCTGTGCTAGTGTGAGTCAGTGACAGTCGGGTGGAGAAACTGAAAATGCAGATATTTGGAAAGATGACGGTCATTCCGTTCCTTTCTTTGCCCTCTGCTGATGATGTCCGGTCCGTCTGCTGGGTCCTGCATGCTGATTTGTGGCGACATCTGTTTAATCAGTAATCAGAACACAAAACCCAGACTGTGGAGCAGAGAGATGAAAGTACATTTTGTGATACTCAGAGTGTTCTAATCAGTAATCAGTCACATTTCCATAAGATTTCCATCCGCATTACAAAAACTGACTGCAGTAGCTGTCCTTGGAGTGACTTTTTCTGTCTTCTCAGTGGCCACTTTCAGAAGTTAGAAAATTGATCTTTTCTTTTCTCACCTTCTTTTGCTCTCAGACTCGCCAACAAACAAGACCAGGAGGGGGCGCTGGCCGAAGCGGACATAATCGAGAATCTGTCGTTGGAGAAGATCGTTAATGAGAACAAGTGTCTCTGTCAAATCGTAAGTATGGAGCAGAAATTAAAGGGCATGTTCTACACGTGTACAGTAGTCCCTTGTTTATTGCAGGGGTTACATTCCGGACTGCCCGCAATAAGTGAAAATCCACAAAGTTAAATCTATTTCTGTATTTATATATATTTTAATTCTTTAGAAACCCTTCCCACACTCTTGCAATGTTCTAAACTTTCAAACCTACGTGCTTTTTTTTCTTTTTCTTTTTAACCCAAGGGTAAACCAGGGTCTTTTTTCATTGAATGGTAAAACCAGCATATTTTTATAACTGAATGGTAAAACCAAGGTACATTCTGAACTTAATGGCAAAGCCAAGTTTTTTTTTAACAGAAGAGTAAAAACCAAGGTCTAGTTTTGAATCTACTGGTATAAACCAGGGTCTCATTTTTAACTGAATGGTAAAAACCAGGGTCTTTTTTTTGTTTTGAACCGATGAAAACAAGAGTCTTTTTTCATTTTCATTGAAACTAGGTCTTTTCTTGAACCAACGGATAAAATCCAGGGTCTTTTTTGAACAGACAAGAAAAAACCAGGGTCTATTTTTGAACTGATGGGCAAAACCATGGTAGCGCAGTTGGTAGAGCTGCCGCCTCTAATCGAGAAGGTCACCCCAGTTCAAATCCTGGCCGTGGGCCTTTCTGTATGGAGTTTTCATTTTCTCTCCGTGCATGCGTGGCTTTTCTCCGGGTACTCCGGTTTCCTCCCACAGACCAAAAACATGCATGTTAGACTGATTGGTAACTCTGAATTGTCCTTAGGTGTGAGTGAGAGAGTGAATGGTTGTTTGTGTCGTTTGTCTCTATGTGTCCCTGTGATGGACTGAAGACCTGTCCAGGGTGTCCCCCGCCTCTCGCACAGTGATGGCTGGACATGGACACCAGTGACCCCCGCAACCCGAAAAGGAAGAAGCGGGTAAAGATCATGGATGGATGGGTAAAATCAGAGTCTATTTTTAAACTGAAGGGTAAAATCAGGGTCTTCTTTTAACAGACAGGTAAAAATCCAGGGTCTTTTCTTTACTTAATGTTAAAACCAGGTTTAAATTTTTTTTTAATAGTTTGGTTAAACAAGGGTCTTTTTTTGAACCGACAAGTAAAACAAGGCTCTTTTTTAATTCAGTGGTAAAACCAGGGTCTTTTCTTGAATCAACAGGTGTCAACCAGGGTTTTTTTTTTTTTTAACCTAACAGTAAAACCAGGGTCTTTTTTTTAACTGAATTGTAAGACTGGGGTCAAGGATTCTTTTAGACTTGAGAGGGACAGACAGACATGTGACAAAGGGTCCTTCAAGGGGTCTATCCATATGGTGGCAAAGGTCTTTCAAACCTACCTCATTTTAACAACATAGTTATATGTAGCTACTGCCAAGTCTTCGTGCGACTCAGTTCGCTGAGGTGACCCCTGATGAAGGGAGAAGCTGAAAGAAAAAGAAAGAAGAAGTTATATGTAGCTAATAAATTTTACTCACTAGCTCTGCAGAACAACAGAGGCTCGGTTCCATTTCGACTTGGTTCCGTTTCAGCAGACATACCCTGCTGATTTTAGTCTGCTCCCTGGCTCGGGGTAGTGGTGATGGGCTCTGGAGGGAGCGCCAGCCCTACAGCAGCGCATCCTCGCTCGGAGGTCCTTGTGGGCCGGCAAGCCGGTCTCGGATTCGCCTATGGGTCTGGTTCTGTGCAGCCCTTAAGCACCGAAACACATTTTGGAGGGAGCCCGACTTTCGGATGGCCAGCACAGAACCAGATTGTGTCCAAATCTTGATGGAAAAAAAAAAGTCCTGTGGACTCCAGAGAGAAGCCGAACCTTCGGCGGAGTGTCCATGCTCGCAGGTCCTCATGAGCCAGCTAGCAGCTCTTGGGTTCAGCGATGGGTCTGGAGGTCTAGTTCTGCTCTGGTTCTGGTCTGGGTTTTGTGTGGCTCTCTGCATCCGCTGGGCACCAAAGTCATGTGTGCCAAAATTTTCTGATCAAAACAAAAATTTCCCTGTTGTATTTCAGCAGAAGGCAATGGGGTTTCTGGATGGGGCACTGTTGGCTTCTGGGAAATGTAGTCGTTATGAGCGGGGATACAGTGTAGGCTGATTGAAAGAAAACTTTAAAATGGCGGTGCCTGTCCGAAGAATTTATTTTTTTTGTTAACTTTTTACTGTACAGTATCCAGCACTGTCCTATTCACGCGAGTAATATTAAAGTTGCCAATCGTGTGTCATGTACAACTTGTTTTGTGTTCAATCTTTGAAAAACCTTGAAAGAGAGAGTGAGCAAAAGTCAAACCGCGAAGTAGCGAGGGACTACCGTACATGCAATAATTTGGTCTTATTTCATGCTCCTGGTGCAGGAACCCTGCTCTGCTGTTATAGGCTATGGGAAAAAGGTGGACAAGTCCATCAAAAAGGGTCTGAAGTGGCTCCTCAGCAACATCGCCAAGGACTACGAGGCCATCGCCGAGCGCGTGCAGAAGGACACGGCCGAGCAGCGCGCTCGGGAGGAGCAGGACAAGAAGGAGAGGGCGGAGAGAGTGCGACGGATACGAGAGGAGAGGTGAGGACGCCAGGGAGGAGTGGGGAATATGTTTGAAAGGTCAGAAGGTGGCAGTGGGTGAAGAAAGCCAAAGATCCATTATGAAGACGGGATTGACAGTCAAGAGAACAATAAATAAACCCTGGATGAAAATGAAGCGTATAAATGTCAGAGTACAAACTCCCTTAAATCTATCCTTTAATAAAAGAAACTAAAATATGAAAGTGTCATTTTACAGAAATGTCCTTTCTGTCTTTAGAGAACAGCAGGAGCGTGAAGAAGCAGAGCAAGAAGGCAGGCCGATCCAAGAGGAGGAAGGCGATGAAGAGAGCATACAAAGCCCCTTCCAGCCCATACACAATGTGCTTTCTAAGGTTGGCAGTCATCAGGAGGCGGATTAATACTGTATTATTGTTTTATTTTAGAGCCTCAAGATAGAGCTGGAGCTGGATTGTGCTTTGAGGCGATCCCTCTTATGTTCTTTTTCAGAATGAGGAACAAGAAAGGGAGAGGAAGAAGCAGGGACGCCTGCAGGAGGACAGGACAGGAGGTTTGGAGCAGGAAGACGAGGAGGACAACGCTGACGAGCCAGACGACACGAGACAAACTCCAGAGAACACAACTTCTAGTGAGTGTTTTTATTCAAAGGAAACATTTGCTTTGATATGATCACAGCAAAAATATTAGAGTTTACGTTGTGCAACGCTGCTTTTGAATATCATAGCAAACTGCAAATGTTGAGTTTATGATATGAAGCCGTGAAATTGTAACGAGATAACTGGACGATGAACAGAACGTCACACTTAAATTTGTGTTTTATCATTCAGCTGCAGTGTTTGTGTTTCCCACACAGCAGGTGGGCAAAGCAAAAAGAAAACGAACAAGCTGCACCTGAAGAGGAAGCACAGGGTGGACCCTCTGAGGACAGAAGACGGGCCTGCAGAGAGTCCCACGCCTCCACCTCCTCCAGGTCAGTGAATGCATCAAGAGCTGACGTTCAAACCTTCCCTCCCATGTTAGAGGTTTTACTGCAGTGGACCCGCAAAAGTTGCAATCATCTTCAAAAATTTCTAGCTTCTTGCAGTTTGTTTGTCTTCGACTTTATTGTGTCGATTTCTGTAATCAAGAAAGCCTAGACTTTAGAGCGTTCATATATCGTATTTTACTTCAACAATAAACTAAACTAGAGAAATTGCATTTACTGTGAAAATGCATTGTGATGCTTACTGATGAAGAATTTGCTGAAAAAAAAGCTGAAATTAGCAAAAGAAAACATGCTGAAACGTAGCAGAAAATCTAGAACAAGTGTAAATCAGTAGGCGAAAGCAGAAAAAACAAAAGTTGAAATGAGTGCAAAAATGTGGACAAAGCTATTATTAGCATAAAAACAGCTAAATAGTAGCCGAATTAACTGAAACGAGCATAAATAAGCTGAAAGGAGCATAACAAGTTGAAATAATTTAATTAGGCTGAAAGTAGCAGAAATGACCATGAAAATTTTGAATTTATATGAAAACAGTTGAAATTAGCTAAAAACATGACTTGTACCTGAAATGGAAGAACAGGCCTTAATTAGAGTCAGAGTCAGAGTTTCTTTATTGTCATTCGCACCTCATGTGGTACATGTGGTGGAGCGAAATTATGTACACAAGGTCCCAGTTACATCCAACAATAAAATGTATAAGAAAAACAGTAATAACATCTAAGATATGAACTAAGAAAAACATCAACTAAATATACACTAAGCATTCATAACATTAAAACATTGAACATCAGCACAAACATGAACATGAGTCCGTGTGAGCAGATGTGCACGCATGAACACATCAACATTGAAACAGATCAGCAGCAACATGAAACAGATCAGCAGCAACATGATATGGTTTTTCACAGTGATTATTCTGGTTAGAGATTCATGAGTCTAACAGCCTCAGGGTAGAAGCTGTTCCTCAGTCTAGTGGTTCTACACTTAATGCTTCTCAACCTCCTTCCTGAGGGAAGTGGGGCAAAAAGTGTGTGTGCTGGGTGAGTGGGGTCCTTCATGATGCAGGTAGCCCTCTTCCTGCATCTAGAGGTGTAGATGTCTGTGATGGTGGGGAGGCTGACTCCAACAGTCTTCTGTGCAGCCTTCACCACTCTCTGCAAAGCTTTTATTTCTGCAGCTGCGCAGCCTCCATGCCACACGTTGATGCTGGAGCACAGGATGCTCTTCACTGCACACCTGTAGAAGGAGGTGAGGACTGAGCTTCCCAGACCAGCTCGCCTCAGCCGTCTGAGGAAGTAGAGTCTCTGATGAGCTTTCTTGATCAAGCTGGTGGTGTTGTTGCTCCAGCTGAGGTTGTCATTCATGTGTACACCCAAGTACTTGTAGCTGGAGACCACTTCCACCGCAGATCCTCTTATGTTCAGGGGGGTGTAGATGTTTTTGTTCCTTCTGAAGTCCACAATCATCTCCTTTGTCTTCTTCACATTGATGTGAAGGTTATTCTCTTTGCACCAGCTCTCCAGGTGTTCCACCTCTTGCCTGCAGCTGGACTCATCATTGTTTGTGATGCATCCCACCACCACTGTATCATCTGCAAACTTTACCATGTGACAGCCTGGATGGGTAGCTGCACAATCATACGTGAGCAGAGTAAACAGGAGTGGGCTCAACACACATCCCTGAGGAGAGCCAGTGCTGAGGGTTATGGTGGAGGAGGAGAAGTTGTGGATCCTCACTAACTGTGGTCTGTTTGTTAAGAAGTCTAGTACCCAGTTGCAGATGGAGGGGCTTAGTCCTAGTGTGGATAGTTTGTCCATCAGGGTTTGGGGGATCATGGTGTTGAAGGCGGATGTGAAGTCCACAAAGAGCATACGGACGTAAGAGTTTTTCTGCTCCAGGTGGTTGAGCGCATTGTGGACCACAGAAGCAGAAGAAGCAGAAGCTTAGCAGAAGAAAGCAGAAAGAATATAATTGCTGGAATAGGTTTAAATAAGCAGAAATGAGCACAAAATTCAGGAAATTATCTAAAAGGCAAACAGCTGAAAAGTAGCTGAAATGTAGAAAGAAGCTTAAACTACCAGAAGGGAGCGGAAAGAGCTGAAATGAGCTCAAAAATGTTAAATTAACTGAAAAAGTTTAAATTAGCATAAAACAGCTAAATAGTAGCTGAAATTGCAGAAAAAGCTAAAACTAGCAGCAAAAAGCTGAAAGGAGCAAAATTCTATTCAATTCAAAATTCAAAAATACTTTATTAATCCCAGAGGGAAATTAAATGTTGTAACTCATCCTGGTTTCATTAAAGAGTTGTTATAGATGCTGATGGCTGTGGGCAGGAAGGGTCTCCTGTAGTGGTCTGTCTTACCTTGGACCTGAAGAAGCCTCTGACTGAAGACACTTTGTTGTTGTATGACAGTCTGATGAAGAGGGAACAAAAAAAAACAAGCTGAAAATAGTAGAAATAAGTTAGAAGAAGCACAGACATCTTCTAGTTAGCAGAAAGAATCTGAAAGGATCACAAAACAGCTGAAATTAGCTAAAAACATGCTGAATTGTAGCTGAAGTGAAAGAAAGGCCTAAATTAGCAGAGTAAAGCAGAAATAATATATTTGCTGAAATAGGTTTAAATAAGCAGAAATGAGCACAAAAAAATGGGAAATTTGCTCAAATGCAGAAAGAAGTTAGAAGAAGCACAAAAATCTTCTAGTTAGCAGAAAGAATGTGAAAGGAGCACAAAACAGCTGAATTTAAATAAAAACATGCTGAAATGAAGCTGAAATTGAAGAACAAGCCTAAATTAGCAGAAAAAAGCAGACAGAATGTATTTGCTGAATTAGGCTTAAATAAGCAGAAATTAGCACAAAAATGAGGAAATTAACTAAAAAAAAACAAAATTTAGCAAACAACAGCTGAAAACTAGCTGAAAAGGCAGAAAGAAGCTTAAACTACCAGAAGGAAGTGAAGAGAGCTAAAATGAGCTAAAAAAAAAAAGTGGTATTAGCTGGAAAAAGCTCAAATTTGCTTAAAAACTGTTAATTAGTAGCTGAAATAGAAAAAAAAAAAGAAGCTGAAACTAGAAGAACAAAGCTGAAAGAAATAGCTGAAAATAGCAGAGGTAAGTTAGAAGCACAAAAATTTTCTAGTTAGCAGAAAGAACATGAAAGGAGCACAAAACAGCTGGAAAAAACCCCAGCTGAAATTAGCTGAAAGTAGCTGAAAATAAGTTTAAATTTGCACAAGGAAGCTGAAAGAAGCTGAACCAGAACAAAATGTGAAAGGAGCAGTAAAAGGTTGTAAACAGATTTAAAGATTTGAAGGATGTAAAATGAGCTCAGTTCATTTTCGATGAGAAAAAAAAATGGCAGAAAAGGCTAAATATTTCAAAAAGCTAAAGTTGCACCAGTACCAAAAGTCACAGCAGGATTGTCCTGAAGGAGCTGAACGTTTTGATTTGTTGAAATAGCACAAAAATTGTGGAACGAGAAAGATGCCAAAAAATGTACGGAAGAAAAATCGTTCACATTAAAAGCATTCACACAAAAATACCAATGATTAGTTGCAGATTTTATAATAAAACTCCAATTAGTTTTCCTCACAGATAATCTTCAGTTCATTTGTTAAAGCAACACAATCCATTCCTTTCTAACCTACAACCCAAATTCTCGATTTAAAAAAAATAATTTTTGAATTTAATGTCGGCAACATATAAAAAAAGATGAGACAATGGCAACAAACGGCTGTAAAGTGGTACAAATACAGTGCATTGCGAAAGTATTCGAACCCCTTGAACTTTTCAACCTTTTGCCACATTTCAGGCTTCAAACATCAAGATATACAATTTTAATTTTTTGTGAAGAATCAACAACAAGTGGGACACAATCATGAAGTGGAATGAAATTTATTGGATGGGTCAAACTTTTTTAACAAATAAAAAACTGAAAAGTGGGGCGTGCAATATTATTGGGCCCCTTTACTTTCAGTGCAGCAAACTCACTCCAGAAGTTCAGTGAGGATCTATGAATGATCCAATGTTGTCCCAAATGACTGATGATGATAAATAGAATCCACCTGTGTGTAATCAAGTCTCCGTATAAAAGTACCTGCTCTGTGATAATCTCAGGGTTCTGTTCAGAGAGCATCATGAAGACCAAGGAAAACACCAGGCAGGTCTGAGATACTGTTGTGGAGAATTTTAAAGCTGGATTTGGATGCAAAAAGATTTCCCAAGCTTTAAACATCCCAAGGAGCACTGTGCAAGCAATCATATTGAAATGGAAGGAGTATCAGACCAATGCAAATCTACCAAGACCCGGCCGTCCCTCTAAACTTTCATCTGGAACAAGGAGAAGACTGATCAGAGATGCAGCCAAGAGGCCCATGATCACTCTGGATGAACTGCAGAGATCTACAGCTGAGGTGGGAGAGTCTGTCCATAGGACAACAATCAGTCGTACACTGCACAAATCTGGCCTTTATGGAAGAGTGGCAAGAAGAAAGCCATTCTCAAAGATCTCCATAAAAAGTGTTGTTTAAAGTTTACCACAAGCACCTGGGAGACACACCAAACATGTGGAAGAAGGTGCTCTGGTCAGATGAAACCAAAATCGAACTGTTTGGCCACAATGCAAAACGATATGTTTGGCATTAAAAACAACACAGCTAATCACCCTGAACACACCATCCCCACTGTCAAACATGGTGGTGGCAGCATCATGGTTTGGGCCTGCTTTTTATCAGCAGGGACAGGGAAGATGGTCAGAATTGATGGGAAGATGGATGGGGTCAAATACAGGACCATTCTGGAAGAAAACCTGTTTGAGTCTGCAAGAGACCTGAGACTGGGACGGAGATTTATCTTCCAACAAGACAATGATCCAAAACATAAAGCCAAATCTACAATGGAATGGTTCACAAATAAATGTATCCAGATGTTGGAATGGCCAAGTCAAAGTCCAGACCTGAATCCAATCAAGAATCTGTGGAAAGAGCTGAAGACTGCTGTTCACAAACGCTCTCCATCCAACATCACTGAGCTCGAGCTGTTTTGCAGGAAGAATGGGCAAGAATTTCAGTCTCTCCATGTGCAAAACTGATAGAGACATACCCCAAGAGACTTGCAGCTGGAACTGCAGCAAAAGGCGGCGCTACAAAGTATTAAAGCAAGGGGGCCGAATAATATTGCACGCCCCACTTTTCAGTTTATTATTTGTTGAAAACGTTTGACACATCCAATAAATTTCATTCCACTTCACGATTGTGTCCCACTTGTTGTTGATTCTTCAAAAATTTTAAAATTTTATATCTTTACGTTTGAAGCCTGAAATGTGGCAAAAGGTTGTAAAGTTCCAAGGGGGCCGAATACTTTCTCGCAAGGCACTGTAGAAAACAGCTGTAAGAGCGGTTTGCAACATATTAGATTTCTGGGTATAAAAAGAGCTAAACTGTTCTGTGCTCAGAAAAAAGTGAAAATTTAAATTCTTATTGGAAACCACGGCTTTCATTCTAAAGAATAAAGGGACCATCCAGCTTGCTAAAGAAGTGCACGGCTCAAAAGTCTGCCTCTCTGCTGGTGTGGGGGTTCATTATTGCCAATGGCATAAGCAGTTACAGTAAAGTAACCACAAGACATACAATTCATTTGCGCTGTGTGTCTTGACCAGACCTCTCTTAGCTCCACAAAGCCCCAACCCTACAGAAGGGAGGGGCAACGGTGCAAGCTGAGACATGAGCAAATATCCAGAACATCATCGACACGTTTTTCCTCGTGTCATCATGTTTTATCTTGCTTAGCTGTGCCAGCAAAGCTTTAGGCCGTACCTGCTTTTCAGCTCCCTTCAGCACAAGTTCTCCTCACCTCTCAAGTTCAATTCATTTCAGTTTATTTCTATAGCACCAAGTCACAACAGAATCATCTCAGGGCACTGAACAGAAACATTCATATACCGTATTTTTCGGATTATAAGGTGCACTTAAAATCTTTTAATTTTCTCAAAAATCGACGGTGAGCCTTCTAATCAGGTGCCCCTTATGTATTAATTCTAGTTGGGCTTACTGACCTTCTACTAATTTTATGTGGTTACTGCGAATGAGTTGAATAAAGTTTAACTTATCTGTTTTGTTTCGCTTAATGCGCCTTATAATCCGAAAAATACGGTATATAAAAATAAATGAACACTATTTATCGAAGGAGCAGACTGATTTGAGTTTAACTCCATCGCTGACTCATCGTGAGCAAGCTTGAAGGCGACAGTGGAAAGGAAAAACTCCCTTATGAGCAAAACCTTTAGCTGAACCAGGCTCAGGGCAAGCGGCCATCTGCTTCGACCGGCTGGGTTTGAGAGGAACAGGAAGGAAGAACAGATACACAATGGCAGGTAGAATCGCATGATAAGATAGAAATAATATCAAATGAAAACTATTCAATTTTAACAATTCATTTAAGGAAATTAGGTTTTAATCCCAGTCTTCAAACTGGACAATGTGTCAGCCTCATGGACAGAAACTGGAAGTTGGTTCCACAAGAGAGGAGCCTGGTAACCGAAAGATCTTTCTCCCATTCTGCTTTTGGAAACTGTAGGAACCACAAGTAAGTCTGCAGTCTAAAAGTGAAGTGCTCTGTTAGGAAAATATGGAACAATAAGATCTCAAATATAAGATGGAGCTAGGTTGTTGAGGGCTTTGTAGGTTAGAAGTAAGATTTGAATTCAATTTAGAATTTGTCAGGGAGCCAGTGGAGAGAAGCTGAAACTGGAGAGAGATGATCTCTCCCACAAACTCCAGTTAAGACTCTGGCAGCAGCATTTTGGATCAACTGAAGACTTTTTAAAGAAGTATTTAGACACCCAGATGATAAAGTTGGAAGAAAAACAATACTATTATGTGCATTCTTTAAAAAAAGTTTGCAATCTTTCTAAAACTCTTAAAAAAACCAAACAGTTATTTAGTGGGTGAAGATGAAATCTGTCTATTAATCTCAAGATTATCCGTGTTTCTGCTCATCAGATTGTGTTCATTTTGTTTTTCTAGTTGGATGGGCCACGCCCAAAGTGTCTAGACTGCCCAAACTAGAGCCACTCGGGGACTCGAGGCATTCTGGTAAAGCGTTCTGTGAGATCCAGTTTGTGTTAACCGCACGTTCATGTCCTGCGTCATCTTCAGTCCCTCACTAACTCAGTCTTGTACGGGTTCACTCACTCGCAGGCTCAGTGTTTCTTCCGTCCAGCGTCACACTTAGGTTTGTGTGTCTCACAGCCATTTATTCTCAGGGTGGAGCTGCAGGAGAAACACTGAGCTCTTGTCTGCTTTAAGATGCATGCCGACTCTTAATCAGTATCTCATCCTTGGGTTTCTTCCTCCTGCATCTCACCGGTCGTGTGCACGAATGTTGGACCATTTAATCAACACAAAGGCCTGTTTGTTTTGATTTTGCTTAACTCACTTCATATCATATTTAACTGTACAGCAGGGGTGCCCAGACTTTTAGCGCATGCAAGCTCCTTTTAAAATGACTCGTTTACGCGAGAGCAACCTCTGGAAACGTTAGTGTTTGATGAGCGGGTTTACACAAAGAATGCTGTAGTTTTCATGTCGGTCGGGTTGCTAGATGAGAAATTATGAACTATAGCAGTGGCCTCCAACCTTTTTTGTGCCACGGATCAGTTTAATTGCAGACAATACAGGTGCTGGTCATAAAATTAGAATGTCATGAAAAAGTTGATTTAATTCAGTAATTCCTTTCAAAAAGTGAAACTTGTATATTATATTCGTTCATTACACACAGCCAATATATTTCAAATGTTTATTTATTTTAATGTTGATGATTTTAACTGACAACTAATGAAAACCCCAAAATTCAGTATCTCAGAAAATTAGAGTATTGTGAAAAGGTTCGATATTGAAGACACCTGGTTCCACACTCTAATCAGCTAATTAACTCAAAACACTTGCAAAGGCCTTTAAATGGTCTCAGTCTAGTTCTGTAGGCTGCACAATCATGGGAAAGACTGCTGACTTGAGAGTTGTCCAAAAGACGACCGTTGACACCTTGCATAACTAGGGTAAGACACAAAAGGCCATTGCTAAAGAGGCTGGCTGTTCACAGAGCTCTGTGTCCAAGCACATTAATAGAGAGGCGAAAGGAAGGAAAAGATGTGGTAGAAAAAAGTGTACAAGTAATAGGGATAACCCTGGAAAGGATGGTGAAACAAAACCCATTCCAATATGTGCGGGAGACTCACAAAGAGTGGACTGCAGCTGGAGTCAGTGCTTCAAGAACCACCACGCTCAGACGTACGCAAGACGAGGCATTCCTTGTGTCAAGCCACTCTTGAACAAGAGACAACGTCAGAAGCATCTCACCTGGGACTGCTGCTGAGTGGTCCAAAGTTATGTTCTCTGATGAAAGTAAATTTTGCATTTCCTTTGGAAATCAAGGTCCCAGAGTCTGGAGGAAAAGAGGAGAGGCACAGAATCCATGTTGCTTGAGGTCCAGCGTCAAGTTTCCACTGTCCATGATGGTTTGGGGTCCCATGTCATCTGCTGGTGTTGGTCCACTGTGCTTTCTGAGGTCCAAGGTCAACACAGCCGTCTACCAGGAAGTTTTAGAGCACTTCATGCTTCCTGCTGCTGACCAACTTTATGGAGATGCAGATTTCATTTTCCAACAGGACTTGGCACCTGCACAGGGGCGCAACTACATATTTTTGAGGTGGATGCGAACACATCATCGGCGCCCCCCCCACCCGCTCCTTTTTACTTGCCGCCTCATACAGCTTAGTCATGCACTTAGAAAATACAGTAGTAATATTACAGATTTTTTTAATTTTACATATTATATCAGGTGATCATTTCAATCATAAACAAATAAGAAGTTTTATAAAGTACAAATATATAACAGTAGTGGTACTCAGTCAGTGCTCAACATTTTATGTAGCGGAAATATGACATCTTAACAGCCTGGAGTCCATGTCAGAGTTTTAACATTTATGACATTTAAACTGTTACATTCCGTGACTTTGCATTTGCCCATTTGTCAAGTATAACATCAAATGAAATAGACCGTGCCACACTGTTTTCAATAGAGATCACTGCTAACTGGGACAAGCGATCATTGCTCATATTTGAACGAAGGTATGTTTTGATGAGCTTCAGCTTGCTAAATGATCTCTCTGCAGATGCCACTGTCAGAGGCATGGTTAAAAATACTCTAAGGGCTACTGTCAAATTTGGAAATACCAAATCAAGGTCCTCTTGAATTAGGAAATTTAACTTTTCTAGAGCCTTGTAACCCTTCAGTAGACGGCTTGCTGGGTATATTTCTTGAATGATATCTCTTGAAACATCACAAGTGGTCAGGGCATATGTGGTCACTGATTCCTCCAGCTCAGCTTTTGTCATGTGCTCCATTTTAGTGATGAATTTAAATTTCTCAGACACAAGTTGAAAATTGGAAAACCTCTCAGACAGCTCTTGGAGGAGTGTGTCAACAATAACATTGAAAACCATGCACCTGAAGTGCCTTGTGGGTTCCTTTTCATGATGACCAGTGCATGAATTGTCATCTGGGAAATTCTTTTGCTTCCTAAGTCGTTTCTCTTTGAACTTAGGAGAAGCATCCATTTCGATGGCTATTTTGCTTGCAATGTCAAGTGACTTCTGAAAGCCCTCTTCTCTATATTTGAAGATAAAACTGCTTCAGCTGAATTTTTACTTTAAAAAAAAAAAAAAAAACGCGCCGAGTGCGTTCTCTTAGGGGCGTGTTCACAGCCACCTGTGTGGGAAGGGAGAGCGATAGGAGGGGAGGTGAAGCAGCAGAGGGGAGGTGAAGGAGCAGAGGGGAGGTGAAGGAGCAGAGGGGCGCCTAATCAGTGCTGTTCCCCTGTTATTGATCATTTAGAAAATGCCTACTAGAAAAACATTTTTTCTACAGAGGGTTTTGACGCCCCCTGCAGTGCAGCGCCCCTATGCGTTGCATACGCTGCATACCCGCTTTTTGCGCCACTGCACCTGCACACAGTGCCTAAGATACTAGTACCTGGTTTAAGGACCATGGTATCCCTGTTGTTAATTGGTCAGCAAACTCGCCTGACCTTAACCCCAGAGAAAGTATATGAGGTATCGTGAAGAGGATGATGCGATACGCCAGACTCAGCAATTCAGAAGAGCTGAAGGCCACTATCAGAGCAACCTGGGCTCTTATAACACCTTAGCGTGTCACAGACTGATGGACTCCATGCCACGCCACATTGCTGCAGTAATCCAGGCAAAAGGAGCCCCAACTACCGTTTCGCCGTATGCGTCACACCGCCATATAAGTCGCATTAGTCCATATTTGTCTAATAAAGTGGAATAATCCATAAATATGTCGCTTTGCCGTATGTGTCGCATCTATTATGCGTCACCGCTGACAACCCAGAAATGTGGGCCGAACCTGGAAATGTGGACCTGTGTTGTGCCAAAATCAGATGCGGGAGCATGCACGGGAGGACTTTAACAAGAAATTAACAAGATTAACACCTACAAACAATTATTTGTTTGCTGGAAATTATAATAAATATGTGGCTCAGTGGAACTATTCCTTAATAAATGCACTTTAATGGTCAAATCAGCTGTATTTCAAAAATAGTTTTGCTGTCTCGGTGCTCTGTGAACCCACAGAGGGAGGAAAAAGGAGGAGGAAGAAACTTGGCTCGTTTCTCCGAAAATTAACAAGAAAAGCATCTAAACAATTATTTGTTTGCTCGAAATTATAGCAAAGGTGTGTCTCAGTCTAACATTTGCTTAATAAATGCACTTTAATGGTCAAATCAGCTGCATTTCGCCGGGGCAGTGCAGATGTTTTGACAGTTCCAAGCAGAGAGCAGAATGCAGGTGGGCAGACTGTGGCAAGCTGACTGTGTCATTAATAGCTGGTGAAGATTCTCAGTCATCCGGGACATGATCAATTCAAAAAAGTTCAAGACAAGAACAATAAAGTATAAAGTATAGTCTAATAAATAAAGTGCAGTTGTTTATGTCTTCAACTTTTTTGAATTTGTCATTATAGCCATGTTTACCTATTGCATGCTACAACAGTATGCCATACAGGTATTACTACTCTGCTTCCATCAAGTGGCTGAAAATGGTACTGCTCAATTTTTTTTTAGTCAGAATGAATGGAAACGGTCATATCTCAGCCAAAAAATGGTTTATAAATATGGGAAAAAAATCCATAAATATGTCACTTCAGCCTATAAGTCACAGGGCATGTAAATTATGCAAAAAACTGTGACTTATACAAATAAAAATATGGTTAGTATTGAGTGTTGTAAATGCTCATACTTTTCATGTTCATACTTTTCAGTTGGCCAACATTTCTAAAAATCCTTTTTTATTGGTCTTTAGTAATATTCTAATTTTCTGAGATACTGAATTTGGGAATTTCATTAGTTGTCAGTTATAATCAAGATTAAAAGAAATAAACATTTGAAGTGTATCAGTCTTTGTATAATGAACGGATATAATATACAAGTTTCACTTTTTGAATAGATTTACTGAAATAAATTGACTTTTTCATGATATTCTAATTTTATGACCAGCACCTGTAATGTGTTATGTATTCTTCTTTCTGTGCGGCCCGGTACCAATTGACCCATTGACTGGTACCAGTCCGCAGCCTGGGGGTTGGGGACTACTGAACTGTTGTACTGTTGCTTTCAAATGATAGTATTTTTACCTAAATTGTCATATGTGCTGAGTAAAGATATTCTAAGATGAGGTGTATATTGTGTTTGTTGAACATGTGCACAGAAAAGGAGGGGTAAATAAGACATTTTAAATTTATCTGGCAACCCTGATGCCAGGCTCAGCTGCATTCATTGTGCATGCAACATCTGCATGACAGTTAAACTGGTGAATACACTAACGTCTCTTTGGGGCCTGGATTTTATTAGTTTTGCTCCTACGTGCTGAAAAAGGGTGAGTAGCACAAAAACACTCTGCTCTCTGCCGTTTATTATAACTGTTGTTAGTGCAGAAAAACTTTGTACGACTTCACACTTGCGGAACATTTCACGCCTCCGTGGGAGGGGTTCCCCGGAAAATCTCCACTCTTAAGACCTGGATTCAGAAACCTTCAGTTTCAGAGAGAATCAGGGCTGTTGACGTGTAATGAACGGCCGAACGTTTCCCGTTGTGTAAACGGGGCCACAGACTGACTGCCCTGTCTGTCAATCGTGACAAATTTCATAGTGAGGATGGATGATAGGCTGGCGTCTATTTTTTTTAATGCCATGCCATCTACCTTTAGTACCGTAATACATTCGCCATCGACGTATTGGACACCCCTGCCCTACAGTGACTTCTGTGTACCATAGTTGCTGTCTTTAATTTTATGTAAAGCATTGATGATTACATAGTTTTTTATTTTTATTTTAGGACCCGATGAATAGAGTTTAACCGTTTCTCCTCCCTTCCACAGAGTTTTACAAGAAACCCCTCCCGCCGCTTGCAAATAAGCCGCGGCCAAACGGTGACGCTCAAGACGTCATTTTTTAGGCCTCCCTTAAGTGACTTGAGGTCAGCAATCCACCAATCACAGCTCTCTCCTGTGCTTTCTGTCTCAAGTGAGCAGCGTGTAGACCGCCCAACTGAACGGAGCCAGCGATCACGGTGAAGCACGGAGGAAATGGAGCGGAGCGGCGACACAAAGTCCGACTCAGAAGCTGTAGTTTGTTAAAAAAAAAAAAACCTGATGCAATTCAGCATGAACGCTGTCTGTAAGGTCCTATTTTCACTCAACAAAAGCACTTTCAGTGCTGTACGTTTTTATTATTGTTTTTTTTTTTTTTATCCAGTATTAAAAGGTGTGGACTTTATGAGTCCAAATGAAATACTTTTATTAAGAAAGAACTGTATATGGATGTATTTGTGTACATGCTAAAAATGATCATATTTCTGCCATGTATTTTTGCACCTCGACTTCATCGTGCTTTAAATGAGATGTTTTAAAAGTCGGAAGCATTTCCTGTTACGTCATTATATGCTCGAACACTATACTGGACATAAAAAAATGTCTCTTTACATCAAAGCTGTTTGCTTCAGTAAATGTTTTATTGTTTAAATGAAACACTGTAAAATTGTCATTTTCAATGGCGAGAGATTTTTATGCATTCTGCTTTACACTTTTGAACCGGTTATTTAAAGCGAAAATGTCCTCGTTTGCAAGACAAACTTTCATACAGTTTATGTTGCAAACGTGTGAAATGTCTCTTTAAAAAACAGAATACAGCATTTCAGATCTGTAGTGTGACATTCAGCCTCTTGTTAATGACCCAGATCTTTAAAAATGTTTCTTTTTTCTACTCGATCTGGTTTTTATAACGGCACAATTAAAGATGTTTTAAATATATTATCAACTGATTGTGATATCTGTGTGTGTGTGTGTGTGTGTGTGTGCAGCACTTGCATTATGAGCAGCTGCAGCAAGATTGAAATTGCAGTGGTTGTGAAGTGTTTATTTTTTTTATAAATGGCTCAACATAGACATCAGCTGGTGGAATATCCAGGACTCCGTTAGCGTACACACCTGTGTGTCATGGTTGGTGCTTATTCATATTTTTTTTACTCTAGGTGTAACTGTAGTCAGATTTTGTACTTATAGGACTTAAGTTATATGGTTTATTGTAAAACAATGAAATTTTTGAAGGTTCTTTATTGTCATTCGCATGCCGTGGTACATGAGGTGAAACATAATTGTGCACTCAAGGTCCCAGTTACACCCCAAAATAGCAAAAATGTAAGGTATAAAAATAAACCATATGCAAGGATCTAAGATGTATGCTAAACACTAATAATGTAAAATAATACAGTATATTAAGCAGCAGCCTGAACATGTTTGTAGTGAGTAGACAGATGGATATGAATACAGCAGCTTAAAGGCAAGAAATCAGAAGCATGGATAACCAGCAGCACAAACAAAGTCACATATAACCAATTAAAGTGGCATTATGGTGATTTTTCTTGTTTACAGTGATTTTCCTGTAAGGCATTTATGAGTCTTAACAGCCACAGGGTAGAAGCTGTTCCTCAGTATAGTGGTTCTACACTTAATGCTCCTTAACCTCCTGCCTGAGGGGAACAGGATAAAAAGTGTGTGCTGGGTGAGTGGGGTCCTTCATGATGCACGTGGCTCTCTTCCTGCTTCTAGAGGTGTAGATGTCTGTGATAATGGGGAGGCTGACTCCAACAGTCTTCAGTGCAACCTTCACCACTCTCTGCAAAGCTTTTCTTTCTGCAGCTGTGCAGCCTCCATGCCACACGTTGATGCTGGAGCACAGGATGCTCTCCACTGCACAACTGTAGAAGGAGGTGAGGACTGAGCTTCCCAGACCAGATCGTCTCAACCGCCTGAGGAAGTAGAGTCTCTGATGTGTTTTCTTGATCAGACTGGTGGTGTTGTTGCCCCAGCTGAGGTTGTCATTCAGGTGCACACCCAAGTACATGTAACTGGAGACCACTTCCACTGTAGATCCTCCTATGTTTGGGGGTGTAGATATGTTTGCTCCTTCTGAAATCCACAATCATCCCCTTTGTCTTCTTCACATTGATGTGGAGGTTGTTCTTTCTGCACCAGCTTTCCAGGGGTTCCACCTCCTGCTTGTAGCTGGACTCATTGTTTGTGATGCTTCCAACCACCGCTGTATCAACTGCAAACTTTACAATATGACAGCCTGGATGGATAGGTGCGTTCATATGTGAGCAGAGTGAACAGGCGGGGGCTCAACACACAGCCCTGAAGGGAGCCAGTGCTGAGGGTTATGGTGGAGGAGAAGTTGTGGATCCTCATAGACTGCAGTCTAAAAGTGATTTAAAGCTGAAAATGTGCCAGTGAGAGTGCATGAAGTTAATGATGACCAATTAACCAATAAATAGAGTGGTGGGTACAGTAGTTAGAGCCAGTTATGAATCTTGGCACACCGTGATAAATGGCATCCAACATATGCAAGGTGCTTGTAGGAGCATTCATGCAAATAACGTCACCATAGTCAATGGAGGAAAGGAAAGTATAGTTACAAGGTGTTTCTTAGCATTCAGACAAGATCTATTTCTGAAAAAGAAACCCAGTTTTACTTTCAGTTTCTTTACCAAGTTTTCAACATGAAGCTTAAAGAAAAAAAAGCGAATCAACCAAAATATTCAAGTATTTACAAGAATTGACAAACGGAATAGGGACACCATTCTATGATAAAATAGAAGGAAGGACTGTTGGTACCGACTTGCTGTTTGAAAACAACATTTGGTTTTATCAGCATTTATGCCAAGGTTGAGACGAAACAAAACAGACAGGATGATCTCAAATGTAGACCGTAAGAGCTGAAAAACCTTAGCAACTGTTTTAGCTCGACAATAAGCAACTGTGTCGTTGGCATAGAAATGTAAGGATGCATCAAGAATGACCTGACCTACATTACTTATGTAGATTGTGAAGAGGGTGGGCCCTAAGACTGAATCTAATGGTACACCATTGTTAAAATATAGCTGGAAGAAGTACCATTATATTGAACGCATTGCCTCCGATCTGAGAGAGAATTAGAAAACCAACCAATAATGTGATCTGAGAAACCAGTTTCTGAGCGCTTATGACATAAGATGTCCTTGTCCACTGTGTCAAAAGCTTTAGACATGTGTAAATAAAGTGCAGCAAAATAATCCATAGCATCCAATACTTCAACAGCATCAATAAAAACCTTCAGTGAAGCAGTTGTTGTGCTGTGTTGTTTCCTGAAACCAGATTGATGGGAAGACGAGATCAAATAATCCAACTATTTTTTGATTTGAGAGTTTATAAATTTTTCTAAAACCTTAGCAAGAATATAGAGTTTAAAGATTGGTCAATAGTTTTTCAGTATATTGGGGTTTCCTCTGTTCAGTAAAGGTAGAACAAAAGCTGTTTTCCAAGCATTTGGAATGGTGTTTTGGCCTATGGACAAATTAAAGATGTGAGACACCGGTTCTGCAATGATGGGTGCGGCTAGCCTTAAGAAATAAGGAGGAAGGTCATCAGGGCCTGCAGATTTTCTTTTAACAATTGTTAACCTCAATAACAGAAAAATGGAAAATGAAAAGGTGTGATTTACTGAAGATTGACTTGTAGGAGAGATTTGATTAGATGTTTGGCATAAAGGAGAAGTGGCTGATTTTCCAGTAGTAACTGTGTCAAATAAGGAACTATAAGCAACGAAATGACTATCGAAACAGTTTATTATCTCGTGCTTATTTGACACAGGAACAGAGTTAACAAGAAGTTGTGGTGGCAGGTCAGATGAATGGGAGCCGCTGGAAAGTATTTTGATGGTTTTCCAGAATCTTTTAAGGTCATTTAGATCTTTGGACGGCTGAGATAAGAAGTAGTTATATTTTACACTTCTGATGGAAGCTGTTCAATTATTCTGCATCTGTTGAAAATGCAATCGATCAGTGTCCTAGCCAGATTTTCTTGCTATTGCCCAGAGATGATCTCTCCTGTGTAGGAGGTCAGCTAACTCAAGAGTAAACCAGTCTTGTCCTTAAATTCTAAATTGGCGAATAGGGGCATGTTTTTTTACAAAGTAGATGAAATTGTTCTGAAAATAGTTCCAAGCAAGATTCATGTCATCAGTTAGGAGAATACGTTGCCAGTAAAAATTGAACTGGTCCCCAAATAAGGCCACTGAAATGTTTCATGTCTCTTTAGAATTAATCTAGGTTTGGTTTGAGGCAGTTTAGTGTCCCTGTTTACACCGACAACACAGTGGTCGCTCATATCATCAGCAAATTTCATGAACTAACAAAATACTCAGATGTTATTCTACATTTAATGGACTATAAAACATCACTGCCTGTCTTATGGCACTTTGTGATAAATAGCATATCAAACTCCAAAAATTAAGTTTTGTTTTTAGGCCTGACAACAAGGACTCTCTTTTAAACCTAACCGGATCATCTGCCACAACACCAAAACGAGCAGCTTGAAGTACAACACACTGCAGACAAGTGATTTCTGAATCTAGTAAGGAATTTTTTTACATGATTAAAGTTAAAACAAACATGAAATCCTACAAAAATCAAGTTTTAGAGAGCTAAAGCAATGGAGAAAATGCATTGTTTGCTAAAATGTAACATTACATGTAAATGCAATATTGAGTGCTCAATGACTTACCTGAAATTTGGTGAAGAATTCAAATTTAACTGAATTATTAAAGTTAAAACAAACAGAACAAAAGCTGAAATCAGGAAAAACTGTAGCTAATAGCTAAAATAGACAAAACTGTTGCTAAATGCTAATGTTAGCAAACGGTAGCTAACAGCAAAACTTCTAATACTGTGACATCAAAGTTCATGCTCAATCATCTAGGTACAAAATCCAATAATGGTCAATCAAGTCATCTGGACAGTTTCTTTTTTGTGGAAAGACTTTTCGCCCTCTTTCCGATGGGCAGATAGATTCTAATTATGTGGCTAAAAGATAAAATTAGCAAACCTTGGGTAAATATCAGAATTAGTGAATTCATGGCTAGAAGGTAAAATTAGCTAAATGGTAGCTAAAAGCTAGAATGTGCAAAACGACAAGAAAAAGCTAAAATGATTAAGTTGCTAAAAGCTAAATTGAGAAAATCAGCAGTTAAAAGCA